GTGAGGTTGTGCGCTTGCCAGAGAGCCGATCAAGGATGGTTTGTGGGTGGATGGCATACGCATTTGCGGTAGCTGTAGCGCTTGGATGGTGATGATTTCTGTACGAGTTAATAGCTTGCTGTATTCTCTCGCCTTTGCTAGGCCCACAGCGAATTCTGGGCATGTTGGATTTGTTATTTGAACGTGGTTATGTGGGTTGTTTCCAGCGTAAATACGCATCTCGGAGTGATTTGATGTTCCTGCTTACTAATCGCACGGGCCATACAATAACACCCTTATATACAATAACCTACTCAAGTACTCTAGATGTGAATCTACGCCGTCACAATCGGAGCGGCCGTCACAATCTCCAACGGGGGAAATTGCAGTGCCATCCCAAACGCCACAAGCTCGAGGAAGTATCAGACCGTGATCGTGATTGCCTAGCCGTCAGACATCCTAGGTACGATATAGTGCTCCAAGTTTTCGCTGAAGTGCTTAATTGAAGGCTAGAGTGCCCCCACAATTTCAGAATCGAGGCGCAGTCATCTGTGGGCATGGGATTGGCGTGGCCAAAGGGCTCGCAGTGACCTCAACCCTCAAACCTCTTAGACTTCTCAAGCGTGATGATCTTTTCGACTAGCTTTCCACAGAACGGTGCGTACAACGTGACCGGATGGGTATGCAGCATAGCAAAAAGATCCTCCTTGAAAATCCTCCTTAAAGTGTCAACAACAACGCGACGCGTCAACTCACCACAGCGAGTCACGAAGGGAGACCGGTAAGCAATCCGACATCACTACACGCATTCAGCCATCAATAAGCAAGGAAGGAAGGAAGCAAGCAAGCAAAAGAACTTCTTCTTTGAAGTCCCACATAAGGTGAGATCATCAATGAAAAAAGATGTTGTGGAGAGATATCTCATCCGAGTTTTTGTCTCCAAAGATGAACCCCGCCCACCTTTCGGTGGAGTACCTGTTGTGCAGTAGGTAGGTGAACAGAATTCATGAGCTCTGTCACCCCGAGCAGTAAATTTCGTCTCGCCACACCGTCAGCCGCCATGGAGAAGAAGAGGAAAGTTGGAGGGGAGGGCGAGCTCTTATAGTCGACCGATCGAAATTTGTCGCCAAGGCGCTAAGGATTTGTCGGCCGGTAGTATTGACGGATCGAGAGGATGGAAGAACGTGAAAGGTCGTGGAACTGTAAGGGAGGGGTGAAGGGCAGGTGTTGGAGGGCGGGTGGCTGGCTCTCGTCAGGCACCTGGCCGTCAGTGAAGCCGCAAACTCCGCAGAGGTCATACCAGCGTTGAATGAGCATACTAGGATGTTTACTGGCGCACACATACTCACCACGTCATCCATCAGTGGCTGTACTGAATTGAGGGAGAGTATGTTATCACGAAAAGCAGAAACAAGCTTCACAAGGATGAGGTTTCATTCGGAACAAGATCTGTAGAGGGTATTGAGGAAGATCCTAGTATTTTTGATATGGATCCGCTAGCATGGGGTTTGTGGGCTGTCAGTTGGATATTCAAATGCAAAGGGATGCAGATCGGTTGAAAGAGCTGGTCTCGCTAAGTGCTTTTATTGGTCGTGAGACGAGGATTGGACAGTGTCAGAGGCTTGGAACATGGAAGAGGGGTGTACGGCTGAAATGAAGGTTACCATTTCCTCTTCAGAGGTCGAAATCACAAGTCACCGCAGCTCTTTTCATCGCCGTTTCGTTCGTTTTTGCGTTTCGTGGGCGTCTCTTATTATATAGTGTACCCCATCTATCTACAATATCAAAAATCTGCTTTATGGTTGGAGCAACGTCCTGCTTCAAGCGCCACACTGAGTTTTAATGCATTGCGAAGCTTTGATGGAACTCGGGGAATTTGCAGAAGCCCGGGGGTACGATGGGCTTCATGACCTAGCTGTAGGGCATGGCAAGCGCGGCGTGGGCTGCTTATAGGGGAGTATGCAGGGACCATCCAGAAGATTTACCCTGGTATTGACGTTAATGAAGGTGGGTCAGGGCACAGATGAGGCAAAGGAGGCGATAGAGGAGACAGTAGAGGGCGACGCTGTACATGAGTTGGTGTCAGCGGTCCGCCTTGGGCTTCAAATGCGTTCCTCCCAGTGTAAGGCAATTTGGATATCGGAGAGGTTGTATACACAAACAAATGCCCGGAAAATAAATTGTTTGCGGACGGCGGTTCCATTCAAGCTAGATGGTTTCTCTCGTTCCCCTCGCCGTATCCATCTATATCGCCTCCATTGCCTTTGGTCCTCACCCACGGGAAAGTGTACTTGTGCCAACACCCCAATGTGCCCTCATCATGATCCGTGGGAGTCCCTTACGATCGATGCCTGTTTCGAGAGATCAGCAAAGAAAGAATGCCTAGATCCGCTGCAGTGCCTCACCCCGTAATCATGTCTCTCAAGTGACCTGCGACACCTATCTCGTCAGCATATCTCCTTATCTACCAAATCCCAAAACACATCGCCAAATGATCATATATCTGAGTCCAGACACCTCCACCGGCGCCATGAGTGCAAAGCAGTGCGGCGTCGTGGTATCTCCGGTGACTCAGTCATCGCCGATTGCTGCCTCGGTTCTGCTCAACCTGCAAGCCCAATGCAGACACAAAAAGGTGCTTTGCGTGTGGTCCTACGCGCCAGCCACGCCACAATTTACTGGCCCTTCGCCCACGCACGATGACTTTTGGTTTTATCTTGGCTCCCCTGTCTGTGAGTGGGGCATTGAGAAGCCGAGCTCAGTGGATGGGGTGGAGCCGGGTGTGTTGGTAGGAAGGGACGCTGGGGGCTTGGGAGAGGCGAGAGGGGACGTACCGGGTGATTGTAGTGGAAAGGAGGTTACATTGAGGCATTAGAGGGCAGGACGATGGCGAACTGCTGTTGGATTTAGTCAGTCGATGGTCACGCCAAGGAAGCAAATGACTACTCACTCTAGTATTATCTTTCCTAGAACAACGATAACCCAAGTTGTAGAACTTAGCGGACATTTCCTTGCCTAGACAGGTACCCGCTTTAGTCGGATCCAGGTCTCTTGCTCCACTGTTTCAAGACAATAAGGACCTCGAAGTAAAGTATTGTTGAAATGATCACCGCTGTATGTGCGCGGCGCCGTAGACTTTGTTAGCAAACTTTAGGTACACGGGCGCCTTTGTGTGATTACCCTTGTAGTACAGGTGGACCTTCTATAAGCCTAAACTATAAGTATAGTTAGCAGGCAAACCCTTCAAACTATGAGAACTTGCTGTACCTTGTTCGCGCGATAGTCCCCGATCTCCTGACGGAGTCTTCTGTCGTTCCTTGCCTCGTCGTCTCCGCTATACACGCTGTTTAGCAGTCCGAAAACCACGACCACCTCGCTCCGCTTCCTATTGGGTCCTACTTCCGCTTCATTTGCACGTGCGCCGCCCTTGATTACTGCTATTTTGCCCAGCTTTTTGTGGACCAATGGCTGGGTGATGCCGTGTTGGTTCAGGCCAAGTCCCTTGCTCTTCACGTGCCCTATCTTCTCCATCATGCGCGCTGCGGACGCATTTTTGCCAGGAAGGGTAGTAGATGGTTCGGAATGCGTGGCCTGCTCCTCGGGATGACTAGAGCTGTCTGTAATTCGGCCAGTAAGAGAGCTGCGCCTAGTCTGCTGTGGGAAATGTGGGGTGAGGGACACACTGAGTCGATCACGCTTGCCATCTGCACCCTTGCTGGTGACCTCCTAGTAAGGTTAGAGGACCTCACTTGGCGAACGTGTAGTGAAAGGCAAACGTACCCAGGACCCGCCCACTAGCCGTCGACTTGCAGCACTCCGCGCGACTCCAGGCGTTGGAGTCCCTCTCCTATCGGCATTTTGCACTCGGTATCCGGCAACTCTCGTCAGGACGTGATGACGACGGGGTAGGTGGCCTCGGCGACTTTCTGCCAGGCCGGCTCGACGAACTGCTAGGCCGGCTCGACGAACTGCTTAACAACGTGTTCGAAGTGGGCGGCGCTGAAGCTTGGGGGGAAGGTGAAAGGTGAAAGACGGCATATTGAAGAATTATGGTGTGAATTTGTGAGTGTACGGTCTGAAACTGTGTGTGATGCTGCTTCTTGGACTGGCGCAAGCGTGGACTCAGCTCAGTGTGGATGGCTATTGCGAGTGCAACAGGCTGTAGCTGAGCAGCTGAGCAGCTGATGCGAGAAGCACCGACTCTCCGAGGCTGGGTGATAAGGTCCGTAACGGGCGTACTGAGTATTGTTGTCACCTAGGATTCGTAGCCTTCTGCGGGCAGGTTTTCCTTGCGGGTGGCATCTCCGTGAAGTCCAGCGGTGAGGTGGTAAGTCCAACGGTGAGGCGGTAAGTCCAGTGGTGAGGTGATCGAGGAGATGTTCGAGAGAAGAAGTCGGTGGAGGACTTCTTGAAGTAAATAGCGGAGGCAGTAAGTCTTGTAAGATAGAGAGGTAGGAATAAAGCAGCGAAGGCAGATGTCGATGTCAGTGAGCGCGGCGGGGAATAGACACAACCGGTAGTGGTGGGTCGGCCCGAGGATGCTTCGGCGGGAACGCGAAGTAGATGCGTGTCTCACGTTGAGCGACAGTCAGAGGGAAGATGTGTAGCCAAAAGCTGTTGTATTGATGAAGGTGAGGAAGCTAGCTATTGAGCGGAAGGAGGAAAGATATACACAAGGTGCTGAGTAAGCCTGCTAGAGAGGAAGGGACCGACAACGTGATCCGTCAGCCCAAATCGCATTCCCATTGCAGATGTAGTATAGCAAACTTGCGGCCATGTATCCACAGCTTCCTTGGCCCCAAGGCGTATTCGAACACGTCAAACACGCCATGAGTTTGAGTAGGCCTCGGTCCTGCCATTCAATCACTGTTGACGTGCAACGGCCAAACCTTCCGCAAACCGATTTACACGAATTCCAAAAAAAGTCAGCTCTTCTTCCTTTGAATCTGCAAGTGGCGTAATACTCTCGGGATCCTATCGAGCTGCAAGGTGAGTAAGCTCCCGCTCATTCCATCCACTCGAGCTTAAGCAGCAGCTCGACCTACATCGGCCAAGGCGTCGACAAACCGACATATGCGTGTTTGGAATCACAATTAAAATCATATCAGCCATGCGCTCAACTTCAAACGACCTGGTGACACGATTTTTTGTGTGTAGAGTGCAAAATACGTGTGAATCCAAAGTGAGAATGCGCGGATTCTCGCAGTGGCGGAGGTGAGACGCCAAACTATACGTAAAAGACGCACATTACCTGTGGAAGACAGCGACATTGCCTGCGCACAGTAATCCAGGGCACTAGAAGGAGTGTGACGTCGGCGTTCAGCCGTAGCCGTGGCCCAACAATAACAAACGCGCACTGACCCCACCCACTTTCCAGTCTATATATTTCCTCCAAAATCAACGCACTTCGCCTTCGGGCATTTGGTCAATTTGAAACAACACAGAGAAGATTAGCATGGCCCCTGCACTAAGGATGACACGCTTTATCAAAGTGAGCTTTCAAAGATTTTTTTTTGTCCTCAGATGAGGTTCGAGTCGCGCGGCGGTCACCGTTTCTTTTTTGCCAGTGAATTGTTTTGGGCCACACAGTCGCTCTACAAATATACATTCTGTCCGAATACATAGAAGATTAAGCCTAGATTCGCATCCGTTCTTATTCACGGTCTCCTGCGCTTTACATCGAGTGTAGATCTCGTTCACTGCAGCCAAGGCACTCAGACGCTGCCATCACACTCGCAAATCACTCATGCGCACCTGTCAGATCGAATTGTACGAGCATTTTCAGTCGCGATAGCTACTCCTGTTGACAGCCTTGCTAATCTATAACCTTGAATTTAATACATCATGTTTAAATTCTGCTTAACCTTAGGAGGAGGCACCACCAACACCGCCATCGCAGATCCCAATCGCGCACACACAACTCTCGAAGTCAAAGGTAGAATCATGTGACTATGCAATTCACAATTTACCACCTTAACATTGACACTTTTCAACTCTCCGTCTGTCAGGGGTGTCTCCCGCAACTGAGCGTTCCTCCAAAATCCATAGCCAGACGGCCCAGCCTAGCACATACGAGGCAAAGGATCGAGCGGGACTAGATGGAGGATTGAAATGTAAATCAAAGCCTCAAATCTTTTACATTCACCCTCTTCAAATCTGTATATGCTATGAATGTCTCACGCAGCTAGGTACACCCCCAAAACACATGCCCATACGACCAGGTCTAGCACACGCGGTAAGAGGAATCCAGGGGTGCTTAACATGGGATTGAAGTGCAATTCAGGGCCTGGAGTTCTTTACATCACGTATTCATGTGATCCATCCCTATGAAGCCACTCACACGTCGTCATCCCATGTGCAGCATGGACTCGCAGACGCCTCAAAGTCAAGAGGAGAGCAATTTCAATAGCATTACAGCGCCAATCCAATTCACGGCTTCTTACTCATTACATCGTGTCCGAATCCTCCTTGCAGTTATGAGACATCACAAACGCTGTTATCACACACGCAAATCGCTGAATCACAAGCTTCAAATCGCACAACACAGTCATCTCATTCAGCTATCTATCTCATTCCGACTCTACAGCAAGAAGAAGCCCAAATCCACACCATATCAGACTACAGAGCTCGCCCCATTACCGCTCCGCGTACGGCGCCGAAGCGCCTCAACCCCCCTACACGATGGTCACAGTGAACAGCACCTTCCTCTTATCTAGCTGCTCTCGCAGCGCCGGGCTCAACTCCTCCTCATCCACCTCTCCTCTAATCCTCTCCATCTTCTCATGGTGCGAAACGTCCCACCCCGCCCAAGCATCCACCGTCACCCCCTCCGCGTCCGCCACCCGCTGCCACATCGCGACCATACTCTCCCAATTGTGCCTATACACGTACTTCTCTTCCCCCTGCCTACAAAACGGCGGCTCAAGTTTGTCATTCTTCGCCGTGAGCCTCCCCGTCTGCGTGCCAATCGCCATAGCACCCGGCTCCTTCTTCAGCAACTTGAGGATGTTCGCCGCGGCCTCCTCCTGCTGCTCCAGTGACCAGATGTGCAGGAACATGGACACATGCACGAAGAACCAACTACCCCGCGTCTTAACCAGTGCGTCTTCGGCGTCGGTGTCTGCGGCAAAAATGTTGCCTTTGATGTAATGTCCGGGCGTGAAGCGGTCCAGATCGCAGAAGAGGGCGTGTCCTGCGGCCTCGAAGTCTAGGAGATCGGCGCCGAAGAGGGCGGAGATGGGCGCGCCTTCGTACGCCAGCTGGCGGAGGTCCTGGCCCAGACAAGTTCCAAGATCGAGAAGTTTGTGCGGCGGGTCGGTGTGGGATTGGAAGCGGAGGGTTTCGAGGACGTGGGCGTGCGCGGGGTGGCGGCGGAGGGAGAAGGAGAGGAACCAGAACTCTCCGATGCACGGCCAGGGGGAGATGACCCAGGCAGCGTCACGCTGTGAGGCATTGTTAGCTTGAATTTTAGATGGGGAGGGCGTTTATGTGGACGGGAAGAGGTGACGTACAGCGCGGAGAATGTGGGCTTCGACCTCTTCGGGCCGAAGGTTCGAGTACTGGACGAAGAAGAGCTTGATTTCGGCGAGCTGGGAGGGTTCGAGCTGCTCGACGTACCAGGGCACGTTGGTGGAGCGGGTGAGGGAGTTGGCGGGCAGGTTGAGGAGGCTGTTGGAGCTCATGTTGACGATGACGAGCGGAGGTGGCCGAGATTGAATGGGGTGCGGTGATGTTTCGCGTGAGGTTGCAGCAGCGTGAAGACGGTTCGACTATGTGACAGCTGAGGAAAGGATGTTGCGGCGATGGTGAAGTTAGAGTTAACGAGGAGAAACGTCCGGGACTGCACGTGACTGTGACCACACTCTGACATAGGCGCGAAATTGAGCTGTTGTTAGGGGGGAACTGCGGCATTGGGAATAGCCTTGAGGGTCTCCTGCAGCAACCGGTATTCTGAAGAGCGAGATGTAAAGGTTCAGGTAGTGGAAATCAATCTGCTAGCTGAGCTGCTCCCCACAACGGTGTTGATAGGAGAAGAGTGAGGCATGGGTAGAGATATATCCATGTGTTCAAGTTGTGTCCTAGTACTTTGCCTTACGATAGCGGCGTCTGAAGTACTCTTACTCAAAGGGTTTTGTGGGGTGTAGAAGTGATGGAGGATAGATCTGTTAGAAGCCTCTATATAGGGCTCCTCCTGTTCGGAGCAGGGAAGATTCAGATACTCCAGAGCAGCCTCAGGTGCTGGGGTCCCCATCTTCGAAAGTCATTGTGCAGTGTAGAAGTGATGAAGGACTCATCGTGCAGAAGCTTCTTTCATAGACTATCCCCCCTTCGGAGCAGCGAAGGTTGAGATGCTTCGGAGCGGCTTTAGGTACTGCCGGCGTCTGATTACCTCTTACTCGAAAGTCATTGTGAAGTGTAGAAGTGTAGATGTGATGGAGAGTCGATCAGGCGGGGGCCTCTTTCATAGGCCCTCTTTCGTTCGGAGCAGCGAAGATTCGGACACTTCGGAGCATACTTCAATGCTCGAGCATTCGTCCACTGCCGTTTGGCTGACGTGTGGAGTATAAAAGTGATGGAGGAATGATTAGATGGAAAAATCATTTATATGCCCACTCCCGCTCGGAACAGTGGGTATTTAGATACTTTGGTACAGTGCTAGGTGCTGCAGGCGTTACCTGGCTATTGTATAATTTGTGCAGTGGACATGCGATAGAGGAGAGGTCAGGCGAAGTCTTCCTTACACCAGGTCAGCCCTTTCCGTTCGAAGCAGCGAAAACATATCGTAGTAGTTTTGGGTTCTGCGAGCATTCACTGAATTCTGGCTGATTTGCGAAGTATAGAAGTGACGGTGGAAAGACCAGACCGGATTTCCTATTGTTTGGCGGCCCGCCCATTTGGAGGCGCGAAGGTGTCTGCGAGTAGTGTCGGATGCTGCAGGCGTTCATTTGCCTGGTATAATGTGTGGATTGTAGAAGCTGTAGAGGATATATGAGGCGAAAGTATCTTTTCTATGCCCTCTGCTTGCCATAGCGAAGATGCAGGACGAAGACATAAATTTCGGCACTCCTTGCAATTCCCCGAGGTATCCCAACAGGCTTCGGAAACTCTAAACACGGTGTAAAGGTCCACCAAGGAGAAGTAAGACTACAATTTGATGAACTGAAGCCATGCTACTCAGGGTACTCCTCGCGATGGCGTTGAGAGAGCAAGGGTGAAGCCAGGGCAGTGGCACACCTGTGTGCCCAAACCCCTGACAAAGTACTGTACTTCGGAGTAGCCTTAGGTAGTGCAAACGTTCATAGAACTTCACTGACTTTGGTATTCGATTCTTCCAGCCCATCCCAGGCCCTTGAGTCTATGAGTTCGGTTCACGGTGCTGGCTGGTTTGCATTCAGTAAAGCATTATGGCGTTGAATAGATATTGGCAGCTCACAAATATGAGACTCGATGCTAAACCTCCACATACTTTAGATAAATACTCACTTTGCGCTCGTGTGCACTTGCCTAGCACCGCATGAAGCCCTTTAGCACATTATCAAAAACGGTAAAACGACATTTTTAACGAGGCTGATGACTCTTTAAGCCACTTCGGACGGTGTTGGGGTGCTATAATATGTTCACCGGAGCCTGAATAGCTGCCCCCTCGCGAGCTGCTTGTGGTGAAGGTCTACAGCTTGAGGTGAAGGTTAGCGTCCACACACTTCCATTAAACCCACCGTCACCCATCTTCATTCACCTTCAGCGAACCTGCATTAAACCATCGTACGTACCTTCGAATCACCCCTTGCTGTACGCTTTGCTAACGCGCCGTCTAGTCTACAAATCTCAACAAAACACGAAGCTTTCAACAAACCGTCCCAAAATGATCAGGACACCCGGAGAAGCTGCCCACCAAGCGCGGTACATGCGACGCAAGCGCCGATTGGCGGCACGTTTCCGTGTCGTGACCAGACGCCGCGTCTTGCGCCCGGTGCCGTTCAAGGCGACATTATCCACCATCGAGGAAGAGTCGGAAGAATCAACCACTCAATCTATGCGCTCATACTGCTCTTTGGCCTGGGTCTAGGCCCATCTACCTCCACTTTCAACCGCCGACACCGAGCTTCAAATGAGGACATGAATTTCAGCACCATAGATATCAGACGCCAAGAGGATGTTCTACCGCTGACGGCTTCAAATTGGGGGGGCGGGGGGAGGGAGTGCGCTGATTTCGAGCGCGATGACGCTGGCTGGGGGGAGCTTTATATATATATCGAGTAGAAATATCGGAAAGTGTTTGCTGTCGACCGAAAATGAAGCTCAAAGGACGTATTCACCAATTGCATGCCTTCAGATTATGACCTCCGACAAAGTTGACCTCACGATCTTATAGGATCCACATTACATTCTCGTCTTACTTTTACATCGTGTTATTTACTGTGTAGGTTTGCATGCTAGATAGCACTGTACGGAGTAGCCCGACTGGTAGGTACGCGGTCAGCCAAAAGGGAGTCCAATTTCTACTGCACATGAGGTCACCTCATACAGACCACAAGACATTCTCGCCTTATCTTCACATCATGTTCTACGCGTAGCGCTTTTGCATGCGTGATGGCATTGTACGGAGTAGCTCAGCTAGAAGGTAGTCGACCAGTCAAAAGGTAATCCAATTTTCATCCGGGGACACTACGATATGCAGAAACATGTTACATTCTCGCTTTACCTTCACATCGTGTTCTACGCGTAACGCTTTTGCATGCTTGATAGCACTGTACGGGGTAACCCAGCTAGAATAGAGTTGGCTAGTCAACAGGTAATCCAATTTTCATCTTGGGTCACTGCAATTGGCAGAACCACGTTACATTCTCGTCTTGTCTTCATATCGTGTTCTAAGCTCTACAGGTTTGCATGCTTGATAGCGCCGTACGGAGTAGCCCAGCGAGTTGGTGGTCGATCAGTCAAAAGGCAACCTACTATCTACTGCGTCTACTTTTGCATCGGACTTGAAGTTTTGAAGCCCTAGAGGCACCCCAAGCATTGGCAGTAGTAGTACCTTGCATTTAGACACTCCGATATAGCACTGCAGGGCCTTTACTCTTGCTCGCTCGACACCACTGTGAGAAGTACCCCGGCAGGAAGGTACGCATTCAGTCAAAAGGTACTTTTCGCAACAACTATTTTACATTTTTATCTCACCTTCATATCAGATTCCGCAAGTTATACGTTTGCATGCTTGATAGCACTGTACGGGGTATCCTAGCTAGTAGGTGCAGGGCCAGTCAAGGGGGGGTTCGAAGCACGTGGCAAAGCCCGCTCAAAAAGTCTCGTCAACCACCTGAAGATGGGCTTCCCCAGTATACGTGGCCAGCTACGAAGCGCCAGAGGATAACCGGAAATGGGAACTCGCCAGGATTGGCGAAGTGCTCTTCGCAGCAGCACATGACTCCATTTCATATTGCACGGTCACTGCAATGTGGGACAAGATAGATGAATATGAGGGAGGGCATCAAAGGTTTTTAATTTTAAAAAGGATGAAGACTGAGTTTAAAACCATCCCATCCACCGAAATCAATGCATCCGCGAAAAACAAAACCCAGCATAATGACGACAACAGCCACCTCGAGTCAACCTTGAGAGCGGGTCCTTGTCCTCCTACTCAAGCAGAACTGACTCTAACTATGATGGCGCTTGCTGGCAATGATGTTCAGCATAATGACGACAACAGCCACCTCGAGGTCAGCCTTGAGAGCGAGTCCTTGTCCTCCTACCCAAGAAGAGCTGACCCCAGTCATGATGGCGCTTGTCGGCAATTTCCGAACATGGGAGCGACTTCCTTCATGATGGCGTTCTTTTCCTTGACCGTCCGCTCCAGAGCCGGACATGGTGATCATCTCGAGGCGACGATCATGCGGCTGGGAAGCAGAGCCCGGGCCGCACCCATGGTTTTTGAAATGAGTGTCGATGTTCTCCATGGTGATCATCTCGAGGCGGTGATCGTGATGGCGAGGTGGTAGGAGCTGCAGATATGTCTGTGTGTGAGAGAGGTGTCAGCCTTGAATCAAGTGGAAGATGAGGAGCTGTGGAGTCAACGTACCTTGAAGGGATGGATCGCAAAGGCACCATTCCAAGCTGAAGCCACACCAATTCCAGTTCTCTGACCTGCGAAGGGACAAGTCAGCTTTGGATCAGGAAGCGTCAGAAGGGTGATGGCCTACCTGTAGTATCTAGCCCAACTCCTCCAGCACACCCATCGCCCTCGGCCTTGGTGGTCGACGTGACGCTGGACTGTGACTTTGGATGCTGATGATGTCGTGACTCTGTCATTTCGTTCTTACAACCCAACGTGCACGGTGATATGAGATCCCACCGTGCACGTTGGTTTGTAGGTTGGTTTGTAGAACGAACGGACGGCAGTACTTTCTCAGTGCTCCAAAGAGCTTCGTCTTCCAAGTCTTCGATTTCGTATTCGGGGGGACTGTCTCCTGGCAAGGACGGCGGACGCAGGCGAGCGACGTAGCAGGATGAGTTCCTCAGGGCGATAAGTGCTAGTAGCATGACGAGTGCGAGAGTAAGGGAGACTGGTGAGGATTAGCTTGAGGTGTCGATGCAGAGTCAGGCCACTCATGCAGGCAAGTGTTTGGACTGGCCTGAGGGGAGCATGGAGGACTTACGCTTGAGACGGGGTGGACGAGGAGGGTGCTACTGATGGACGAGGTGCGGACGGTGCAACTGGTGCGGCTGTTGCATTGCGAGTTGGACAATGAAGGCTTGGAAGATCGTTATCGCAATGTGGTGATGTTGAGGAGGATGGTGTAGAGGAGAGGAAGTGAGGTGCGGACGTTGGGGCTTATAAGCCTCGCGGCAGTTGATCGACACTTAAGCGAGAGAGGCTAGGCCCAACTCGGACGAGGTAAACAGTGAGGAGGACGAGCTCGAAGGACGGTGGAAGAGAAAGACGGGTGAGAGGGGCGAGGGCCTCTACTTATAGACGGAGGAGATGGCGCCCAAACTCCTTATCTTGAGCTGGTTTCAGGCTGCAGTTCGTCATGGCGTGACGCTGGGCAAGTAGACAAGATGTTGGGCACCGCGGAGGCGTTCCGCAAGGCTATGTGCGCCTCAAATCTGTTGAGCGGTGGTATCATGATGGGCATGTGGACAGGTGGCTCCAAGATTCTCAGGGAGGTGGGACCATGCGCATGGCAGTGGCCGGATTCGTTGAGGATATGAACACCGCTCGTCTTCTGTCCCTCAATTCGCCTTAGATAGCATGATCAGAGGCGGCTGGATGCGGTTGTATAACTCCCAATGTTATGTGCAGTACAACCAGATATGCCCAGTCTATACAAACCGTCTGGATCATGCATTTGATTCAGAGCCAGATCCAAGATCTCGAAGATATGATATACGAAAACAGATCGTAAAGAGCCTTCTCGATATACCACTGTAATCCTCGTGCCGGAAACTCTGACATCGTAATCTGCGCTCCATCACCATGCCTCAGGACCACAGCCACCACGGTGATCGCATCAAAACGATCAACACGTGATTCACCGCTCTTCCATTCATCCCATCCCTTCACCTTTCTTCGTCACCCTCTCCCTTCACCCCGTCTCTTTTAGTGCCAACATATAACCTCCCCCTCCCTCCTCCACTCCTCAAACCAGATCAAACAGCGCACATCGTCACCAAACCTCTTCAATTTCTCACAAACTTCCATCAAAACTCCCACAAACAACCACGCTTCCGCACAAACTTTCAATTAAACAACTACAAACAACGACGCCATGTCTACCTCCGCAATCCCCGTAGTCGAGCTGTCGCCGGAGTCCGACTACGACGCCGACGAGATGCTGTACTGGGAGGAGGCGGTGATTGCCGAGGGGCTCCCCTGGGAGGTGGAGGAGCCGGCAGCGCCCGCGCCCGAGGGGCCTGAGGCGGAGGGGGAGAGCGAGGGGTCGGCGGAGATGGAGCTGGAGAGCGAGTGGTTAGTGGTTGTGCTTGTGAATCAGCGAATGGGAGCTGACTTTTGCTTAGAGCGTGCGAGTTTGGGCGGCGAGAGGGAGGGCTTGGAGCTGTGGTGGGCGAATTGGGGGCAGTCGGGGGTAGTTGTTCGGAGATTTTGGTATGTCTTTTCCAGAGGTCCTAGTTTGAGAGGAAGACGAATTGACTGATGAATTGGGTAGGGATTAGCACCGGGAGAGAGGTTGGTTGGAGTGGTTCGCCGCCGTGAGGGGTAGTCTGGCTCGGTATCAAAATTGGAGAGAAGATGTAAAGGCCCCAAGGGCATGAATCGAGACGCGTTCAAATCTGCATGAAAGAATCATCTTGCCGCTGTGTGAAGTGTCTCGTGATATGATTGAAAATGAAGATGAGGTGTATCGTTTTGGATAACCTATATTAGAGCGCGTTCAAAGGGACTAAAATGAACTGATTGCCGGTACATGAAACGCCTTGGGGTGAAGTCATGGATCAATAAACAAAGTAGAGTTCTGAAGGGTGTGAATCGAAAGGTGGTAAAATGATTGCAAAGAGTTCATCTTGCTGCTGTGTGGGACTTCTTGCGTGGAATCGAGAATAAATATTAGATGGGAAGATCTCAGGAGCGTGAATGAGAACCTACTCACTTCTTCTGTGAAGTCCACTTGCCGCGGTATGAGGTGCCTTGTGAAAGATCCAGGAATCAAATACCATGGACAGGCTCTTGTAGCAGGAATCGGAGGGATTTCAAATAGTTTATATTGGGGTCATCTGGCTGCCGTCAGAGTTCCTCTGGAGGAGTATCAGAAACTCATACGAGATGTAAAGCTTTCGAGGGCATGAACGAGAATGCGTTCAAAATCTCCGTAATCGACATTTCATATCGCTGCACGAGGTGCCCTGTCGTGAGATCACGTTCCTAAATAAGATGCATACTCTTCGGGAGCAGGAACGAGAACAGAATCCATCGTTTGCTGACACTAGGTTACCGCCGTGCGAGGTGTCTTGCCGTGGTATCATGAGACGAGATCGGATGTCAAGTTTTCGAGGATGTCGAAGACAACAACTTCAAATTGTCTGTGATTAGCTCTTGAATTCACATCTATATCCTACTTTGCGCGGCTTTCAGCATTCGGATAACAAGCTGGATGTATCTGCTTGCCGCCGTATGAGGTGGTTGATCCTGACATCGGGAATGAAGATGAGATGTCAAGTTCTAGGCAACGTGAATGAGAGCAGTTTCAAATCTTCTGTGGTAAGTCAGCCAAAGTGCGAGTCTATACTCACTTACGCGACTTACAGCACCTAAACAAAGGAATGAAAGGGCTGACTTGCAGCTGTTCGAGGTGCTTCGTCATGGGAGAAGAAATCCAAATAGGATGTCAAGCTCTTAGGGATGCAAACGAGATCGGGACCAAATTTTTCGCACTAATTCATCCAAATTGCAATTTCGCCCTCCTATTCGAGATCTCCAGGGTCTAGAAAAGTCGAGAAGTGCAATAGCTTACCGTTGCATGAGGTACTTCCTACTTCCTCACAGTAAAACAGATCGAGATGAGATGTCAAACTCTCGACGACTGAAATGAGGACAGGTGCAAACCTCCCGCACTAACTCATCCAAGTTATAAGTGCGCCCTCCATATCATGGCTTTCAGTATCTAGACTAAAGGAAAAGTACACTAGCTCGCCGCTGCATGAGGTGCCTTGTCACGAGACCAGAAACCGGAATAGGATGTAAAGCTCCAGAGGCCGTGGACGAGCGCGGATTCAAAACCCTTGCGCCACCTTACCATAATCGCAACGGCATCATCTATATCATTGAATATGGCGTCTGGATAAAGAATGAGTACACTGACCTGCCGCTGCATGAGGTGCCTTGTCACATGATTAGAAACCGGGATAAAATGTAAAGCTCCGAGGACGTGAACGAGAGCGGGTACAAATCGATTGCATTTACGCATCTAAACCACAGCTACATCTCCCATCGCGGGACGCATTCCTTCTCCTAAGCCTCCATCCGCACTCCCCCATGGCTCATGCGGTCTGACGTGAGGTGCTCGACGTTCCACTCTGTATGCCACATATTGCAGCTCCCGATGACTCGTTACCGCCTACTCCTCAATTTCTCAAGCAAACTTGACCTTGCAGTAGTGAGAGATGTGGTGCAAGATATCGCTGAAGTTTGGTTTCTTCGGGCAGGCGTTGCAGTGCAAGGGAATGATGCCGGTGACAGGCACGCTGGCGAGGCAATTGGAACCGCGAGTAGGCAAGCGTGGAGGCCCGTGACGAAGCGTTGAGGGTGACCCAGGGTGAATGGCCTTATGATTGAGGAACTGCGAGATGTCGCTGAAAGAGGGTCTGGGTTTCCACGTGTGGCTTCGGAGTAAGTGCGGAGGCTGACCTTGTAGTAGTGAGAGAGGTGGCCTTTGCCTCTATGCTTCGATTCGAAGCTATACGAGAGATGGTGCCGTCTCCGGCGCCTTGTTCCAAGGGACTTAGACAGGAACCAAACCGAAATGTCCTCTACAAGCCACACCACCGGCGGTGAGGAGGATCGAGATATCGCTGAAGTTTGACTTTCCAGAGGAGGTGTTGCAACGCAAAGCATGTTGCCAGTGACGGGAATGCTTTAGAGGCAATTGATTTTTGCGGCTGTCCGACCAGGCAGTGCCGCGAAGCTACCATCTGCTGGATTATGGCTGAACGCCTATAAGTAACGGTAACAAATGTAAGGTCCGGTTCCTCGAGTAGATAATGCAAGACTTGAGAATGCTGCTGGAAACGAACATGATGGCGAGGCAATTGGTAGCTTCCCTCTCGATCGACATGTTGATAACTGACTTGTGGCGGCCAAGACTTCAGAGCGACGTGACATAGTGATCCATCGGTGCCGGCGGTGACGAACATGACACTGTGGAAGGTAAGTATAGCCTTAGGTCTATATGGATTTCAGGATCCCCCACCATGCCCTCTCCAAGCTGACCGTCCCTGCCAAGGGCGCGGCATGGATGTTGCGTCGCTGGGACTCAAGACGAGCAGAAAGATATGCACATCATCGCACAGCCGGGAGCGAAACACCCGCCTGTTGGCCGTCGTACACCAGAGTCTCAGCCTACGACAGTCAGTGGTAGGTTGAGGATGTGGGAACGTCTTGCAAGGCACCTCACACCGCCATAGCTGTCTTCCATTGCAAGACCTCAGCCTCCTCCTCGAGCAGCTGCACTTTAGGTTGTAAGCCCGGGGCGTTCTTCCCTGCGTGCGAGCTCTCGCCCGCGTTGCCCCTCTATTCCTTGATCTTGCCTTCGAGCTTCTCTATTAGGTATGTCCTCTGTCTCTCTTTGAGCCACGTATAAATCCCAGGCTACGCGTTTGGTGAGGGCAGTGGGCTTTCGCAAGCGGAAATTATGGTTCGAATTTCAGATCAGAGAGCGCAGGATGTGGCGGAGGCTGACAAAGGATTCGGTCTCGGGCGGGATGGTTTCAGCGGTCTGGTCTCGATGTTAGCCGTGATCTTTTGGATTCCTTCGAGCTTACTGAAACTTACCCCTACATTCTGGCGGAAAACACGATGAAGAAGAGATAAATGAAGGTATACCATCCTTGCCGACCCGCTTCGGCCCTCCGCCCTGAGAGAAAAGCAAAGCCTGACCGACCACTTTTCTCCTCAAGAGCCAGGCCGTCACAGCTACCACCTGCACCTTGATGGTTTGGTAGCGGTTAGGAAGAGCCGTCACAACCGTGGATCAAGTGAAAGGAAAGCCTTTTGGAAGTGAGGTGGGTTCGGACAGGGAGTGAAGGAGACGCCTCGACGTCCTAGCGGAAGACTGACGGCGGATCGGGAAGCGGCCGGTGCGCGGACGTCGTCCACGACGTCTCGACGGCAGACGCTGACCTCAAGGGTGCTTTTCGTCGGCTCCACCTGACGACTGTTAGTTTCTCAGTATCAAAGTACTGACCCTTGCGGCCTCTGTGGAGTTGAGACGTATAGAAGCTCACCTGTAAGGGTAACGATTTTGCCAGTGGCGCTGATGACGTTCGAGCTGTCGAGAATACTGTAGTAATACCTGAATTTTGCTGATGAAATGCATTAATAAGACGAGACGATGACGGTAGAAAGAGTGCAGGATGGAGAGTGTGGAGGCTGAGGATGCTGGGAAGACGTAAGGCGGAGATTCCGATGGGCTCCTTCTTGGGTAGGCAGGATCTCACGTCATGCCCGACGGTCGGTGTCGATGACAAAAACAAAAACGGAGACCAATTTGGAAGGAGTGCAGTTTGGCGGATGATAACACGCGAACGAATTCGATGTATGCAGGCTTGAAAATGTGAAGTTGAAGAGCCTTTCCAAGTCTTCCGAAATCGACCTCTCAGTATGGTAATATTGGTGACAGCCCGAGTTGGAATGACTGATGACTCTGACAGGTCTTTCATTTGATAAACAACGGATGCATGATGGTAACAGAATGCATGTTGAGCTACTGAAAGATCCAGCTGTCCGGCCGCCGTCCTCATTCTGGTATCCGCGGCCAACGATACGTCAGTCCGGAACGCAACTTCAAGCACATGCGCGGAACCTTCTAAGCAGGGTGCGGAGGGTGGCATCGCCGGCACCCTAAGCCAGACCTTGGGATCTGCATCGCCTCTTCGACTGTGCCGAAACCTTCGAACTTGGCGCGGAGGGTGGTATCGACGGTATGCCAGGCGAAGCTACTCATGATGATCAGCGTGTGTGTTATGGGTGAATCAGACAATGTGAGGAGGCATGCTAACCCGCTGAACAGCTTGGACATGGTGCCAAGGTCGCAATGTTGATGCCAGTGTCATTGATAACCAGGAAATTAAGAAAGACTGCAAAAGGTCCTGCCGCAGCGGTCCTGTCTTTGGCCAGCTCCCCCGAACTTGTGCGGAGGGTGGCATCGTCGGTGTGCCAGGCATCCCTTTGAATTTCAGATCTAAGGCCATCACGACCCTTGCTCTTGGTTTCAAAGAGGTCTCCATCTGCGAAACACTCCCGTCTCTCTTACGAAACAGTACAGATAGTGAAGCCCTACGCCTGTCCATATTGGACAGAGCTCCCAATGTTTGTAGTTTTGCTGGTTAGGTGGTGTGGTTTCGTGATGCGGTCTTCGAGGCGCGGGCGACCACCCGTGATCCAATCTGCCGGACTGCGTGATACGGCCGGCGGTTTCCCGAATAGTTCTGGAACATATTCGCTCGCGTCGACGGTATTGCGGCGCCGGTAGTTGCTGTCGCGAGCTCCGGAAGAGAAAAGGCTGGTGATTGCGTGATGTAGGACGAATACTTTCCAAGTAACTCCCCGTCGGTCGACGATGTCTGTAAGAGCAACGAGTTTCCCAATTTGACCTGGAATAGTTCGATTTCCATGAGCGCAATCTTGACGACGCATATCCGCGCGTCTTCAGCTTGCGCCTCGGGAGCATTGGTGTTCTTGCTTTTGAAGAGATCTCTCGTGTGATGGGTAGAGAAATTATTGAGTTCGTCAAGAAATGGCTTGATGTCGAGCTCTTCGAACTTTGGAGTGCGGTAATCTCGGTGTGCTAGGCGTGACAAATAGTGAAAATTAGCGTATATACTTTGGAGGAAATTAGAAGGGCGGAAGTACCGGCCTGCCTAGCGAGTTTGCTGAGAATGATGGTTCAGTCGCAAAATCAATGATGGGGTCCTTGATCATAGCGTCCTTGACGATTCCATAATTTGTAACCTAACCAGGAGGCTCCGGATTATCCATCGTATTTATCTCGTGGAACTCATCAGACTGATGTTCGGCAGGTCTTCGTGGCGTTGCTAGGGATGTCGCAGAGGGTGAGAATCCCGTACGCGACTGGCTGCTTTTGCCATGTGAAACTCATTCGACGAGTCGAGTTGCTTGGGAATGGAGCTCCAATTGGGAGATAACTTTCTTCTAAAGCTAAAAACTGACCAGAGACCGATAGCGCACAAGTAGAGTGATCGAAAGATGAAAAAGGCTTTGTTAAAAAGAGTTAAAAGTACGTGAAGTTTTTGAAAGGGAAGCGCTTGCAATCAGACCCGTGAAGCAGAGATATACGGATCAACTGGGGCATTTGGTGGTGACCACTAGGCACATACGAAGCGTGGCTTTTGGGAACAGGTCTTGACTTCCTTAGGCAGCGTTGTGGCGATATCGGGGTGATTCTGCTGGGCTTGAGGTATGGTGTACGAAATAGTTGCGGAAGCAATGGAGGGAGAAGATTGGATGGAGAGATGCGGAGAACAGAAGTGAGATTATAATTGATCTGTCCGGAATCGCCGAGGGCCGAATCGAAAGTGGCATTGTCGCCGTGCTGGACGGCATCGAAAACTCCCAATCCTAGTGTCTTAGTATTGTCCGTCTCAACAGTGTGATCATGTTCGCGTGTCCTCAGCTTGTACGTAGATATCGTTTCTGTTCCAGCTCCGAGCTGTCCAAATGATGGGGATATATGTTCGTCTCCGGGCTCGCTATGACGCTATTGCAAGGGGGGGGATCGGACCGTCTGGGGCTTCTCAAGGCAGCATAGATCGACTCGTTTTTCGCAAAACGTTGACCTGCGACCGTCTTTGCTAATTTTGCTGTAAGCATGGGGTTGTCAGGCAATAGGCGTCGACTTTGACACACAGTAGCGCAATTCCGAGCTCTCTCGACTGGGATACGGAGGATTGCATCGTCAGGTGTGCCAGGCAAAGTCGCTAATAGGATTAGCATGAGCGACTGTTACTGGTGAATGTTAGACTCACCTAATAGATACCTTGAGAATGCTATCGCGGTCATAAGCTCGATGGCGGGTGGCCAGGTTTGCGAACTTCCTCACTGCTGCGAGCACTAGCTGACGCTTCCTAGGGTACTGTCGAGTATCGCGTCTTTCCCACAGCTTAAGCCTTTTGCAGGAGCCAGCGACGTCTCCGCAAACGAGGCCAATGTCGATCATCCCCCTCAAACACGCCGCATGCGACCGGCCCCGCTCACCGCAACACAGCTCGCGACATAACAGTCGTCATCGTTAATGAACCGCTCGTGTCTTTTCGGAACCAAGGCCCAAAAGCTAGGTCATACGGCCGCGTGATGCTGGCATGATGATCGGAGGTGGTTGGAATGACTTGTACTGTTCCACGTCCGCGAATCTTGAGATTGAGAATTATTAGGGTAACCCCATCGTAACTCGAAAAAAGCAATACCAACTCACAAAACAAATTTGTAGCGCCCATATTCCCATAGCCCTGCCTATTCCAAGGTGAAGTTCCGTTCCAGGACAGAGGTATGCCAGTCCCTGCTCTTCAAAGGCAGTTTCCAATTCTCAGAAGCCGTGCACCGGCATTTCTCCATATTGGCTAACCCTTCCTTAGAATAAGATATGCTGGTAGACAGTAGTCGCCTCCGCGACCTCCGCCTGGGTCGTACATATGCCAACATGTCCTCTCGGGGAAAGCCTAAGGGGCACCGTTTTCAAGAACAGCGGCGACGGGCAAAGCCAGGATGGGTGGAACGGTGACGAGAAGGCTCATTCCCGGAACAGCATCGTAGGAACCGCGTATGCTTCAAGGAGGAAGAACGCTTGGCGATGGTATGCCGGTGCTAGCTGAGCTGGCAGCATTCGTCTGCCCCTGCCATGGTAGATTTGGTGCGTATGCTCTTCAAGAAGCTCAAATTGAGAGATTAGTACGGAGCCATGCGCGGTAACAGGATAGCTGTAGGACGTGCTTACAGATGCGTTTCAAGCCCATCGGTCACGCATACGGGATTCGGTAGTGCCCGAGTAACGTCGTCACCGCTTCGCAAACAGACTTGCAAAGGGAAATCGCACGGGGAAGCACAGTAAGCGGGTGGTAGTTGCGGTGTGAAATATATAGTAGTGAGGTTAAAAGAGAGGAGCGGTCGACCCACCATATCCCATAGCTCAGCTGCCTCGCTACCAATCTTGCCGATAGGGGCCCCTTATTTCGGTAGCAAGTGCCATGAAACGCTCGATTTTGTGTATGGAACAGCGTATGGCGCAGAAGCTGTGTAGGTCGAAGCTCTTGACACAAGGCAGGTATGAGCAGGTCTGGCGGCGAGAGGGAGGACAGGCCCGGAGATGGAAGACAGCTGCAGAAAGCGCTGAACAGCTTCATAATAGCTTGTAGACGTCGAGAGCGCCTGAACCGTTCACGGGATTATAATGAACTTGCCGCACCAAGTGGATATGTGGCTGCCTTCGCATTTTCGAGCTGCAGGCTTCATGCAGCGGTCGGGGCATCGTACTGGTCCCGCGAGACATCTCAGCATTCGTTCTTCCCACTTCAGCGCATTACGTCAGCCCACCTTTCCCTTCTCTTCTTCTTCCATCCACCAACACCAACTTCATTCTTTCATGCCTCAACGTCCGTAACGCAAGCATCATGTAATACCTCTCAGCATCTAGACACTGCGGTATGTCACATCATGCCTCATCCCTCAAACCCCGGTGACACTATACTGATGCTACCCAGGGCTGGCTTACCTCCGGACGAGCTCCATTTCGACCCGTCCATCCGGCCACCATGCTCTCTCTTTGCATCAAATGCCGCGGGATGCTCACCAGCATCTCCAGTCATTCTTGGTATGGCATCACCCTCCCTATCCTCATGATCTCTCCTCGAGACCACTGCCCTCCGCCCATTCTTCGTAGCAGGCTGCGTCGAAATCGAAACTGACTGACCCAGATCCGTCGACAGTGTTATGGCATCTCTATGGTCTCAATTCAATCGTCCACACCATTCCAAGGCATATTTGGACGTCTACTCGTAAGTTTACATTCCCCATTCCCTCGTCATGTCTCTCATGACAGTAGCTAACTATGATCGATCGGCAGGTCCATCCCAGCTCCATCTTCGCATTCACAACAGCCCAAGGGTTTCAAGAGGAAAGGGCACATTGCTTTTCATCCCATCGTCGTCCTCGCATTCGCAACAGGCCAAGGCTTCCAGGCGTGAAAGTTTCCTCGACGCCCAAGCCGCCCCGCTTGCACGAAAATACCCATACTCGGTCTTGAAGGCACTTAAATTGCTCCACGCCCATGGACTGTGGTATGCGCTTTAGACCGGCGAACCGCCAAACTGGCCTCACCGCCCAAGCCGCCTCAATTTCATCAGAGCACCCACGTTCAGGCCCCGTCATGAAGGCACTTAAAGGTCTCCGAGAGCACAAACTGTGCTCCACACCCCTCCATTGGCCGACCGCCAAGCTGGCCTCGCCGCCCAAGCCGCCCCGCTTGCACCAAAGGTCCCATACTCGTTCTTCACGGCACCTAAACTCTTCCACAGCCATGGCCATGGACTATGGTCTGCGCCATCGAATAGTCGACTACCAAGCTGGCCTCTCTGCCTGTTCGGCTCTCGAGTTGCTACAACTGCGGCAAGATCGGCCTCTTCAGCAACAAGCAAGCTTTATCCCAGGCCTTCATTCGCTATTCCTATCAGTCAGGCATCACAACGCTCCTAACCAGTAAGTCATTGCAATGCTCAGTATCTGATCTTTCTAACCTCTTGCAGTATTATGACGCCTTTCGCCATTTTTGTATACCGTCTTTTCACACCCATTGGCCAGGAATGATACATGTACCTGGGGCTGGGTGCGCCTGCGGCCGGTCATCTCAGCCGCGAACACGCCCAGCCCCAGGCATTTCTTCGGTACGTCTTCTTCACCTCCGTTCCATCGATCTCCAACTGACCTGACGCAGATTTTTTTCGAAGACATTTTTGACCTCTGCCATGCAGCAACATCCTTCGCTGCCATGGCAGCGGTCCCTCCAGGTGGAGGACGCAGTAGATGTGGGGTTGGAAAGACGCCATCCACCGGTGCCAAGCAAAACCGTTGGGTTCTTTCATGCATCTGCAGATGCACCGGTGGATGGCGTCTTTTCAGTATTGGGTAGATGTTGGGGGGATGAAAGGGCGTCCTCCGTCGGTGTATGAAGGAACCGTTAGGTTCTTTCATGCATCGGCGGAGGGCGTCTTTTTCAGTACGAGTCGGGTTCCGGGTTTGCGGGAGTGGGCAGCAGCTGCGGGCCAGTCATAACAGCACACTTGATTGACTGGTCCGCAGCTGCTGTCAATCAAAAAATTATATCTCAAATCATGCTTTCTCTCCTCTCTTGTGTGATGTGACTCTTCAATTCAGCTCTTCAACTCCGCTCTATCTCTTACAGCCTCTGAATCCCTCACGCCCGAAACCCTCTCTCAACTCCCAGTCTCTCATCTTTGACATCGCCCCCTCCAGATCTCGCCACTTCCAGACTGCCTTCACCACCGCTTCCCACGCGCCCATCGCCCTCTCTCGATCTCCACCCTCCCATCCTTTACATACCCCTCCCCCAATCTCGCCACGTTCAGACCGCCCCCTCCTCCTTCTTCACCCCCACAGCGCCCTCCCTCTGCACCTCCGGATTCCGCGCACGCAGCCCCTTGACCCTCCATACCCCCTCCATGACGCTCGCAACCGGGCAAACTGTTTCCCATTAACACCAATCCTTTCAAAAGCCCCAAAAGCCCCAAAAGCCCCATAACTCCCATAACTCCCGTCACTCCCAGGGGCAGCACTTACTCTCCTCCAACGCAAACACCCCCTCCGCCTTCACGAAGGCATTTCCAGCCCCCGCGTCGAGCCCCGCGGCGGCGCGCTGCCGCTGCAGCCCCACTACTTTCACCAGTTGCACCACTTGGGTCGGTGCGACGGCGACGGCGTCTTCGATGTCGGGCACGGCGGCGCGGGCGGGCGGATAGGCGTTGTGGGGGGTGGGGCCGAGGACGCGGCGGGAGAAGGGGGTGAAGTTGTCGTGCTGGGGGAGTGTTAGTGCGTGGAATGGGGGAACTGGTTAAACTTGGGGGAGTTGAGGAAGGTTCGGAAGATCAGGAAGATCAGGGGTTTGAGGGGCGCTTACGTCTGCTTCATGTGCCTTGCAGGCGCGGAAGAGGGTGCCACACGGGCAGCTCAGCGTGATGCAGTACGGGCACGCCGTCGTGTCGTAGGGGACCTCGACGTCCCGGTGCAGGAACACGAAGTCGGCGCGGGTGGGAGGCTTTGGGGCGTTGGAGGCGGCGGCGTTGGCGTTGTTGGAGGCAGACATTGTGGTGATGTTGAGGATGTTGAGGATTTAGTGACGACGTGTAGTTGGATATAGGAGATCTAGCGTGCGATGTGTGCTTGGAAGTACGAGATCTATTGCGCGATGTGTGGATGTGATGCAGGCTATGGCGACTGAAGAAGGAAAATTGAGATTGCACGTTGTGGAGTAGAGGTCAACAGGTGGGTGGCTTAGTCAGGTAAGATTTCATGGTGAAGCGAGTATTGAAACGTGGAATGCGCTGTTTTGATACTGCTCGTCTGAAGTGCGTCAAGAGGCCAAGCATTGTTGGAGGGTGATGTCACGTTTTGGACGCGCTAGATTGGAGATTTGGATTCGGGATGAGCTTGAGATGCGCCAACTGCGATGAAGCAGAGATCAAGCATACTAGCGTGTTATTTTGGAAGTACTGATAGAGTTCTGGAGCATCTCTTGAGGAATGAATTCGTTGGAGGAGACGATGTCACTTTCTCCACACGCTAGATTGGACATTTTGATGCAGGATGAGCTTGAGATGTGCGAATTGCGACGGGGTAGAGACTACGCATACTAGCAGACTGTTTTGGTCGTGCTGATATAGTTCCGAAGCACCTCTTGGGGTTTGAGGTTGTTGAAGAAGACGATGTACCATTCTACATGCGCTGAAGTAGACGTAGTGGCTCAGGACGAGCTCAGGTTATATGAATCGTGATGAAGCAGATGTCATGTGCATCTAAAGTTCGTTTTGATATGGCTGATGTAGCGCTGAGGAGCTTTTTAGGGATAGAGGAGTCTAGCGTAGCGATGGAAGATCTCCAGTATTGCATATCTATCCTCGTCTCGAACGGATGCGAATGCTACCGCGAAGCGCTTCAATAAGGAGATCGAGTGGGAATTGAGCACATCAGCGTGAGTTTTTGATAGTGCATTTCTATCGTCTGAGGTATTCAAATGGGGCATCAGCGATTGAGATGGTATGCAACGGCTTCTGCCATGCAAATCGATCGTGCTCCAGAACATACGCAATTGCTACCACGTGACGCACCTCTGCAGCCGATGAGCCCAATGTCAGGAACGTTCTAAGTTCATTTTGGCATCAACTTACCATAGTTGAAGCCCTCCAATCAGTCTCATCATGCCCCCAATTTGGCAGAGTTCGTAGTGGCGATGGGGAGGTGTGGGAATTGGAGGGGCGGGATTAGGCGTACTTGGCCGTGATCACGACTACGCATAAGCGAGCTGCCGCAACCTCACCTCATGCTTTTGTGGCGAACAAAACAGCATCAGACCATAGAAATATAGGGAAATGGCAATAGAAATGCTATACGATCTACCGTGAACTTGACCTCATCACCAGTCTCGCAGGCCGGCCGGAGTGCCATCGCATCTTCCATACGCTTACCGTTGAATATTCAAGCTTGCGCAAACATCAGGCCCTTACCTCTACCCCCTATATTTGATTTGAACTTACCATGTCGCCAGACTCAATTCTAAGGCCCATCGACTGTGCCCTCGTGCTTCGTGACGCCCGATCGCGATGCAAACCTACAACACGCGAAGCGCCTGACCTGCTGCAACGTTCAAAGCTGGTTTCCCCGTCTTTTAACACTCTTTTCGTCGACTTTGCTGGTCCTCCTCCCCTTTAGCCCATATTCCCCTCTGGATTTTGTTCTCGCGCGATATGCCCCTATTGATCTTCGTCAGCACATTTCCATGAAATGCCAAACCCACAGGCGCAATATGCTCTTTTTCCAGTAAGGAAACAACGTAGGTGATGTGGATTCCTCAATCCCAAAGGCGCTGGTTTCGCACGCGTTGGCTGGGTGCGCGGTTCGGAGCGCTGGTGTGGGCGGAGAATATTGGGGAGGATGTATGGCCAAAGCGGACCTAAAAATGGTGTATCTGTAGTATATCATGCACTCATTAGCTGTGCCATGGCCATGCAATGTATACAGGGTCCTCTTCGTCGTGTTCTCACTCTCCTCCGCCTTGCTCCCGGTCACTCGCTGGCTGGTACTCGCTGACACCCGTTCCCATGCCCCTAAAAGCTCGCGCGGTGCTAGTATGGCACCCATGCACCCCATTCAGGCCCCTCTGAAGAGCCCTTCTCGCGTTGTGGTGTAGTGACACGGTAGAAGGGGTGCTGGACGAGTGCGGCGGCGGGGAGCTCTAGAGCTCTGCGGAGCTTCGCGATACGCTTCCAAAAGGCCGAATGGATCTAGGAAGCTCGGAGGAGGCAGTTTCGAGGATGGTGAGAGCGATGAGGAGGTTCCGAAGGTCGATATCAGGGTCCGCGATGCAGCTAGGAGGGTGTAGGAGACTGGCGAGGGGGAGAGCTGTCGTCGAGGAGCTGGCTTGGCGGGCGCGCACAGAAATTCCTCAACACCAGGCCGCCGTCTCTCCTCCTCCATCACCAACCCTCCCCCATCACGACTCCTCAACATCGTCCACCAGTGCCTGGGGAGCTGCAGCAGCTCATCCAGGACGCCCTCCGCATCCTTAGCAGCGGTCTTTCGACGGCTTGAGGCGTGCTGTCGCTCGTCAGGGGGTCTCCGGATCTGCCTCTGACTCCCGCTTTTGCCCACCCTACTCACCCACAGCGACTTACCCACAGCAGCAGCAGCTCGATGGCCCTGAGACTGACCCTCTACAGCTCCTCCGACAGACGGCATCGCGGCTTCGAGCTCGATGGCCTCGTCGCAGGGGGCTGGGGGCCAGCAGGCACGACAGGCGGGCAGCGACCGACCGATGACAGCCTGGCAGCGACAACCACGACTTGCCTCCTCATCAGAACCTCGAGAAGCTCCAGAAGGACAAGGTAAGCCTCATCCCCAATAGCTTCTCCATCGTAATAGCTCGTCGCTTACCCTACCTCGCCTGACGCAGATTCTCCCCTCGATCCGCCGACCGGGCCTCAGCCAGCCCTCGTTCAACACCACCTCTTTCGACGGGCATGCTTCTCAAGCAGCTCGGCTAACGATATCGCATCCTCAGAGGTGCTGTCTCGAGTCGACAGCTGTTGTCATCGACCCGCAATGCCTCCTCAGCGACCTCATCCCCTGACCCCGCCAAGCTGCGACGACTCCAGCCAAGGAGGGTGAGTACCCAATTCCGACTCTTCAGCCTTCGTGAGAGCCCCGATGGGATGCCTAATAATCGTCTCTTGCAGCAATCGAGCTCGAAATCGGCATCGCTCAACCTCCCCTCAACACCAAGCTGGCATCGCGACTTGGCATCGGCCGGAGTTTACCCGCCTTGCCCCTTTGGCTGCGGGCACAGCACAACACCGCCTCGTGGGGCTTCGATACTTTGCACGGGGGGTGGGAAGAGTATGCGAAACCAGCTGGCATGTGTTGGAACCACCTCGTTCGACTGCTTGCTGCTGGCCGACGTCCTGAGCGGGCGGAGGCGCCCTGACTACTTGGGAGGCCACGGGCATTGCCAGCGGGTATCGTCTGGCATGCTCGCATCGTAAGTCGAAGATAAGGTCTCCTACATCGTCTTAACGGCATCTCTCGCCTCAATTCAGCTTTCGCACGCTTCCTGCTCATACCCTACCGTCACGACACCCATCCCGGTTGGGACTCGTGCTTCCTTTGCGCAACTCGTCCATATCTCTTCGAACTTCTCTCGTCTTTGGCAGATGTCCTCTCCAGCGCTTCTACTAGCGGCTTCTCATTGTCCTCGAGATCTCAGTTCTTTCGCATCCCATGGTAGGTCCCGCTTCCTCGTCTTGGCACCCATGGTGCTTCCCGACGATCTTTGCTTGAGCTCTTGCATCCATCTCCTTTGTCTTGTGGATTGCCTCTGGGTATCTATGCCCCCGGTTTGGCGTCTGTTTTCCTTGTCTTAAGGATTGCTCGTAGCATCCTAGCGCAGTTCGGCTTCTTCATCATCTTATATGTTTCGTCCATCCATCGCCTCCGACTCTTTCGTTCCCACCCATGGTGGAAGACACATCCATCTCTTGAGGCCTTTTCCTGCGTTCGAGGCCCTTTCGCTCTATCCGCTCTTCTGCTTCTTGGTCTTTCTTGTCTTCTGGCTTCTCTGTCAATTTGCCCATCACGTGATCCATTCACGTGATCGACTCGCTCCCTTCCCAAGCATCAAGGTAGGTCCTCTCAAGGGTACATTGCTCGGGATGGAGTTTGTTGCCAGGCATGCGTCCTAGCAATTGACTTTTTCACAACGGTAGGCCAGAAGGTAAGCCTCAGGTAGATGTTCTTCTCCTCTAGGTTGGTCTCTTTCCATACTAGTTCGAGTTCAACTCTTACGCTTGCGATTTCGTCGCTTCGATGGTCGTCTGGGATGTCTTCCCACGTTGGATACTGCGCAGTCGTCTTTCCTTTCGACTTCTGATCTCCATGCCTCCCAACTTTCGCAACGTCTGCAACTCTCGTTCCTCATCTTGACTTTCAATTTCCTTCAATGTCCGTCATCCTTCGGCATGTTCTAGCCGCTACTTGCCCTTGCGTCTTGAGGCGTTGCTTCTTTCGTTCTCGGGTCTCCGCGTCGCACTGCATTTTCGTCCTGATACGCTCATCGCTCTCTCAACGCTCGTCTTTGGAAGGTCAAATTTTCATCTTCAGTCGTACATACTCCTCATCTGCTTTTGGCACATCGCCTATGAGCAGGGACGCCTCCATGTACGTCGCTGTTGAGGCATGCATGATGAGGATTGGGAGCCCAAGGTTGGTCATATTCCAGGAGGCTTGAGATGCTCGGAGGTGAATCCAGTCCAGGTATGTTTCCTTCTTTGATATAGGTCGTCATCCATTGCATGGTTTTTCGAAAGCCAATGGTCTTTGAGACATCGCTCATGCAAAGCCTCCTCGTCAGGTTTTCGCCTCGTCATCTTTCATACTTCGAGTAACCTTTCCTTGGCGCATCAGCCATTCGCCGTCGATCAGCCTTCGTGTCCACAGTACTCTTTCTCAAGTTCTTCCTTGGTTCCAGCGCTCCTCTCTGCTTGCTTTCTTTCGTTGCATCTTCGACAGACTCCATTTTAGCTTCTCTTTAGCAGTCACCAGGTAAGCATTTCTCCCGGACACCTTCGGTGCACCGATGTTCTCTTGAGGTCCTTTGAGGACCTTTCTGCTTGCTTGTGTTGTGTTGTTTTGTCCTTGACCGAGTTCTTTTCGACTCCTCTTTAGCAGCCATCCGGTAAGCTTCTCTTCCGGACACCTGGTGCACCGATGACTCCTCTTTCGACTTTTTTCATCATTTCTCATCCCATGATTCATCTCTGCGCTCCCATCTTCGTCATTTTTTCCTCTTCTCTCATCCACAGGGCACGGGGTGATTGGTTTCAACCAAACCCTTTAAGCCAGGTAGGCGTTCCTACTGGTTCATAATTCGAGGGCTTTTTGCCTTGCACATTTCAACTCGTCGCGGTTCTCATCTCTTGCTTTCGGACTTATGTTTCCAACGTTCCCGGTAAGCCTTTTTCCCGGACGCCTTTGGTGTACCGATGACTTCGTCTCCTGAGGCCTTTTACTGCGTTGATGGCCTTTCTGCTTCGTTCATTTCGCTATTCCTCTTCTTTTCGAAATCAGTAGGTAAGCCCTCTCTCCCGGGCACCCTTGGTGCACCGATGACTCGTCTTGATGCCTTTTCCTTCTTTGATCCGAGGTTGACGATATTAGTGCTCGAGGGAGGGATGTGTCAGGTAGGTTTCGAAGGTAAGCAAGCACGGTAAGGTCTCCTCAATCATCATCCTAAACTCGCCGAACCCCAACGGTGGTTTGTCACCGCAGACTCCACTGGACTCTGTCCTCGCTTTCTCCATGGGGAGCAATGAACACCCTCGTCGTTTCATTTTTGGAGAATTCAAATCGTTCTGCCGGCATCCGTCACCCGTGGTGCGAGTCTAAGTCCGGGCCTCTCTCTTGGACGTTGCTCCATAGTTTCTGATACTTACCGTTCTCGCTCACCCTTCAGCATAGCTTCGATCTTGGCCAATGGCGCGTTTGCGTATCGTTTCCACTTAGTTTTTCTCGTCCCTTTCCGGCATCTAGTCGCCCATGGTGCCAGTGTAAGTCCGGCTTGCTTGTCGTTTTCTCAGGCGTACTTGCTGCGCTTTCACTCTGATGGCTTCGTTCTTCCGCTAATGGCGTAACCGCTTGGTTCCTTTGATTCGTCGATTTCTACCGGCATCCAACGCCCAAGGTGCGAGTATAAGCCCGGATGTCTCTTGCTCAGAGTTGCTTATACTTTCCGTCCTCGCTCACCCCTCGGCAAAACTTCTCTCATCTACCAATGGCTCAATGGTAGGTCATCTTGGCTCGATGTTTGTCGTTTCTGACGGCATCTCGTCGCCCATGGCGCGAGTTGTAAGTCCGGCTTGCTTTTGCTGCGCAGTTTTTCATGCTTACCGTGCATACTCATACCTCAGAACCGGGTTGTGAGTTCGTTCAAGGGATTCTCATGCAGCTTTTAGAAGTCTCCAGCTTCATCGTCATTTCTGCCAGCATCTCGCACCGAGGTTGCGAGTGTAAGTCCGGATTGCTCTTGTCTTGCAGTCTCATGCTTACCGTCCGCGCTCACCCCTCAGCTTAGCCTCGTTCAGCACCCCATGTCGTCTTATAGGTTACTTAGCGGTTGGCTCTTCGATGTCATGCTTCCTGAGATCCGTCAATTCTTGGATACCTCTGGCCTTTGCTCGTACACTCACATAGCTATTGCACTAACCTCCAAGCTGTCATTGTCCAGATGCCGGCGTTGCTGTATGTCGTTTCCATCCAGTCGAAGCGGGATCTGCTGAGGAGTCTTGCGTCTTACTACTCCTTCGTCGACCCCATGAATGGTTCCGGTTCTTCAGCTCCATGAATCTCTCCCATGCCAAGATGATGGAGGTTGCTTCCAGGCGAAGGTCCAGACGTTTGTCCGGGCACTTCTGCGGTCGCGAGTTGCGCCGACCCTGGAGGGACCTCAGGTTATCTTGGGAGGTGTTTCGGTGTTGCCTGTGGAAAGCGTTTCGACGAGAAAGTCTCTTGCTGGCCAACGTAAGCCGCCTGTTCTCATCCGCCGACAGGTGGCATTTCCAAGGATCCTTGAGGTTTGTCAAATAGTGAGTCGTGAGGTAACTGTTTTTTCTCCAAGTAGGTTTCTTGATTCTCGTGTTGCTTGCCTGGTTTCGTTGGACTTGTCATCGTATAATCTCGTCTACATCGGTAGGCTCTGGGACCTCCATACCTTTCCTCGTCATCATTCCACAAATCTTTCAGTGTCTCCTGGACCAATGTGTCCACGGGAGGTAGGCCGACTTCGTACATGGTTCCGATTTTTGGGCTTACCCCCGTCAGCGTCGTTCAGCTTGCGGTCAAGTTTCGCCTCAATCTTTTGCGGCTTCGATATGATGTTTCTACCGACCGATGGTGCTTCGATCCCTTCACTTGTCTTTGGCATCTTGGCCTTCTCTTTTGCCAGATTCGGGTTTCTGACCTTGCGGTTCAGCCTGTCAATGGTATCCTTTCGCACGTCTCGTTATCAACTCGCTCTTTCTCTCGTTCAATTGTGGATCCCTCTTACCTTCCATCCGTTCTTTTTTTCCTAATGAACGGTAGGCCCTCGTCATCGTCTTTCCTGCCTTTGGTCCTTCATTTTTCTACACAGCAGGTAGGCTTTTCTTGAGCGGCTTCTTCTTGGGAATTGCCCGACCTTTCTGCGTGCAACTTGGATTTCTCAAAGTTTCGTATCTTCCTGCAACGGTAAGCGTATCTCGTACGTCCCTAGGGTATCGTCCCATGAATTGCTGCCGCTCATACTTTTCTTGTCGTCTATTTCTTTCTGCAGGTAGGTGACGTCTCGCCGTCGTATTCGCGTCTTCGATCTTTCCATCCTCAAAATCATAGCAGGTGAGCTTCTCTGGATCACTTTCCTCGCGGGCATAGCCCAATCTTCTCGGGCTATCTCTCATGTCAACTTTGCGTCTTTTTCTAGAACGGTAAGATCATCTCACACGTCTTCTGGGCATCATCCCATCCTTATGCTGCTCATGCCCCCGCTTTCGATCTCGTCTTTCCGTAGGTGGGTGGCGTCTCCTCGTTTAATCATTCGTCTTCTCAATCCTAGCAGGTAGGTCTTTCTTGAGCAAGTCCTAGGGCATTGCCCAACATCTCTCCACCGTCTCGTTTTCGTCAGCATCGCACATTTTTCTCGAACGGTAAGCGTATCTGATGCCTCTTAGCCGTCGTCTCATGTTGTTGTGTTGCTCTCATCTTCGTTTCGTGAAATCCCAGCAGGTGAACTTTCCTTGAGCAGCCTCTTCTCCGGCATCAGCCGTCCTTTCCAAGTGTCGCCTTCGTCAACATCGCATCTTTCTTTGCAGAGGTAGGCGTCTCTCATGCTTCTTTTGGGCGGGTGGTCGTCATTCCCTGGTATCTCCTTTCCGGTAGGTGATCTCTTGTCACGATATTGAGAGGAAAGGCGTGCTCGGGGGAATCGCTCGAGGGAATCGCTCGGAGTGTACTGCACGTAAGCCTTCTCCGGTGAGTCTTCTCTTGATCTTTAGGCCTCGGTGCCTTTGTTTTGCCGTACCAATCTCCAATGGAGACCCCGCGTTGCCAGTCACTGCGCCTCGGCCTTGTTTTCTTTCTCACTGTCTCAATTTCTTTGTCAGTATGGTAGGCATCCCCTCTCTCATTGTCACTCCTTTTTTTCAGAATGCTCACCTTGGGTACTGGTAGGTTTTCCTTCCAATCATATGTCGGCACTCGCACATCGCCATTTTCAGCCGTATTTCCTCGTTTTTGCTCTTTAGCATGTCTTTCGGACGTCTTTTTCGTTCTGGCATAGGCGTAGTCGTTACGGCCTTCGATTCTTTCTCGGTCTATCGCTTCTGGTGCTTCAGCCTTCACGGTCATCTTTCCCATTCCGAGTAAGGTATGCGTCTTTGAGAAGTTTCTTCTATCCTTGCTGATTTCGCTCTTTCTCGTGATTTCTTCCCATACAGCTTCAATTCTTCTTGCTCGATTTCTTTGTCTTCGGTATACTTGTGTCGTTGTCGGGTCAGATCCATTCAGGGTCTCAAGGTTGAAGGTAAGCAAGGTGGGTCTTTCTTCACACATTGGGCTTCTCGGAGTTTGCGTGGTGGAGGTTTTGGTGCTTTTTCCACAAGTCAGCTTCGGTCAAGACATGCATCGTCCTCGAATTCCGCTCATTGGGATTCACGTATACATAGGTAAGCACGGTAGGTGTTTCATCAAGCATTCAGCTCTTCCAAGTCCACGTCCTTGTCATTGCGGTAAGCCTTGCCAAAGTCAGCTTTTGCCCAATGTTTGTCTCCTTGATTTCTCACCGTCTCCAATGCTTCACCGTTTTTTCAGGCATCTTTTCAAGTTCTGCATTCCTCTTTGCAAGGCCGTGTCTCCGAAACTCAAGGTAAACAAGGTGGGTCTTTCCGTTCTTCGTCCACGTCTTTGGACTCGTCGTCCGCGTTGTCTTGGTTTTCTCCAATATCCTCGTGAAGGTTCATGTTTCAGGTTCTCCGTCATTCCCTTGCCGTCAGGCATCAACGGTATGTTTCTCCACGACCTCTCATCCTTCAATGAGTCAGAAACATCCTTTTGTCCGCTCGTTCCAGTCAACTTCCTGTTATTTTGCATGCACCTCGACCCTCCCGCTGGTATGCTGGTCATGTTCATATCGCGAGGTAAGGAGGTAGGGTGGTGTGACCTCGTGGTCTCGAAGGAGGAGGGAGGAGGGGGGTCTCGTTCGATCAGATGGCTTCGTTCAAGGTGGAAGGGTAAGCTGTATTGTTCGCAGAGCCTGAGGTCGCGGAGGTATTCAAAGGGTGCTTGACGCCTAGGTAAGACTCCATCGTGTTAGCGTATGCTTCAAGCTGCTAATGATAACAAACCTTAGGTTTCAACTCATAGAGTTCAGCGCTCGACTTCCATAGTCTAGAGCTCTGACCAAATGCCGTGCCTCCTTTTCCCGACCAATGCCAAAAGGTACCGCTGCTAAGCCGATCTTCTCCTGGGCTTGATCGGTGTCCTAACTCAAGCTGTCCACGGCTGAATGAGTGGGATGCCGATACCATGTCGCGAGAGCGCAGGGGAAGGTCTACGGAGGCCTCTCTACCAGTTGGAGAGATAATTCAGCATGAGCAACGCTCCTTCGACTCTGATGGACGTGTGAGTGGTATGTCGTTTGGAACTGCTTCAATGGCTCCGAGGTTCCGGCTGGTGTTCCAAAAGTGGAAATGGAAGTACCGTGTGTATCGAGTTTTGGTCCTGTAAGAGGCCGTCGAACTTGGTGGGTGGGTCGGCCAGCGAGGGAAGGGTGAAAGAGGGTTCCTAGCTGCGCCCACAAGTTGTTATGCTTCGAGGTAGGTATCCATTTGAAGCCCCTGGATCTTCGTGAGACTGACCCATTTTCAGGTATGGGACACAACCCGCTGCCATTGCAATGTCCGCATTGAATGGTCTCTGTCTAGACTCGTAGACTTGAAGAGAGGGAGCCACAGGGGTGGACTGGGCTCACGCTGAGTTGGTGAAACACTGGCTTTCGAGGTCAGTGTTGTGCGTTCTTGACGACGCTGAGGGGATCAGGCTTGGAAGTCTGGAAAAGGGGGATTAGCCGTTGACCACAACATGAACACAGGTCAGTCGGAGCTTACGAGTTGGAAATGTACTTTGCTGATATCCATGCCCGTCAAGGTGGTGCGGGGGTGTGAGTGGCTTCAACCTCTGCGTCTGGGCGTCCACGCGGAGGTCCCCTTCCGGGCAATTTTCGAGACATTCACCAAGACCTCTTCGCCAGCCATCTGGAGTGCCCAAGATAACACTGTAAATGTTCTCGCTTCCGTATCTATCCCCATAGTCAATTTGTATTGTGTAGAAGCGATCAGCTGACTTGTGAGTTTCAAGAAGGAGCCCAAGAGCGGTGAGACGGTCTCGGATAGGAGTTTTGGGCGTCGATGGCCTGACTGTCAGTAGTACCCTGCTCGAATCCGCTGTGCCTAGGGGAGATCTACATAAGGCTGTTAGTCCACCTTATGGGCGAGGGATTCAAGGAAAGAATGCGTAGAAGACTGACTGTGCGGCCAAGGTGGGTGGTGCTGACCGAAGAAGTCAAATCACCTCCGTCTTCCTCTTTGCTCTCCCTTCCTACCATGACCATGGCCACTGCCCACTCGATCCGTATTTTGTTATCTGTGAACTCCTCTGTTTCTGCCTAACGCCTGGTCTTGTCTGCCTGGTCTCGACGCGAAGGTGTTTGAGGGTTTGGTTTGTATCTGCACAATGGCTGCCCAACAACTCCCGCCTCGTCGACGCCTTTGCGTGCTGTGGACTACTATACCGTCGCCTTCCTCGGCATTGCCAGTATGTAGGGTATTGTTGTAGGGCGGAGGTCCGACGTGGGTCGTTCACCCTTTCGGCGTCAAGGGAAAATTCACTGCGGCCTGCCACGTCCTTCGGCTTTGCTAACTGCTACCCCGTAAAAAATGTAGGTCCGTCATCTCGTGAGGCGTATGAAGCTAGATTGAAGAGGCTGCGTGCTGGATGACATATGGGATGAAGAGGAGGTCCTTCACAGTAGCCTTGTCCACCACACTTGATTGCTCTCATCGCCAATTCGTCCGAGCATGTTGTAGGTGTCTCTTTTCTCGTCGTGGACAAGAAGGTGGCTCTGAAGGAAGCTCGTCGTCGCCGGCCCGGGAAGAGGAGGTAGGTGGGAGGTGGGTTCGAGGCTGGGGGGCTGTCCAAGACCACTAGCGGTGACCTAATTCGCCCACATGAGTCTCTATCATGGAGAGTTTGAGGTGATTTGCATACCTAAAGACGACTGCCAACACGGTGTTTCATTCCCAGCTCCAAAGCCATGTCGTCCCTTGCCACTGAAACCAGTCGGACCCTCGTCCTCAAGCTAGGGTCCAGCGACGGCGACTCTTCTCCCTGGAGCAGTCTCCGCTGAGATAAGGAATAGAGGTCTCTCAAAGAGGTTCGCCGAAGCCTTGTGGTGTAGTCTTCCGCGTAGGTGCCCTGCCCTGCTTCGGCGTCTCTCTCGAGGCCCCAACCCCTTCATCAAGTGTCCCTCAAGCCTCATCCTGTTGCCCTCCCATCTTCGTCTCCAAACGATGTCTCCATTGTGCCCTCGTCCTCTCCTGCCGCAGTCTCAGGCGTCATGCTGCCCTCATCCTAGCCCCGTCCACCGAGTCTCTCTGCCTGTCTCCGCCATCCACGCTCTCGTCTCGGAGTACCGGCGGCGCTGCGTCGAATGAGCTTCACTGCTCAATACCGCTGAGGCGCCGATGGCGATAGGAAGGGATATCGTGGGTAGGAGGAGGGCGTGCCCTATAGAAGAGGCTGTGGAGCGTATGGGGTGAGGTTGAGGCGACAATCCCACACCGCTCTTCTTGGAGGTTGGAATCACCATCAAGTCTTGTCTCGGGGACCTCCAGGTCAAGGACTTGCCTTCTGCACTCGATTTCTTGACATGCCTGCATCGTGCAAGGGGCGGTTTCTTGTATGGGGGGCTGGCGTTGGTGCTGTCTCCGGGGATTGCCTCTTCGATCCGCGGTCTTCACTGAGCTTTGCTCAGGGGGGTTTGGGGCGATGGCTGTGATGATCCAGGCTGTTATTGTCGGGCTGATGGGGTCCTAATCTTCTGCTGAAGGTAGAAGGGCTACCATAGTGCGTGGGGGCTGGGGGTAGGCTGCGGGGACGAGGCTGGAGATGTTCGCGGGCATCGTGGGGCGGCCTTTGGTGTTGAGGGGTAGCATCGCGAGCGGCATCACGGCGAGGGCTTCACACAATGGCATTGAGGGTATTCATATTGCACGTAAGGGTTTAGGTCGCAGGTTTCTTTCTGGCTATCTAGATGGCTGTACAAGGAGGGAGAAATAGGCAGACTCTTCGGCCAGGGAGTGCGGTGGCAAGACAGCTTCCAGGGGCTTTACCCAAGGTCTTCGAGCCAGCAGACTCGATCTCGGCGCCATATACGTGTCCGGCTCTCTATGCTATGTCTCCCCTCTCCATTATGTTCGCCAGCCGCCGCTCGATGTTGTAAGTTCTCCAAGTTCCTCCGCTGTCCCACAACCCTTGTAGCTGCCCTTCGCCGTTCGCAACACAGAGACTGCCGACGCTGCGCTCCGAGGTTGTTCAAGATCCGTAACAACAAGTGTCAAAGGAGGAAATGTGGTATCGTAGGCTGGCATCGTGCTGCATTCGTGAAGATTGGGACGGTATCCTAAGAGCTGAACCCTGGAGTTAGTCTCTCGGCAGAATGAGCTTCTTCAGCGTCAGCTAATATATTGCCCTATGCCCATGATCTCTGAGTGTGTTCGCCCTCCTTGAGTATCCCTTGCTCTACGTGACCTGATAGCCCCTGGGAATGGCGCGGCGGTGGCTCTCTCCTGGTCTTCCTCCTTGCTCCGCCGTTTGTGGGCTCGAGGCGCTCGGGGGATGGGTGGGCTTCTGCTCGATCGGTCGCTAAGTATTCTGGCGTGACTATCTTAGAGCAAGGAGCAGCAATAGGGTGGGATCGTGGGTAGAGGCCGCGTGGTGGTGTCGAAGTTGGAGGAGTTGGGCGGGCATCTCCCCCGCCGTTGGAGTTGAGGGGCGGGCGGCATCCCCAGCGATCCCAGCACAGGGCTTCATGCAGCTTCAGCAGCGCAGACTTCATAAAAGAATTGAGGCGGTTAGAGCTGGTGATGGCTCTATTGAGAACTCTGCGACGCAAAAGGGGTTGAGAGCAGACCAGCGCCGCGAAGAACCTTCGGCGATGAGGCAGCCTTTTCTACTGCCGCGCTCGAAGCTCTGAGGTGTGTCCATCTTTTGGCATCGCCGTGGACGGGTATAGCGATGATGAAATCTTGCTGCTGTGAAGTGACGATACTCGAAGGGAGTTTTCATAGTGGTGAGACCCTTTCGAAGCCTACAGCAGTATAGCGATATTCCTCGTCTGAACTGCTTAAGACCTCTTCAAGGGGATGTGCGAGGGATAAGATTTATCATTCACGCAAATCCGTCAGGTCACAACATGCAACTGTTTTTTAGGCTAACTGCGATCTTAGTGTTGAAGTGCTCCGCGGCATCGCCCTCACCTCTGCAGACTCTTCGTGGCATTATTCCTGCCATTAGCATCTGCCATCTTCCCATACTCCTCGGAGTCTGTGAGCTTCCAGCGCCCAATTGCTCCGTGGTGTTGAGCCACCGGTCGGAATCGTCGCCGAGGCTTTCAGCGAACATGGCGAATTCACTTCAGCTCAGCCAGACATCACAAGTGAATCACGAATTGCAAAGACGATCAGATTTGTTTGAAGTTTTTGATTTGACAGATGCTATGGCCGGCCCAGTCCACCTCGAGTCCTTCGTAACATATACACCATGTTCATCACTGTTGAGAAGAAAGAATTAGCAAGGTGAAGTCGAAGGAGGAGAAAGGTTGGAAGAGACTCACCAGGTAGACCAGGCCGGTCATGGCCATCGCGTCCTCGCTCGTCCCCGCCGTGACCAACCCGGACCACCGTACCAGAACATGCCGAGTCTTTCGTAACATAGACACCATGTTCTGTCTGTGAAGGAGTTAGCAAAGTGAAGCGGAAGAAGGAAGGATTGGAAGAAGACTCACCGGTGGTCCAGGTTGGTCACGGCCATCCCAAGCCACTCTCTCTCCAGGCGCCGTGGTCGATGCGGTCCACCGCAGCAGGACATGGCCGAGTCTTTCGTAACATAGACCCCACGTTCTGCTGCTGTGAAGGAGTTAGCAAAGTGAAGTTCAAAGGCAGGAAGAAAGGAAGAAACTCACCGGTGGGACCGCATCGACCCGGCCATCCCCAAACCCACTCACTCCATCATCCGAAAGAATGTGACCGACCTCCCCCACGCACAGAACATATACACCATGTTCATCCACTGTGATGGAAGCGTTAGCAAGGTGAAGTCGAAGAAGGAAAGGTTGGAAGATAGGAAACTTACCGTGGACCAGGCCGGCCATATTTCAAGAAACTCCCCATCACCCCAAGGGCGTGACCGGCCTGGCTCCCTCGCCGGGAAGGAGACCAGACCGGCCAAGCCGGAGAAAAAAAGCACCATTTGCCGGAAGGCATGGCCGGGCTGGCTCCCTCGCCGGGAAGAAGCCCACACCGACCATGCCGAGTCTTTCGTGACATATGCCCCATGCCACAGGGGTGTCAGCGAGACACCTTGAGCGACGGGGGCGCCGAGGCTGTGGTCATTGGGGTGTCGGAGGGGAGGCTATGCCACGAAAGACTCGAGGTTTGTTGCGGACGTAGTGAGTCGGCATTGCAGCTGAAGATGTTAGAAGGTGATGCGAAGGATGGAGTGGGAGAGGAAGGACGTACCTAGGCGATTGAGCGAGGAGCGTGGCCGATTCGAGCGTTGTGGTGCAGTTGGAGCGGTCGACGTAGAGGTGGATGAGGCTCGGGGTCATGGAGTGGAAGGTTGTTGGCTGGGCTTGACGTCTGAGAGTTGTTAGCGATGAACAAGTGAGGTAAAACAAGGACAGAGTGAAGGAGGAAGGAGGTGAGGTGAAGCGAGGACGTAAGGTAGGAAGACTGACTGAAAGGTGTTTCGGAGGAAGCTTTGGTAGAGCTTGGTGGGCTTGGTGTTGTTGGAAGGGTCTGAATGAGAGTGGACTGGTGCGAAAGGTGTTAGAGTGAGGTGAAGTGAAGAGGTGATGGGACAGATGGAAGGAGGACATACCTGATGAGGTTACTGGAGGAGGAGGATGACGAAGATGGTTGAGGAAGACTTTTGATGGAGGAAGACTGGAGTGGATGATTGTTGTTTGTGGAGGAAGGACGGTTGGAAGTGGGCGACGGCGAGAATATATACCTGAGCGGGGGCACTATTTTCCGGCGCTACTCCCAATCCTGCAGCCTGCTATCGGAGGTGATCGCGTCATCTGGGCGGGCGGGTAGCTGCTCCGGGTGAAGGTGCGCCCAACGAAACTCCGGTGAAGGAGGCGGGGCTGATCACAGGCACCCGTCACTGACCGACGAGGAATGTTGGGGAGGAACACGCAGCGGATAACTATCCGCATTGGGCGTGTGCCATCTTGTAGGCGTTCACTATCGGTTAATGACTGGTCTGGAGGAGTTCAACGGAAGGTCCGTGATTGTGAGCGGAAGACTGCCGCGCTGGTCTGCTGTTAGGCGGTGAGGGTTGACGCGACAGGCACCACGGGAAGACAGCGGCCAATTCGCATGTCGGAGGATTTGGAGAGACCACAATGCAAGATTAAGGAGCAATGCATTATCCCTAGGAAGTGTAGTAAGATGCAAGTGCTGACGAGAGGATGGCGGTAGGCAGCCGCCACTGAGCAGCGACACAAGATCTAATGGTAGGAATCGCACCATCGCCCTCACCTGTATTCTCGGAGCATTTGGGATCCTCAGCCGCATGGTTGCATCACTGCTGGTGGCCTTATCTGGGTGCGCTTGCGCTCCTGCCGCTGCAGTGCGGCCCGGCAGCTCACTCGACCTGTGCGTTACGCCGAAGACACAAAACCGATACCGCCCAACAGCAGACACGCTGAAGACGGCATCGTACCATTTTAACAGGGATTTGACTGCGCCAGGTGAAGCATAACTTCACCTCTACCCTGGCCCGTGAGAAGGAGTGGTATCGTGGGGTAGTAGTCGGTATATCAGCCTAGGATGGCAGCGCAGGCGTCTCCGCCCGTTAAATGACGCCTCCGCCTCTCTGAGTGATGTGAATAGGTGAAGGGGAGTGGCGCTGAGGGTGAAGAATTGATCGTGTAGGTATGGCTGAGGGCTGCTGGATAAAGGAGGGTGAAGACTTGGAAGCTTGCGGCGTCGGCGGCATGTAGTGATCCCACAAACTTGGAATTTCTGTTGCCTCGCTCTTGTCTACTTAGGCAAATTGTATCTTGTAGCGTTGCTGTATCTCACTAAAGAAGTAGTGAAGTGTTCTGGTATTTAGGATGAAGGAGGGTAGGCTGTTTAGAGTAAGGCTGCTACCTTGATCGCGACCAGTCACAAATGCAAGAGGGCAGTTCGTAAGCCTTTCGCGCTCTGTTAAAGTTATTAAGATACTGCATGTAGCTACAATCTCACTAGATAACATACTCTAGATGTGTGCAGGACAAGTTCTGACAAGCCGTAGATGTTGTTATTGGGAGGTGCATCTATGGCACAAACATGATATTTGTCACTCTTTCTGGTTATTATGCTGCTATACCACTATGGAATTCGTTTACTTCCGAGTATGCAGAGAGAGAAAGGGAAAGGGAGAGGGGTTTTTAGGCCGGTCAATGGCCGCATTAGCAACCAGGATACCCTCCAGCCCGTGCAAAATCACCCATCCAGAAACCAGTCGCTAGGCCCCATTCACGCTTCAACGGTATAGCAGTACCTTTTTAGCTTCGCGGAGGGCATGGTCTCGCCCTCGGCGATGCCGCCAGCTGCTCGAACGGAATGCACAAAGTCTTGGCTCCTATATCCGGGACAATTGAGGCTACGGCCATGTTGTCGCCTGCTTCCTTGCGAACGCCCATGTCCTTGATCTCGTCTTCGCACTGCCTCTGTGATAATGGGCGGCAAGCACGACGTTTCTTGCCATCAATCTTCAGAGCGCTTTCGTCTTACTCACTCCAGGGTTGGATCTCGGTCTGATGGGCGCGGTATTCGGAGTCAGCTTTCTTGAAAATGTGAGGCTAGACGGTCTCCAGCAGAAAACAAGCCTCGAGGATGCCTTTCTGGAAGATCATGATTTGGGCTCAAAGTCGGATGCGACGGACGCAGGATTGACGGCCGGCAACCATCGCGAGTCTTGTAGACCTTAAAAGATCCGTCATCAGCTCGTTGAGGCTGATGCATGGATCGGCGAAGTCGTAGGAGGTCAGCTTTTTGTAACCACTGCGAAAGAGTTAGAGAAAGTGATACGCATAGGCGGGTAAAGTTGACCTACAGTTGGCATTCTACACCAAGGGTCTCCATGTTGAGTCCGTGCTCCGCAACTTTCGCCTGGCAGATACGCTTCGCCTTTGCCTCGCTGCAAGTCACAGCTCGCTCGGTAGTCTCAGCAAGGAGCTCGCTGTCACCTGGCTGAGTGTGTTCCTCGACCTCCCGTCCAGTGTCCTCTTCGAGCTCCGGCTCATTCTGTTCCTCGAACTGCAGCTGCATCTGTTCTTTGAGCTCCGGCTTACGCCAGGTCGTACTCATAACCGCAGCAGGTCTCCAAGACGAACAACCGAGTGAACTTTTCGGGCTCCTCCAGTGAGGAAGGTGGCTCCATGCTCTGGCTAAGGGTCTGCTGGTGAGTCTTGATCAATTCCGTCTTGGGCGCTGGTTGCTCTCGGAGAGTCCCTGCACACTCTTTCCTGTTGACCTCGTCCTGAGGGCCAATGGACGGTGCGGATTCGCTCGGAATGGATCAGGGGCCATGCTTTGGTGTGTCAGATTCTTCATCGGAAGGATGGTCATCGTCGTCGGACTGATCTTCATCAGAGCCAGGCTTCCGCCCGATCAGCTTTCGATGGTAGGATAGTGGCCTACCATGGTTTCAACGGGTAACAGGGAGGGGAGGTAGCGTCGCGACCGTCAGGAACCGCATCCCGCGAATCGCACACAAGTTCAGCCCGCCACCCCTCGAAGGACCTGAGTGTCATTATAGGAAAACAGAACGGGCTTCTTCTCCTTCGGCAGCTTGAGATCCTTCTTGGGCTTCGCCTCTCTCTTCTTGACGTCTTCCGAGCCCGGCTGCGAGACCAACTTCGAGATGGAGAAATTCCTGTTCCAGAGGTTTGATCATGATGTACTTGCGAGTTTGGTAGTCCACCGAGTCTAAATGAGAGCTTCGCGGAGGTTGAGTTTGTTGGGGAGGAATTGTTTGCGATCGTGTGCGAGCGACGGCGCCTTAATAGCTACCCTGGTGGAATCAGTCAGTGAGAGGCCGACTATCGGCGGGAGGGGGTGCGCAATGAGAGACTCACCTGGACGTGATTGTAGCTAACAAGACTTGGTGACACAACGGGAATGTGGTTGACAACTCCAATGCAATGCTGCACTCAATACCATATTTACAAGGTTCGAGCTCTCCGTCATCCTCTGCGAATGCCCTATTGCCTGTTGCGGGTAGTCCCCACGTGTTCTACAAGCCTTGTCTCGTTGGCTCTTTGGGGCCTCCTTGGAACCAATGGCGCCAGGGCCAATGGTCGACGGCGGTGGATGTTCCACAAGGAAGAGGTTCGGGAAGCCGGGAAAGAAATAATTTCGACAAGAAGGATCCATCCTGGGAGCGGCCTGGTTGTGGTGTGCCCCTCAATTCGTTCACAGCCAGCTGTATGTCCACGTCTTCCAACCGAAGGCGGCGATATCGAAGCTTAACGGTCGTAGCTACGATGACCAGCAAACCTCTATCACACAGGTCTTGGCTTCTAGAGGCGTTTGCGGGAGAGAAGGCTGGTTGGGAAGAGCGGTAAAAGGAGTGGGGAGCAAGCTCCGCTCGTCGGCGGAGAGCTTTGAGCGGACGGCTGAGGACTGTATGCTGTTAGCATCTATTCCCCATGTAATTGAATTCTTTTACGTCTTTCAAGTGCCTTGTGGATGGCATTAGGAGATAGGTCTGAGTTGAGTAGCTCACCTGGGCGTCTAAATCGTAGCTTCTCCGATCGAGGTCGTCTCAAAACTCAGAACCACGGGCCCGCACGAAGCCTTCCATGTGCAGATCGCTCCCCAGCTCGTCCAGCTTATCCTTTCTTGCCTCATACGGTCAGCATTGACAGGGCGGAACGTGGAGGAGCTGATGTAGTGACGCTGGACGAGGCTTGCTGAGTCTTATAGGGAGCCATGCTGATGGCGCGAGAGACGTTGGGCAGGACAAGTCGATAGACAAATGGCGAGGCCAGCGACCAGACAGTGCTGGATACAACGGGACCCCTCAAATGAGGGCTTATGGGTGGTATTGGAGGCCATTTGGTGTTGCGTATGGGCATTGGCGAGGGGCTCTGGAACAACTGTTTGTCCAGTGCCGGATCACATGACCCACTCACGTGATACTTCTGCACTACGCAGACCACCACCAAGCAGTACTTAGTGCATAGCTGCATAGAAAGATAGTAGACCGAACGGAAGTTTGACAATCTCCATGCTGCTCGCATTATGTTTCGCCCTTCGAGACATCTCTCTTACCACAGTCCAGTTTCCCTCCAATATCTACCATCAACCCGAAAGACCAGAAGCTCACATTTGGTCCCAGGACCTATTCTCGCTCGAAAGGTCTTCCCTACCTTCCAGATCGTTCCCTGGGGATCGCTGACAGAGGAAGCTTGGGACCGACATAGCGGATGTACGTGATGTGGTATGATCAAATGTAACGCTTTTTCTCACTTCCGAATTTCATTTCAATCGTGCTGACTTTAACTATATAATCTCGGGGTTCTATCTCGTACAGAGCTTGTCTTAACAGTTGGATGTCGCAAAGTGCGAGGCAGGGCGGAGAAGCACGCACAGGATGGATCGAGGCCTATAGTGATGGCCCTTGGTCCGCGCAACGTGAACAGCGCAAGCACTCCTTGCGTGGGGAAATATTGCTATGCTCTCCCTCAGCACCATCTTCCGCCTCTTCCGTCGCCGGATCGCTCGAAAGCTTTGTCGACGATGATGCTTTATCTATCGAACCTGGAACGTGTTAGCATGCTACATGGGAGTATAACGAACTCAGGTGCAGTGCAACCCTTTTAACGATACGGCCCAAATGAGTCGGGGGTAAAAACGTGGAGGAAGAAAGGATCAAACATACTCGACCTTGTTCATGTTCTCGATCGCTTGGCCGGCCTCATACCCCTGGGAGAAGCGGAGAAAGCGGAATCCACGGGTACGGCTAGTGTCGCGGTCCTTTATAACAGTCTGCAGTCAGGTAAGCACAATGTCGCGATGCACGTCATGGGTAGGGATCAGATGACGTACTGCCTCTCCAGCGGTGCCGAACTCTTCGACCTTGGTGTGGAGGGTGGCATCGTTAGTATGCCAGGCAAGGCCACTAGGGACTGTCAGTGATGTGCACGCCAAAGGAAGATTAGTGTACTTACACATTTAACAGCTTGCTACGGCGAATATCGCGGTTCCCTCCACAGTACATCCAAAGTGACTATCTCATAAGAATCTCCGAAAACAGGCGGCGGGATTTGGCTGGCAGGTGTGCTGGCAGAGGTTGGGAGACCGACGGCCAAGAAAATTGAAGGGTGGAGTTTCGTCGAATGGCCGCAAAAAAGTCTGCGCGTGGGGCCGGCTTCAACTTGCATAAATCGATCGTTCTTTTCGCGTGCCATCCGCTTTACAGAAACCCCATCGGAGTCAGCGAGTGACTTGAAAGAGACACCCGGTCGGTGTAGTCTCTCTGAGCTATCGAGTTTTCGAGAGAGTCCGAGAACGCAATGCCTCCGGAAAGAAAGAGCCGATTTCCTTGGCAGTATCTATCCGCAATGTTTGCTTAGTATAAGATTTACTTCGATTCAATTGATCATTACCTCGCTTTCTAGAGCATTGAAGAGTATGAGATCCTCCCACAAGCCAACGTCGAGTCCAAAGCCCCTCAACTCCGATGTTGCCTGCTCCACTTGTTCATGGCAATGAGTCCTCGACCTTCAGCGAACCACTTGCACATATCGCTGACTGCCGCCTCCTCCGTCGCGCGACACAATTGCTCTCTTCAAAGGTTTGTGGTGTCGAAGAACTCGGCCAAGGGGTTTGGAGTAGGGTTTGGAGTGGCGGTGCGGCGGTACTGGCCTGCATCGAAGGTTTTGGGGGTGATGGAGGGCCAGTGGAGGTATCTATCGACTGTCCCAGAGAATATGATTAGCCTCAGATACGCAAAGTTACTCCATACGTCTGAGGAAGAGGGATGGTACCTTTTTGCGCAATGAGGCTCTTTCCTCTAGCATGTGACTTAGCCATAACGCATACTCGTGCGTCTTCAGCGTGGACTCCTGCTCGGCGAGACTGGCCTTTTGCGCAATGAGACCCTTTCCTCTCCCAGGTAACTCAACCATCATGCGCATATCCGCGCGTCCTCAGCCTGGACACTGGCGCTGTTAGTCTTCCTGCTCGGCGAGATGAGCCAGGAGAAACAGCGGACGCTGGCGTGTGAGCTTGACTGGGTGAAGAGGCGGCTCGACGAGTGAAAGAGACGTCGTCCAGCAGTGAAAGACAGGTTGTCTGGAAGTGAAAGACGTCTTGTCTAGTAGTGAAGGGCGCGGCGTGCAGCTGTGAAAGGCTGCATCGAAGGTGCTGAGTAGGCTGGTGGTGGTGGGTGCGAAGGATGGAGATGCAGTTCGGAAGAAGCGGGGATGGAGTTGGCGGCGAGAGATAGGTCTGCGACACGACTTGATGTTCCGAACAAAACATTAAGGACACAGGGCGATGAACAGAATGTGCCCTCATCAATAGAACTAGTACTGCGCTCGCAGCTAGATAGCGTTTGTTGATTGATAGCAAAAGGTGAAGCAAAAAGTAAAGACTGCCCCAAGCGGGGCTCGAACCTTATCCAGCCAAAACAAATCACAAAAAAATTTGAAAGCTCACTTTGATAAAGCGTGTCATCCTTAGTGCAGGGGCCATGCTAATCTTCTCTGTGTTGTTTCAAGTTGACCAAATGCCCGAAGGCGGAGGGTCTTATTTTGCTGTAAATATATACCCTTAGACAGCGCCCGTTTGCTCACAACGCCCGTTGGCCGGCCACGCCACAAGCAGTACAATCGTCCCATGCGCATCGACTCTTGTATATCACGTCTAGTGGAACTAGAAACTCACGTAGACAAAAAGAGAATGCCTAATATGTCATGTGACATTTTGTGGCTGGTACTAGGGGGCGCCGCCACACATTAGAGGGACTGCAAACCTTCCAAGGCTGAGCGGGCTCACGCTCATCGCCGACTACAGCATCTCCAGAGACACGAAAAAATCCCTGATACTGCGTACATCGCTCACTGGAGGAGTGAAAGAGGTTTATCACGAAATACACGTATTCAATAAAAATCGACTTCCTAGCCCTCCCCCATCCACTCCATGAGAGTAGGCACTGCCTGCTGGCCAGCCTCACCCTCCAAGCCCGTGAGCCCATCGCCCACATCATCGTCGTCTGCCGTATTATTGGAGGTGAAGAGTCTCTTATCCACGTCCTCGCTGCCCACACCCCCTCTTCGCCACTCATAATGCCGATTTCTACCTTGTTTCATCGGTTCCCTGCGCTTGAGCTATCCGGCAGTGGTGTTGATGTTCCATTCAAGCACCTTTGCTAAGATTGATCATGTGATTGCTGAAAGGCGGGCTCCCTCTGAGTCCCGAAAAATGCCTTCTTCGCTCTGAAAACGCCACCAAGCAACGATGAGAGTCAAAGGTGGCTTGACCAGGCCACGAGGCGCGCACAAGGCGCTCCACCTTCCTCACAACAGGCCGCCCCGCAGCGGGCATGAGGGTTCAGTCAACGAGTTGGCTTTGAGATCGATCATGCGGCTGCTGAAGTCCGGCTTCATGCGCATCTTGAACCGGTGTTTTCCGCCTGACGCCCTCCGCAGTGGTCTTGCTGTTCCAATTACCGGCGACGCAATGAGATCGATCACGTGGCTGCGCGAAGGACGTTCATCTCGAGCCTGCAAAACGGCCTTCTCTGTCCGACGATGCCATCCAGCCGACATGCTCCGGGCGGAAGGCAGCACAGCGAAACGTCATTTCCCGACAAATGCCCTCCCCCAGGTCCTACGTCGGATCGGGTATACCAGCTTCAAGAGGAACAAGCGTAACCAAAGTGGCAAGCTCGTGGTCGCAAGGAGGCGTATATCGTTGTCAGAGTTTCATACGACCAAACACCTGAATGATTCAGAAACTGACATGCGGCAGAATACCACCCTCCATGACATGTATCAAGTGGAAGATGCAATCCACCGCCCCTTGTCGGTAATGCAAGTCGATAGGATTGCTGATAGATGGGAGGACCTTCTCTACCAGCATGGTAATACCGTCGATGGCCATAACGCTGCAGGTCGTGGCGAAACATTGGGATGCTGCATACCGGAGCACGTACAGCCGAAATTGCAGCGCTTTGGCAATGAGAGGTAGAAGGCGTTAGGCAAAGGTTGGGATATCGGGATAGAGTTTGCCATCCAGAGCTCGCAGCGTCGATATTGCATCAACGACCTCCTGCCCGAAGGCCTTATCTGGTTCTGAGATATCGGTGGGTATAAGAGCGTCGGCAACGGTCTTGATGATCCAGTTAACGGCGCTCTCTTATATCGATCATGTGGCTGCTGATGCTCAGCTTGACCGGAATCTCTAACCGACGTTGTCCTGCTCTTAATACTCCTCGCAGCGGCCCTGATCTTCCAGTCAACGGCAAAACCATCTCGAAGATTCAGTCAACCACGAGCCGGTCCTGAGGTTCCAGTCGGCGGCGGAGTCGATACTTAGGAATGTAGTCATCTCCCGAGATATCCCACACAATGCATGTGTGATCGTAGGATCCAAGGACCATGATCTTCGAGTCAAATTGTCGACAGGTGACGCGGTAAGGATGACGATATCGCTGTAGAGGGCTCGTCCACCGTGACGTCTTGAAAAAATCCTCATCTGCGTTCACAGGCTCTTCCACCGGCGTCGTCCGCTCGAGGCGCCCGGTAGTAGTCCTTATTTTCCAGCCAACGGTTCTGATATTTCAGTCAACGGCGACAAGGTGAGGTCGATCATGTAGCTTCGAAAGGCCCGTCTGCCATGACGTCTTCAAGCAAACCTCATCTGCGCTCAAGACACAATCCAGTACTCCCGGTGTCAAACACTGGCATAGCACATCTGGAGTCCGGCAGCGAAGGAGCTTCCTCCCACAAAACCACCTGGAGTGCACCAGCCCGTTGGCTCCGACGGTGTCTGGCGCTCGGGTCTGCTGTTGAGCACCTTGTGGCATGGCGTTGCGTATTCTTAACCGACACCATAGGCCTGTCTGCTGTTGAGTACTTTGTGGCGTGACGTTGCACATTCTTGGTTGACGCAGTAGCCCGCGCCGAGACCAGCGACATTCTCGCTGTAGCGTCGATTGTATGATAGTTCCTCCATCTGATCTTCCATCTCCTTGATAGCATAGTTAAGTTCGGTTAGGGAGAGGCCTTGGATGTAACCTGCAGTCTTCTTGTGGCTGCACGAAGGCGGAGAGCCTGTAGTCGAGGCCCGGTGCTGAGCACGAGCGTTCTGTTCCGCAGCTTGACGCAAGAGCGCGTTTGAAGATGCCTTGGCAGAATGAGTCCGGTTTGGCCCAATGTGACGCGGGTAGCTTGGGTCCACCCTTTGAGCCGGTCGAACCGCTGTTCATATCGTCTCCGTCTTCTAACAGCTACTGAAGTGCTGCCTGCAGTTGAGCACCTTGTGGCATGACGATGTACATGTCCGGCGGGCGCGGCACTTCTGTCTACTGTTGAGCACCTTGCGGCATCGCGCTGCGCGCTCTCGGTTGACGCAAAAGCCCGGTCTCCAGTTAAGCACCTTCTGGCCTGGTGTTGTACGAGTTCGGCGCGCGAGGCGCTTGTCTGCTGTTGAGCACCTTGCGGCATGACGCTGTCCATGCCCGAAAGGACATGCTGGTCCAGGGTCGAAAGACATCGAGAGGAACTCCGCCAGAAGCGAAAGAACCCCCTAGAACAACACTTCACGCCCAGATCAACACTTCACTCTTGGACTCGAAGTGAAGAGCTAAAGAGAGTGAATGTCGGCCGATTGACCGCTCCACTTCATCTCTCGAAAGACTAGAGCCCGCGGTCTGCCCACGCCCACGCCCACGCCACGAACGAGAGCCGCAGTCATCCGCCAGTGAACTCTCAATATACCTCGTCTGCTCGACGGTGTCCGTATCGCGACGTTGTTGCTCGCCTTCTGGGTTTGTGGTGTCGAAGAACTCGGCCGAGGGGTTTGGAGTGGCGGTGCGGCGGCACTGATACTACATACGTTGAAGGTTTTGGCGGCTATGGAGAGCTAGTGGGGGTATCTATCGCCGGTTTCTAGGAAACTTAATCAGGCGTCTACGGTTGCATCGGAAGGTCGTTGAACCTAGGGCGGTCGAGCGACAGGAAGAGTGGCAGAGGCCGGGCGCCATCCGTTCTACGCCCGACGTCGATGCGGTGACCCCATGGGTAGAGACCGGAGACGGCGCTTCATGAGCAGGGACCGGAGACGGTACTCTCTGGGCAGAGACCGAGTCGGCGCGTGTGCGAGAACAATCGCACAGGAGCTCTCCAAGCCGTCACGGCAACGCCTTCTCCACCAGCAGCGCTAAATCCAGCGGTAGCTTCTGACATCACAACATGCCCCATCAGCATGAAGCAAAGCGGCGCTCGAGACGTAGGACTGGGCGTTATCTGAGCTGCGTGAAGATGGTCTAGGCGTAGTACCCAGTGTGCTAGTCGTTAAGGATCAGTTCCAGTGACTCCATGGTCTCGACGTCGCGCACCGACTGCATGGTGTTGCTGAAGATGAAGCGCTGTAGTAGTACCGTCGACGATTCCGCTGCACATTATGAAGATGATCTGGACGTGGCAGTTGATGTTGGACTTAGTGGCCGGTCGAGATTGCTGGGTTGTGGCAGGTGCGACACTCGGTCACGTCGTCGGTTCGGTCCAGGCGGGCAACGACGCCATAATCTTAGTAGCGTCATGAAGGTAGTCGGCGAGCTCGAGCGGAGTTCAACAAGTGAAATGAAGGTGAAGAAGTGAAGGGCGAGGCGGAAGGTGTTGAAGGGTCGTCTCCAATACGCCGGCGAATTGGAACTTTTGGAGGGGTCGCAGCTAATCATGAGTTTGCCGCATCACTTCAGCTTGAGGGGTGCCCGAGGGCTACGATAGGGACAGAATTCCTTTGAGAATAGACTGATTGTGACATCAATGCGCGATCAACACTCTTCACTACGCCTTCAGGTGCAAATTAAAGTGACGACAGAACAGCGGGAGATTGAATTCGACACTGCGACAAGGCTCTCCCATCCGCCAGGAGCAGCCCGGTCCCTCCATGATTACCATCGCAAAAGGCCAGACGCAGCACCCATAATTACCATCGCAAAAGACCGGAGGCAGCGCCCATGATTACCATCGCAGAAGACCAGAGGCTGCACTCGTGATTACCATCGCAAAAGATCAGACCGACACTGTGATTACCATTGCAAAAGACCAGACGCCGCACCAATGATTACCATCGCAAAAGACCGCCAGGGCATGGGAGAAGCGAACAAAGTCGAACCTGCAATACCGTTAGTACCGAACCAACAACAAGCAGACATGTCGCGGTAGAAGAAAGAAGCGTGATTGAGAACGTGAGATGTATGAGCTTGGTCACCCGCATCGAAGTGCCCTTTTCCATCGATGGTGAAAGCTCACTTTGTTGGGGCCCCGTGCCATTTCTGGGCTGAACGTCTTTTGTCTTTAACGATGTTGGGTCCCTTCCAAGCGTCACAGCTACGCGCGGGTCCGATGGCTCTGTCCGGATGACACGCCGTCGAGCCATCCACATCCGCTGCCTACCTAGCCTTCATTGTTATCCGGCACTCAAGTCTGTGCGAGGCTATCAGGAAGCCAACCACTCTCGACGAGGCGGTGCCGGGTTGTGGGAGATGCCGGAAAAGAGAAGGTGATGCAAGAGGAGAGGAAGGTGTGCTGGTTGAAATGAAAGAGGAGTAGCCACCTACCACTTGGCTAGGGTCAAGATGCGGGCGTCTCCGTCTTCAGTGACCTATTTCCTTCAGTTAGTGACGCTGTAGTGAGGTGGTGCTGTCGTTTGAGCTGACGTACCTGAAGAATTGTCCATTGCCAGGCCATCTCGTCCGCCAGCAGCAGCCAGCTCCACCCGTGATTACCATCACAAAAGGCCACCGGACCTGGGAGAAGCGAACAAAGCCCAATCCACAGCTACGGCCAGTATCTCGGTCCTTCTCGACCTGTGCATTTCAGTTAGTGATGCTGTAGTGAAAGTGTTTCGGACGTTGTGATGACATACTTAAAAAATTGGCTTGTCGCCACCGCGAACCCCAAATCTCGATCGCGTTCCTGGTGTCACCGCAGACATGCCGAAGGAGTCGACGCTGCAGCAGCATCGGCCGGGGCGAGGCTGACTTGTCCGTTCCACCTCTAGTCTTGACCCGGATGGTCTTGCCTTCGTCGAAGAGGATATGGGTGTAGATTCGCTCGCGGACGGGCTTCGGCAGCTTCATGAATTCGAATGGGAGGGTCTGATGGCTGGCGCGGCCTAGCGGAGGTGAACCAGAGGCACTCGTGCGACAGGAAGTTGTTTCGCCCTTGTTGTGACAGGTTAGCATGAATCAATAAGCACAGACAACGCAGACATACCTGATCCCACACGACACATCACGGGGCAGAGGCACCGCAGGCTTCATGATGCCATTTGACGTCGTGCGAAAGGCTCCCGGAGCAGAATCGTCGGTCCTGGTGCTGGAGGAGCACCAACATTGCTGGGAAGCAGCTGGGGAGGGCTGCCACGACCACGCGAAGGGGAGCGTCGGGGTGGTGAGACTGCCAGCGTTGGTATTCGGTGCGTAGGTCGAAGGTGCGCGGGTGTTGCAAGAAGGCCAGCAGGACCACACATACGGCGGCAAAACTACTGGCCGCCACCCATTCGGTGCGTAGGTTGAATGTGCGCGAATTTTGTAGATATGGCGGCAAAACTGGACATAGCGGAGCAGCTGCACCAGGGGCATTCGGTGCGTAGGTCGAAGGTGCGCGGATGTTGCAGGAAGGCCAGCAGGACCACACATACGGCGGCAAAACTACTGGCCGCCCACCCATTCGGTGAGTAGGTCGAAGGTGCGCGAATGTTGGAGGCAGGCCGGCAGGACCGCACCTACGGCGGCAAAACTACTGGCCGCCGCGCCGTGACGGGGCAGCTGCACTGACGCAGTGAGGAGTTCCTGTCCAAAGCTGTCAGACCTAGTGAAAGGAAAGGACCTCACCAACCCGTGGTGTTGATCGCTGTTGCGAACGACCGCCAGTAGGACTGTGTCTTGGAGGTGAGAAGGATGATGAAGGAAGAGTGAACTTACTTGAACTCCCATCGGACAACATTGTTCCACTGATTTAGCTTCAGTGGAAGGCGGTCTGGAGCCTGTCGACTGTTAGCATAATGAAGAAGTGAAGCTGAACGACCTCGTTATCGCGCGATGTCGATAGTTGTCGTCGACAGCGACTAGCAGCTCCGGGTCGTGGAGGTGAGAAGCATTGTCAACAATGAACGAAGAGGAAGTGAACGTACCGCCCGCAGCTACCAACCCACACCAGAAAAAACACACCATAACCAACGGCAATGAGGCAGTTGATGGCCCGAAGGTCCCGCGCGCCCCGGTGGTGTCGTGTCATGGTGAGGAAGAGGAGTCGGTTGGGGCAGACAAGAGAAGTTTATAAGGCCCCGCCAACACTAGCGCCTTGGCGTCGCACCTGACTGCTGCCTGTCAGCCAACGCTGCTGTAGGTAACTAGGCTTGAGCAGTGCTGCTGGCGGGTACAGTGGGCGGCACGTGATGGCGGAAGAGTGGACAAAAGCCCCCTGAGGCGGTGCGATCTGAGCTCGCGGACATAGGAGGAGGAACGATGCTTCTCAGATTATGCTACCAACATCAGAGAAGTATTGCTACTGGTGGCTGACCAGAGGCGGTCGGCGGTGCTACAGTTGCTATCACGTAGACGCTTTAAAGTCGACCAACTCAAGCGCTGTCAATGAAGTCACGCGGATCATGGCTAGTTTGAGAGCAGGTCGGGGTGTATGATCTGCTGTCCATTATGCTATTCTATCCAGAGTGATCCTCCCCTCAGACAGCTCCAATCCATCCACACGCCTGCACCCCATCGTGCAACTTCATGGTTCTCCTGGGCGGGAAATCCTGCATTAGTCTCGAAGTCAGCATCTGCGCGGAACATCAAACTCGGCTCGAAAGAAGGTGATGATGTATCGCTGGTCAGACGTTCAATTTAAATCAGTGATCCCCGGGTTCTGACACCTTTGCCAAGATGATCGCAAAATCTGGTTTGCTGCTGTTCAGGAAACCCCAAACCAGAAACGCAGATAGAGGTCAACGCCAAGGCGCAGAGCAGAGAGATTCCCAGTTATCTAGCATTTATCTGTTCTAGCCCGAAAGCCGTCATCCCGGTAGCGGAGGGGAGTGCAGGTGCAGTGATGAAGGAAAAAATGGTGCTTACGTTTGGGAGCAGGTCTGCGCAACTACGCCGAGGAATCAGCCGCGAGGGAATGGAATCTGATCTTCATTAGCATTATGCGCAAATTGAAACCTTCAGTTCCGCTGATAAGAAACGGAAATCATAGAAGAGGATGTATGAGCTGGGCGTCCATGGCCACTTTCTCCCAATCCTCCACGGATGCTACCAGGAGTTGGAGTAAATGCCCAGGCGTCACGATCTTTGCGCGGGCAGAGGGCTCTTCCTTCTTTCGAAGTGGTGGAGAGGACCGGTACCACCAGGGTGGTGGCCCTCTGCCTCGCACGCAAGACGGTATTTCAATCTTGGCATCGCCATCGAGAGCTCGACTATGGGGAAGTCGAGTCGGGTAGATGGAACTCCGAAATGGAGCGATGCCGAAAATGGATTTCGCAACCATGTAGGATTTGGGAAGACTTACGAGCTCGTGAGGGCGTTCCCCAGGCGCAGAGCCATCGACATTCTCATCAGAGCGAGAGCGGCACCCTCAAGGCTCTTGCAGAGTCGTCCTCTCATTCCATCGCGATTTTGACAGCTTGCTATTCGTTGCTGTGGCTTTGAGATTCCCCTCATGACCGGCGTTTACATCAGGAAGACCATCAAGCGTAGAAATAATCGTGATTGGCGGGCGTTGAGCGACCGCGCTTGGCCCGATGGGGAAATTTTCAACGTCGTTCCTTCGAGCATTTGGGCGACAACCCCCTCCAACATCACGACAAGAGCCAGCAGAGCCGAGGAAAAGTCAGAGGAGATTGGGGACAAGGGTTTGATGCCCCTCTGAAGGCGTAATGATATTGACATCGACATAGTGTGGCTAGTGGTGACGGTGGTGTGGTGGGACGGGACTTTTTCTGGAAGTTGAAAAGAGTCGAAAGAACGACAGGCTTCGTTGCGCGGGCCTCTGAACATATGTCAGCCACAGAAAAAATCGTAGAACGATGTCCGATGGGAGTGGTACGGTGTTCGGGCGGGCTTACATTGATTGACGGCGTCTCATCAACGTCGGATGTTGTGTTGTTCTTCCGAGAAGACGAGCGATGTCGAATGTGTCAAGGATATCCACGCCATGAGGAGTCTGACGAAATTTCTGCCTATCGTGGTGATGATGCCGCCTTGCGCCCGTGTCGCTGCGACCAAGGTCGTCCTCCTGCCTTGTTCTCTTTGTCAACCAGGTCATCTCTGGTGGTATTGTCCTGGCCATCGCTTGCCATTACCATGGGTCACATCAACTGTACAATCGTATGTCCGAACTCAGATCATGTTGTGATGATGGTGTTGTGCGACAGGTAGAGGATCGGAAGGTAGGAAGGAGGTAGCGAAGATTGGGTCGGTTGTTTTCGGAGGTCTAGCGTAACGGTGGTGTTAGTATACCAGGAACCGAAGAAACTAAGGCATTGAACTTACTGGAATGCAACCCCATACTTCATCTGTCGACGTGAACAGCCCATTTGGTCATGTCAAGTTGGGCCGTCACGATGCAAGGAGTGCCCGAGGGCTACGAGGGGAAAGGAAGTTTCATTTCAAACTACTCTGAACCCGCCTCCTCTTACCCCAAAGGCGAACCAGCAAAAACTCGTCGCAAACCCAGCGAACTCCTCTACTCCTTGGTCTCAACCCGGTGGGCGCGGTATTCGGAGTCGGCTTTCTTGAACAAGCACTCAGGGGAAACCCAGGATCTTCTTCCAGTTTCCCGGGAAGTTCTCGCAGCGCATCTTCTCAAAGAGGGCCTTCATGCGTACGACCTCCTCCAAGCATTTCTCCGAGGCTTCCTTTGGTGTTTTTGAACAGCTCCACGTCATGTCGGTCTGGATGGTCTCTAGGAGCGCTGGGATGGCGTCGTTGAGGTCTGAGATAGCGGTCTCCTCTGGAGCTTGGTCCTTGTCGTCAATGTCACGACGGGAGGTGCCCTTCAGCTCCCAGTCGTTGAACTCCCAGCTCCACGAGGACATCGGTTCAAACCCCTACTAGCGGTTTTAACGACTTCGGCAATAGCGTCGACCTCCTCGTAGAGCTTGTGCTTGTTTCAAGGGGTCATCTTCGCCGTAACTAGCAATTGTTGATAAGAAGATCTTGAAACTAATATTTCGATACTTGCCTCCGACGGGTGTGAGGCTCATTTGCCAGATGATGCCTATACTGATTCTGTGGCATGGGTACACTCCATCCTTGTGCCTGTGCCTGTTGGGCCTGCGGGTCCCATAGAACCTGAGGGCGATCATTTCCGAATATGTAGCCAGCTGTGTGAGCAGGGTAGTTGCGGGCATCTGATGTTCAAAGGCTGCGTACTGGCTTCCTAGCTGGGGGTATATATTTGCTCCTGGCTGGGGGGTCAGGGTCACTTCGGGAAGTAGGAAAACCAGCGCGTTGACGCCTGGTGGGGCAAAAGGCATCAATCCTTCACGAATCTTCTTTGCGTCTTCCATCATGCTGACTTTGTCGTACGACCTTCCACATCCTCCAAAGGAAACTCCAGTCGGAGGGGAATGCCTTTGCTGGGTTACCGAACGAGGCGTCAAAATGACGAGAAGAGATAAAGGCGTTCTCTTGGTCTTCACTTTCATCCGCTGGCTGAACGACACAGGCCGTTTGGCATGCCCCCGATACCCGTGTCGCTCACCCAGCGGACGAAAGTGAAGACCAAGGGAACGCTTTTGTCTCTTCTCGTCATGAGTAGGACCGGAGACGCTCAACGAGTGGACGCGCTTTGTTGGCGTCATGTTACGAGAAGGATGAGACGTTGAGCTGATGTGCGGAGGAGATGAGTTCCGATGTCGGGCTGAGCGTCCAGATGAGAGCAAGGTCGCCCTAAGACAACGCGGTCACTGGCCAGTCCGTGTCCCTGTGGTGAGGAGTAAGAAGGTGGCTCACAGGAGATATGCAAATACCCTTGTCGCTCACCCAACGGAAAAAAGTGAGTTGCCTCGTCGTCCTGTTGACCGACAGAGTAAAAGAGCGAGCGCACTGCCTTTCGGTCAGGTTTCTGGTCGAGTAGGAAGCCGATGGTGCGACTAGCTTGCTCTTGCGGAGCAGGAGAAGGCAAGCCTATCGCGCGGAAGAAAGAGGCCGGCATACAAGGGGGCTGGCTGATTCGTGCATGCCTAGCCTGATAGTCTTCTACTGAGGCATATCTGCGCAGCGGCCATCGCACGACTTCTTGATACGACGGTAGACATCGATGTTCTTGTCATTGACGATGAAGACCAGAATCTGAGGCCGAGCGGTGAACTTCTTGCCAGTCAATCCAAGGCCTGACGATCGCTATAGGCTTGCTCTTTCAGGGAAGACGAACGCGCGTCATCCGAGTCGACCTCTTCCGTGACTTTCTAAAGGGTCAGCACCAAGAGCAGAGGTGCTCATGGCAAAGGCTGTACATCAGGTCCGCGACATAGAACCGACTCGAAAGATCTTCTTGTGACCCACGGCGAAAATGCCGTACTCGAAAGTCCTCATTTCCTGAAGGCCAATATGCTTGTCCAAGGCCAGCCGGAGTTTGGGGCAACGCAGTGAGGATACTGGACGTGTAAGGCAGAGCTGGATGTGCAGGAGGGCTCGTATCAGACAGTTGGTTTGGGGGAGAGAAGTCGTCGTCGACGTTGGCGCGGTGGAAGACTTCCTACATGTGTCGGAAGAAGATTAGCAGGCATTTGGAAAACATTGAGGGCCATGGAGACGTACCTGGAGATGCGGGCTGGATAAGCGCCGCATTGTCAGTCGCAAGTGGATCACTCACTTCCGCTCGGCAGGGGCCCGAGGGCTAGAAGGGGGAAAGGGTTTCATTGAAGCTTAGGCTACAGACGAGGAAGAACACGACAAGCCCGAAGCACCTCACTTTGTCCGCACAGTCCATAAACTCAACAAGAGTCTGTCTCCTCCTACTCTGGGTTGTTCTCCTCTGGGTCCGGCTCTCGATTCATCAGGGCATTTAGGCGCGGTTCGTGCTTCGCCTCGACGGCGGTACGAGCGGTTGGCTCAAAGACAGGCTCCTTCGGCACTACACGAGCTGCTGACTGGGTTCTGTTTGGCATCGTCGACGTAGGGACACTCTCGACTATAACATTGCCGTCGATAAGCACATTGCTAGCTTTCATAAACGTCATCACCTATCCTCGACAGGGAGCAGGAGGTTTCCGTCGACTGGGAGCAGGATGTCTTCGAGATTCGGGATCTTGCGGACGTCGTCGAAGGCAGCGGAGGAGTGAATCGGGGTTCGGCCTCGCGGTCCTCAAAGTTGGTTAGATTTTGAGTGACGTGAAGGTGAAATGGAACAAGCTTACCTGGCAAATGCATACTAGTCTGCCAACGAGGCTCTGATTGCTGAGCGTGTTGACGGCCTGTTGGGGCAGTCTAACGACGGTGTCGCTTGAGTCGAGACGACTTTTCTAGTCAGCAGTTTGTTCAACATCCGAGGACTCATCGTCTGCCGCAACCTCCAGCTGAGATGGGCCTTAAGTGATGGGCCATGGAGAAAGGCACTCACCTGAATGGCGGCAAAACCATCTTCATCCAACTCTACGGAGCGACGAGAACAGGACACCATTTCGGAGCGACGAGAAAGCTCCTCTCCTACGGAGCGACGAGAACCGATGCCGAATACGGAGCGACGGGAACGCCCCTCCCATCCGGAGCGACGAGAACGCACCCCGTCTGTCAGGGGCGTTCATCTTGCCCCTGACAGGTAGAGAGCGGAGTTGTCGCGGCCTAGGGGTGTGTCGTGGTTAGCAAGTTGGGCTGGATTAGAGACGTCGGCTGCCTGACACTGACGCAGCGGGCGGCTCGCGATGAGGCCGGTTGCAGTGGGCAGCCGATGAGAAAAGGCGAGGGAAGTAGGTGTACGTACATGAGGCCGAGATCATGTCTGCCATCTTCCAAATGGTGAGCGTGGTTGGGCGAGGAGGATGAGGGTGAGGTAGAAGGTGAGGTTGAGGTGAGGCGAGGCGCTCAGGCGATATCAACAAGGTGGGGCGGGGCTGTCAAGCGAGGGCCACGGCAGCAGGCAAAGGCAGGTCCCTTGGTCCCTCGCAGCGAGAGCACCGGACAGAAGCTGCGAAAGGGCCTTGTTGAGAAAGCAATGGGGCATATGTACTGCTTGTATGCGATGTACTGCTATAGAATACACCTTAATACGGTGAGAGCTCGGCTTGTATTGCTCTTTATATAGTGGACTTGGTCGTTGCGATTTGGTTTTCCGCCGGCGATGCTGGCGCGCCGGAGAGCCATGGGACCGCGAAAGCCCATGCCACACTCTATATCAACACCATGTCTACGCCACAATTCGTGGAGGATGCGATATCAAAGTAGAGACAGCGTTTACTGTCTACGAGTCTAGTGGGTCGCAAATCATGTGATGCAGATTCAGTGAGGGATCGCGCCCAGACAGCGCGTCCTCTTCGCTGCAGACCTGGGGAAAAGGGGAACCATCCACGCCACGGCAGGTAAGGCACATCCTGAAGGTACCACGGATTTTGAGAGCCTTCTGAAACCTTTCTGTCGTAGATAGACAGAGAACTTGCGCAATGTCTACTCAGTGAGGGAAGGGCGCTGCTAGCTGCAGCCATTTCGGCGGCTGGCATAGGCAACCAAACCCCCGCGGTGTAGCGGCATCGCCATCATCTTCCCCCTAACCTCCCTCAGCAGCATACCATAACTGACACCTCGTGTCATTGTTCCCTCTCCGAATGCACCTCAACTGACGGAAAGGTCCCTCTTCGGCCCGGAGGCGGACTACAGCGCCGGCGCCTAGTTCGAGAACACCAAGCTAGGACCCAAGCCCGTGACATCTGCATGGAATGGTATTCTACAGAGCTTCAAGAAAGCAGTGACGTTCAACTACCACCTACTACCGCAAGTACTGACCAGTAGCTCTATGCCTAGCTAGTAAACATCATCAGCAACGCACCTTCAGCATGGAACAGCCGCTGCTCCTCCTCCCTCCTGCCTCCTCAAGACCCCCCGAGCAGTAGAACAAAGACACCAAAGCCCCTCCTCAACCCAGACAAGCTGCGTATGACGATGGACCACCTATTCAGTGACCCTCTTGACCCCAGCACGCAGACCCCATGGAGAGCTGCTGCGGCAAAGTTGATCGTCAAGATCTCCCAAACCAACTTGCCACACCTTCCATCACAGGAAGGCTAGACTAGTTTTGCTCCACATACCGGCAATACTCGTCCGAGTTTGCGTCCTCCGCCGGACCATTGCAGTGCTGGCACGCCGGTTTGATCAAAGCAAGAGCAGACCACACCATTGGGCTCGGGGGTCGCTGATTTGACCTTGTCTCCCACAGCCATTGATGTGGTTTACAGCCAATGTTGATCAAGACAGACCGCGCAAAGCTATTGCAGATGGCACAGTTCGTTTTGCTCATTTGCCCCCTACAAGGAGCTAGCAGACATTCGAGTTGGTTCTCGATGTCGTTGACCCCCCAGCCACTTGTCCACACTCGCCGATTCGAAGAGGCGGTGGTCGTTTCCTGGAGAAAAGAAGTCGAGGTCGGGTTCAGGAGGGCTTTTTTATACCTAGCGGGAAGGGCAGCACGGAGGCAAGCACGTGTTGATCAGGGGCTCCTGGAAGGATCAGGGGCTTCTGAAAGCGTCGGCGGTAGCCTTAGCGATTCACCGAAAAGCTAAGCAGGCAGGCGAGAGCGGAAAGCTAGGGGCCGATGTTATGCTATCGATGGAGGCGGAAAGCAGAGGCGGGAACTCCTAGTTTCGGCTTAACAGCTAGAAATACCAAATTCACTCCACCATAACTACACGTGCAGAAGCCGTGCCACTAAGTCGTTGGCCGAGATCCATTCCTTCCTAGCTATAAAGAAGTGTTCAGTAACTCCAAGAACCCTTTCTCAGCAGGCAGAGCAAGACGAAGAAGAGGAGGAAACCAGTATAATCGAAAAGGCAGGGCCGGACTGACCATGGCAGCTGATCATGTTTGTTCAAAGCATCCACGGCACAGCCCTATGGGAAGTGCAGCTGTCGCTTTTGATTAGCAAACTTGTGCATGAGCTTGACCATATTGAGTAATTGTGGCAGGCTAGGTCTCACATGGCGGCATTAACTAGAGGTAGCTGTTGTCGTCATGGGAGATCGAAACTCGGGTGTGGAAGACTGTCATGGCGGCAATAACTAGAGGTAGCTGTTGTCGTCATGGGAGATCAAAACCCGGTCGGGAGGACTATCATGTTGGGAGTGTGGGTGCAACACACGAATCGAGAAGGCTCATGGAGGAGGGAGTTGAACTCACTGTGATGGTGAGAAGCAGCGTAGATTGCTGATGGAGGGTATAAGAAAGGAGTAATAATGGTGTGTACATATGGACATACGAGTTGCAGAGTAGTATTGCATGATTGAACATATAGTATAAATGGCTACAGTAAAGAATTTACACCATCGTTGCGAAATAGTGATGCTTGCAACTATTAAACATGGCTTTTAGCAGATAGGATCAACCACAATATGTTTGAGGATTAAGACCTCTGTTGGTTTACAGGCCGTAGCATCTGAACATTATGTACATGAAAGCCCTGTTTGCTACCAGCAGTGATTGCTGTAGGTGATTGTCATAATCCAACAACCTCTTCTTTCTGCATCGCCGTTATCACGTGTACGATAAGGTCTTAGAGTAGATCTACTACAAAGACCTTATCGTACCCTAGGTTAACTAGCTGGACCAATAGGAAGCTTCGGATTGCGATAACATAGCGGAGTAAGCGGTTGTAATTTGAATGGTAGGCCCGTTGTACATGAGGGAAGAGTAATAACTTCTTTCCGCCTTAGCCCAGTGATATACGGGCTCTACAACACGGTTAGTAAACTCGAATTGTTTTTAGCAGTAAAATGGCTTACCACCGTCCTCCCAGGTAACGCGGTAATGATTGTTCCACTGCGGCGACCAGATCCACGGGTTGAATAAATCCGCGTCATTGCCAGTTTGCCGACCGTTTGGAGTGTTTGGGTCTGACTTGGACGAAGGGACCACGGAATTCATAGTTTTTGGGAAGGAATCAGCCTTTGCTGGAGGTACCGCGTAACTCAGGTTGAAATTGATGTGAACTCTGATTTCTATGGGTGTCTAGCTCGTTGTTTATATACTAGGGGAAGGAGGGGGGCCAGCCCCGGGGGCATAACGTGGTATCTCTTCCTGACGCGTTACTTGATTCATCCTGTTTCCTGATACAGTACTGATACCGTGCTGCAGCACTGCTGTTGCACTACCTGTTACTTCCTCCTGTATCAGCATGCTATCCTGATACGTTACTGCATATGAGTTGCTGTCGTAGCAGTGGAGACTCAAGTGAAGATGGCATCTGTTGTATTAACTACGTACGGACTGTATATATAGTGGGAAGGAAATGAGAGTGGCGATGATTAGTAATATAGATATTGTATGGAATCTTCCAGAGTATTCCAGCTATTATATACTAATGCGTACTAACGTAGGCACCCAGTGCTAGCATAGGCTACCATGCTGACGCTAGGTTGTAGTGCTGCAACCCGAGTGCGTACGGACGAACTACGGAAGGTGTTGTACTGGGTCTGGGGACGAACGGCAGATTCATCAGTATTGACTTGATCTCTTGTATGCAATGACGACACACGCAATTCTTGGTGTAATCTCGCTTCATGTCCTCGGCAATGGTTTCGAAGAGCTCGGTCGCCTTTGGCCGGGATCGTGGTTCTACTTCAATTAAGCTTTCGATCCATCGAAGAGGTGAGTCGTCTGCACTTTTTTGTCGAATGATGTTAATCCATTCGTACAGCCCCTCGGGGTTTAGCGAGTAATCTAGAGAGGTCGTGCCATGGTTCCCCAGATAAGCCCGGAACTGCGCAATAGGTCCGTGGAATAGGACAGTAGCAATCTCCAAGAAAACGGCCCCGAGAGACCAAAGATCAGATGACGTATTACGAGGCGAAGAGTCTGTGACCTCTGGAGCCGCATAACGTCTAGTACAACCCCATACCACGCCTGTTGTTGTACTCCCTGTTCCCTCAAAGTCGCGCGCAAGACCAAAATCCGTGTAGTACGGTATGTTGCCTCGGAGGACGATATTCTCCGGCTTGATATCTTTGTGTCTCAGGCTAGCACCGTGAATTGCTTTCAAGCCAGATGCGAGACAGATGAACAAAGACTTCAACACCTTGAGCTGCTTCGAAGGGGAAAGAAGATATTCAGTCAGATTGTGCTCTCCCACAGTACCCATGACGATTCCAAAATGGTCCACATCTGTGAAACTAGCGGTGATTTGGACAACATGATGATGACGAACTTTCTTGGCGTTCTGGAGTTCGATCTCAAACTTCCGGAGGACCTTCAGATCTATGTCGAGTACTGTTCCTCGACGCATAAGCTTAATGGCGTAGGCTCGACCGTCCTGGGAAACTTCGACTACCTCTACGCTTTCCGCACCTTTCCCGAGGTGTTTTCCAACATTGATGCTGAGATCATGCATGGTTTGGACATTCAGATGCTTCCCGTTGGATAGTTCGTTTTGAGTACTTAGAACGTGTTTCTGAGCCTTCAGAAATTTATTCTTTAACTTAGCCGTCTTGAATGCTCCCGGGAAGCTCCTGCTATCATACGGGAGACACATGTCGTTCACACCTTTTTCCAGGAACAGGCCCATTTCATGCTGCTCGTCGATGGCGTAGAGGGCGGTATATATCCGAGGGTTTTTACTCCATTCATGATATCCATATGATTGTAGCACCGAAGATACCTGCTTGATCTTCTCGTGTGAGAAATTCTGAGGGCACCTGTTTAATCCATGCTCGTTCCTGTGGATGAAGAGTAAGGCTCTCAGTTCCTCATCCATGATCGTCCGTCCGCCCCTGGTGTTCGAGCTGCGATATATGTGTAGGCGGGTTTAGTAGCGGAAGGGGCTCGGATGAGTTGAAAGAAGCTTCCGAGAGGAGGCTGCTCAAATGTGTTCCGGCTTATGATCCTCGTTTCTCATTAGTGTTAACTCAGAAGGCTCACGGAGCCGAGCAGGTTCTTACAAGGTCGAGTCCAGAGCAAAAGTCTAACCCCGAGGAATCTAACGCGACAGAATTGGAGGACCAAAACGCGATCACATCCACCACTCTTCCGTTGCACGTAAGGCTGAGGTGAATGAGGCGGCAGGCTCGGCAGCTCCCGGGACGTAGGAGATATCGAAGGTCCTCGAAGGTGGTCCGCAAAACGATACAATACGACGTGCAAGAGATGGTTCTAGATAATGCGGTAAGGATAATGAAGGGGATCGACCTCGAGATCCCAAGGGCGGGGAGCGGGGCTGTGAGGAGAGGCTGAAGCGGGTTGCGACGTGGCCCTGCAAGGCTGAGAATGCCTGCATGGTGGCGCTCTGGGCGTGGGGGTGGAAGCAAAAATAGTCGACCAATGATACGAAGCTGTAAAGTTCGACTCATGAATTCAGCATTGATATTATTTGAATATCATTCGCTTGCAGAATGTGAACCTGTGCGAATTCCTTTTGGATATGCAGAGGGAATTGAGAGGTGGGGAATGAGTCTGGGGATATCCGTTTGACACCGCAAGAGATACCATAATGTGCGTAACCTCGGCCAGACATACAAAAAAGGACATCTGATACGAGGTGTAATCGACATTCAGACTGTTTTAAATAGAGGAGAGTGTATCACTTGACCGGAGACTGATTCAAAGCCTACGATCTCTTATATCTCACATGGTCTTGAAATACCTTTTGAAGCATGGCAGATGGCGGTAAAGCTTTGCCAAAAGTATGATTATTAAGCTTGCAGATCTTCGGTTTTCAGTGTCGAGCATATCCTTCCGCTTTAAAATAAATGTTGAGGCTTAGCAGACAGCCGTAAGTGCTCTCCAAGAAAACTCGTGATGATGCCACCTAATTCACGGCCTTGAGCCTCTTACACACGGACGGTTCTCAGAGTATCTCTTTAGGGCACGACAGGCGGCGGTGTGTACTTGTCAAGAGTATGATTTTTACGCATGTCCAATCTACAGTGCTCTGCATCTGACATCCCGTATTTTTCTAAACATGGCCTTGAGGCCTCGCAGACGATGGCAACGAGTACTAAAAGTAGAGTTTCTCCTGCGCTTTGATGTCAGCCTGTGAGATCTTCTATTTTATCACAGTAATGGGTTCTTCATTTAGACCTTCCAGACGGGGGCAAGGACTGCAAAACGTGGAGTTTCTACTGCGGTTTTGCATTAGGGGTCTGAGATCTTACACCTTGTCTTAATGTCGCGTTCTTTGTTAAGGCCTCTCAGACGGGTGCGACTACCTCCCAAGACCATCATTTTGACCACACTTCGATTTCCGCAACTGAGAAATGCACATCTCATATATGTCTCATTTGATCCTATAAGGCACTACAGACGGTGACATGTGCCTATCAATCATGAAATCAGGAGTATGGACTGGTATATACACTTCGGAATAATGCATTTGATCTGTAACGCTAGGAAGATGTTGAGGTACCTCAAACGTTATCAACTAAACGCTAAAGGGAACAGAATTTGATGATGATGTGAAAATAGTGTATACCTTTTACCGCTATTTGGTCTCTGCGCGGTGGAACGTGACATTGTATGTAGATTTCTGGAAATATGCTGAGTGCATGCAGACGGCGTTGAGCGACTGTCAGTGATGATGCGATCTCGCCTGGACCTGAAGCATCTGCTGATATTAGGGTAAATGAGGACTACTTCTTACGCGTACCCGATAGCCATATGTTGGAACTATGTACCATATCTACATTTTTGGAAGGATGCTGAGACCATACAGACGGCGCCGAAAGTGAATCAACAGAATGATGATGTGATTTTGAAGAGATTATGAGATACTTCTTACCGCTTTCTAGCTTACGTACGATGGGACAAGACATCCGGTTCTGAGATGCAGAAGCGTGTTGAGATCCTTCAAACAACATTACTCGTGCGTCATGAAGTCTATTAAGTTGCAATGATGCATACGTAGGAAGCAGAATGAAGAGAATCAAACTCAGAGTCACAGTCTTACTCACAGTAGGTTCAATGTTGAATCATGCAGAAGAACAGGAGCTTGATTCGAGAAACGGTACCCAGCACGGGGCCCATAGAGTCGGAAAATTCTCAAAAGTCTACCAACACCAACGCAACCCCCAAAACTCCCAGCACCGACCTCACTCCAGCTACGCCACTACAAGGCCAAAGGAGCACCACCAAGGACCTCCGTGACTACTTCGCCTTTGAGCCCCGCGACGGTAGCCCCCGTTCGCTAAAAGCGCTACTAGGACACACTACCGCCGGTTGGTCGAGGCTCGCGGGCGATGCAGCCACTTCGCATCCCTGGGATGCTCCCCCGCCCTGTACTGCCACAAGGGCCGCGCCAGGGCGCCATTCTCCGAGAAGACGGGCCTCATCCCCCTCTTCTCCTCCTCTGCCGCGTCCGCGAGGACGTGCTCGGCGTATCGTCGCCCGCTGAAGCTGACGGCGAAGGAGACCACCGTCTCCGCGTGCTCCTCGTACGGGGAAGCCTTGACGACGCGGAGGTTAGGCTGAATAGAGAACGTGTTAGTATGTGAGATAGAAAGCGTAGAGTAGGCATAAGCGTACCGTGCCGTCTTCCTTCGGGACCATGTAGTCCTCCTCCGCCTTCCCCTCCACCCACCGCAGCAGGTCCTCCCGCAGGTCCTCCATCTTCTCCACGTCCTCCCTGTACAGGTGTTAGCTAGGTCACTAGGTGATGTGCTACAAGATACACAAGAGGTGCACTTACTCCAACCCCTCCAGCTCCTTGTCGAGGTCGACGACCTCGTTCCACGTCTCCCTCAGCTCCGCCGGTGTCTCCTCTTTGCAAGCCTGCAAAGCGGCACGCGAGTCGCTGTACCTCGCGACGTACTGGGCGACGAGTTCCCGGAAGTCTTTGACCGCCTGGGGGATCTCGCGCGGTGCTGGTTCTTCCTCGCGTTAGAACACATGCGCAGCACGTTGAAGTGATCAAGAGGCTTACCGGCAGCGGCCTTCTTGCCCTTCCCCTTCTTGCCTCCTCGCGTGGCCATTGTTGTGAATTTGGGGTTGTTTGGTTTGGAAGTGTGTGAATGAATGTGCGACGCTGTTGGCTGAAGAAAAAGTGATGGAGACGACGCGCCTAATAATTGTTATTGTGGGTGGACTTTTCAAAACACGTGATGTGGCTTGGCGTACGCACTCTTGTTTTGCTTCCCAACAAATCGCGTCTCGTTACACCCCGCCTCCTTCAGACATCACCCACTCTCTATCTCCTGTCAGCCTTTGCACTTATCGCATCTGTCCTACTTTCGGGCTTCTTGAGGTACTGCCTCTGTCTCCTATCCGATTCACTTTGCATTGACGCAGTACAGCTGCTTGGCTGCGCGGGTGGTGAAGTGGCTGGGGGGCTTCAAGCAGGTCGACGAACTCTCATCGTAGGTAAGCTTCTCGCTGCAGGTCTCCTCGCTTTCAGAGACACCAGCTCCGAATCCTGCAATTTGCTGACGGTCGTACAAGGCTTCAGACCACGGACTCACTCCCTCGGAAGGCTCCTCAGCCACGGAGCAGCTCGTCGAGCTCCAACTGTACCTTTGAGCTTCTACTCTCTCCTCAGGCGTTGAATGCAGGTATGTTCACTTTGTTACCTCTCATCTGCCTCCACCGATATACTTTCCGCACTTCTCACAATCTTTAGCGGTTTCACACCGCGGCCACGACCAATCGGGGCACAGTCACAAGTCGTTGTCTGTCTCGATTGGAGGTTGTCTCGTTGCTCTTCGGAGCACAGTGCTTCCGTTCACGGCCAAGATCAACATGCTCCTCGACTGCATGCCGCGGTCGGCCATTTGGCCAGAGCTAACCGAGCGGCGCGAGGTCCTTGGCCGTTTCGGGGCAAAGGCCACAGACATCCCTCTCCAACTGATCTGGTTTCGAGACTCAGCTTATAAATCTATGTGAAAATGATGCTAATCAATCAAAAAAGCTCCAGGCATCTTCTCGGTAAGCTATCCTCCTCGCTCACATACTCCATGCCACTTAGCACGATCCCGCACCACCGGCCACGACCAATCGAGGTAGAGTCGAAAGTCTATTGTCTGTCTCGATTGGAGGTCGTCTCGCCGCTCTTCGGAGCACAGGGGCTTCCGTTCACGGCCAAGATCAATTTGCTCCTCGACTGCAAGTCGTGTCCAAAATAACTGAGCGGCGCGAGGCTCTTGGCCGTGCAGTGTTCATGCCACGAATATTTCTTGACTTGCTATTGTCATTTCCAGGATCTTCTCATTGACCTACTAGCTAACTATCAAAGTGAGATGTCAGATGTGACCTGGTAAGCTATCTCACTCCTCCAAAAACTTCGCAGCGGCCAACGCCGCGTCCACCAGTCAACCCTGAAACTCTTTTTGGTAAGTCCTCAAGGCCCTCCATTCCCCATCTGCGCACCTTTTTGCGCCCACCTAGCCCACTCCCGTCTGAAGCTTCTGTCTGTGAGGCGTTGCGACTCACAGCTCTTCAGAGAGGCACCGAGCCTTCCGGACAGGACAAAGTCTCATATCTCTGTCCGGTTGAACAGCGGAGAACCACTGGCATAGTGTGTTTACGCTCCGGCGAAGAACCTAAGTGCTGCGCTGGTCTCCCCTGCTCATCGCCGAGAACAAGAGGGGTCTCCGGACCGTTCACCTCATTGCGGATCAAAAGGGCATCGTACGCAACACACGTAGTACTGTGCAGAAGATGCCGGCATATATGTTTCCGCCTTCACCTTTCCTGCTTGGACCTTTGACAGATGACAAAGGGATGTGCTAACGACATCGCAGGACAACAGTCGCTGACCAGGTTTTCCGACATAGACCACCGACGAGATGCTACATGCTTGGGAATGGCACTTCGGCGACATCCAGAGCTCCAAGTCTATCATCGACCTGAAGACCAATCTTTGCAAAGGGTAAGCAACCCTTTACTTGCTGCCATCCTCAGCTGCTGACTCGTATCCTTAGATTCGGCTTCATGTTTGGGGGTTTGCGAATCTCCTTTGGGGGCTTCACCGGCGTAATTTTTGCAGATACCGCTCATTTTTTCTCCCTTTGGTCGACCATGATTAACCAACTTTCCAGCTCTGGAGCATCCAGAGCTCCAAGTCTATCATCGAGCTGAAGACCAGTCTCTGCAAATGGCGAGTGATTTTCTTACTTGGCGCTATCAACCGCTAACCCTCTCCTTTAGATTCGGCTTCATCAAGTGCCACAACTTTGCCAAACTGCATCCGCGGCTTCCATTGTGTGGGCATATGGAGCCTTTAATGTACACTCGATCATCATCTTTTATCCCGACAGGAAAGATTTCCTCATTATGAAGTCAGCTTCGCTAGGGTTTGTCCACTTGGTCCCGTCTCGATGATATCTCCTGGCTGACTGCTGGCTCAAGAAGTATTTTTATGCGAAGCTCAAGAAGTTCGCTGATGAGAACAATATCGACTCCGGGGTTGATGATGTTGGTATGTCGCTTTCCTGCAATGTCCTTGCTAAAATGAATTGAATGTGATCCTAGACAACTCATCTCGTACTGACATTTCTGCCTTCCAGGATGAAATACGCGGATAGTGAAACGCGGCAAATCTGATAGCCACGCTTTCGCCTTGCGCAGAAATGTTGAAACCCCCGCTAGGTATGTCATGTTTCGCTCCACCCACCACGCCCAATCCTACGAGCTCTTTCACTAACCCGGTGATACAGTGCGGTTTTGGTCCTCATCTTCCTTGGTTGTCCCATCCCCGTCCCCTCGAGCTCTACCAGCATTCCTCCCAGGGAGAATCCGCACTCCGCCGATCGAAGATACAATGGATAATTCTGTGTGCATGATGATGGAGGACACTGGTGGAGAAGGCACCGAAAGCCTGGGGTATCGCGGTCAGAGGAATACACTCAGGTTGCAGCACTACAACCTAGGATCAACAACTCATATGCTAGAAAGCTACTCCGAACATCAGCTGTAGAGAACACAGCTGAGATCTCAGCTGTGGAGAGCCCAGCTGAAAACTCAGCTGTGCAGTGTTCAGCTGAACTTACTAGCGCGCCACCCAGGGGTGGCCCCCCTTCCTTCCCCTAGTATATATACAACTAGCTAGACGTCGATAGAAATCAGAGTTCACATCAATTTTAACCTGAGTAATACGGTAGGAAATTGTACGATACTCTGTTACAGAATACGATCTCGCGTCTCTGCTTGTCGTCATCGCCTTTGCCCTTGCGTATTGCTTTTCTCTCTCTCCTTTCCTCCAAATCTCCTCTGCTACCGTCCAATGCCTCTAATCCGGCTCCGTTGCCTACGACATGACCCTACCCATAGGCCTGTCGTTTGATATGCGCACGAGCCGAGAGCAAGGCCGCCGCTCCTTCGGAGCGCGCCGGCTGTGAGTTCCAAAGTGACCTCAGCGCTAGATCATGGCCCGCGAGAGCGGATGCTGTGGCGCTGGAGCGGCGAAGGGAGTGTTTGCTTTTTCTTTTACCCTGTACTCACTAGCCGGCTGGTATATTTGGCTCATACAATCTCAAGTAAAGTGTCATACCCTTATATCCAATATGATTTCTTTTCTCTTCTCTTTGCCATTTACACAAGTCTTGCACAAACTCCTTCATTGCCGGCTCAGCTGCCTACGACTCGACCTACACCCGTGGACTTGTCGTTTGATATGCGCACGAGCCTAGATCAAGGCCGCCGCTCCTTTGGAGCGAGCTGGCTGTGAGTTCCACAAACTGACCACAGCGCTCGAACAATGGCATGTCTTCGTTCGAAAAGTGTTGTAACTACATAGCCGGGTCCCGTTCGCTCAAGGGCGGGCGGGTTCCAGTGGCGCTGTAGCCGTACGTCCTGGGTGGAAGTCGCTCACCACCAGAAGGGCTTAGGCGGCGGGGTTGTTTGGCTCATACATTTTCAGGTAAAATTCCATCTTCATTCCTTCCAATTGAAGGAGAGGGCCTTCGTCGGTTCCCCGACGTTCTCTACAACGACATCGACTCGGTCCACAGGAAGCTTGACGTCTCGGGCGTGTCCAGCGTTCAGCTTGGGAAGAAGTCGTACCTTGTCAACGATGTCTTGTTCCGCTTCGATATCAACAAGGAGCAGATCGCGTAGAGGAGCTGCGCGAGGCCTTCTTTCCACCTCATCGGCTCAGCTGTGTGCACGATTTGACCTCACCCAAGCGCGAGCCCGCCGCTCCTTTGGAGCGAGCTGACTATGAGTTCCCAACTGACCACAGCGCTAGAATGGTGATGTAGCCGGAGGCCTTTGTGGTTTTCTTCTTTGGCTTACCTGTTTAGACTGGGTTTACCGGTTGGGTTGTTTGGCTTATACATCTCTACATTCCCTCCAATGGCATGCTAACTCACCTTCAATTCCGATTTTCTGTCGCCACTGCTTTCATCCCATTCGAAGACCGCCTGCATGGCTTGCTTCCATCCCTTTACATTCCACTCACTGTACAACGGCCCAACTGTCTACGGCTTGATCTCCTCGCGAATTTGCCGTACCGCAGCGCGAGCCAAGATCGAAACCGCCGCCATTCCTTCGGGGATGGAAGGGCAACCGCGACCCCGAACTGTTCCTAACGCTAGAACAATGACTTTGCCTGGCTCGCAATGATCGGCAGCAGGCTGCCCGTAGGGGGGCTGGTGCAGTGGCGTTGTGACCGTACGGTTGAGGCTCTTTGAAAATACAACTTAGGCGGATGGTTGTTTGGCTCGTACATTTTTCTCTAGGTATCAAATTCGTAGTAAATCTAATTCGATGTCTTCATTTCGCGCTTGCTTCTCTATCCTTGTGGTCTCGGTCTTGAGGTGTGCATGGTTATTTACGACTTCGCGCCCTCCAACAAGACTCCCGCGTGAGGTTTAAAGGTTGCGCTGAGCGAAAAGCGTGGTGACCGTTTTTTGGGAACCTTAGTCCACAGCAGTAGACGAGGTAACATGACTGGTCGGCACTCATAGTGGAGTGACCATAGTGGAGTGACCTTGTAGTTGTACGGTCTCGGTTTGCCTTTGGTCCCGCAGTTGTGGTGTCCGGATCATTAACCTTGACGTAGAACTCCAGTATTTTAATCAACTACCATTGAAATTTCTCAGCATGCCCCTCCACTTCGTTTGTGAATGGTGGTACCTCTGGCTCCGTAGTCTGCCTTCTGACGACTTGTATACGCACTTCCCATGCTTCCCTATTGAGCCGCGCAGACGGCAGGCTGTCAATCTCCTCGGAGAGTAGGCTTCCTCAGCGGACAGCACTAAGTAGTAACGTTCGTGGCCTTCCGCAAAGTCCTTCGAATCCCTCGGTCTATATACTCTCCCATTTTACAGAGGGAAGCCAGCGGGGAAGGGTAGAAGGCTTTGGCCGAAATTCACCATGACCGCGTCTCTGGGCCCTTGTATCTGTATATCTACCCAACCTCAGCGAGATCCTAGCGGCGTATTCGATTCACCTATCGCATCTTCTGCTCTAAAACGGTTTTGGAAGAGCTTGGAGAGCAACCCACAGAGGGAGTCCAAGGGATGTGCCTACTCTGATTCCCTTGCTACGTGTCAGGAAGTACCATCCTCCCTAGCCCTCTTCTGGAGCAGACCTTGAACTTCGGCGAAATGGGTTGGGGGGAAATGGTTGCGCTCATTCAGGCGACAGAGGTCCAGATTGCTTCATCAAGATACACATTCAGCGTCTCTGTAGTGTGCTATCACCCGCAAAGAAATGAAAAATGAATACCGCTCCATGTGTCGCTCTCGAGTCAGTGCTATATCTTCCCTCTTCTCCGCCCGAGACTCGAATTGATATATTACCGCCGCATTGCTAAGCGACGAAGCATGGGACGGCGGTGAACAGTGATCCGAGGATGATTCGGGACTGCGAGTTGCTTAGCAGATCACCGAGAGAAGCGTTCAGCTACTCTCAGAGGCCGGTATTAGCGGCTCTGCGTGCCTGAAATGGTGTATCCGCCAAACGACCCAGTCGGTTCGATTGCATGCAAAGCACTACAAGGCCGTGGACTCAGACACAAAATTCGCGGCTACAATGAGAGTACTGTCATGACATTGCAGGATGGGCTAAAAATCACCTTAATGTGGACGTCAGCTGTCTGTCTTCAGGAGCCTATTACTCTTGCCTGTATCGCCGACGGCATAACGTCGAGCACATCCGCGCCGAAAGGCGACGAAGCCACTGCAGTGCACAAGAAGCATGAATCACGATACGCAAGAATGAGAAGTTGTTCAAGATTGCATTGATTATTACGTAAATCTATCTTAAGTTGAAATGTGTGGGTCAAACTCAACCCAGCCGGTTAAGTTCCTTTCGCAGTAGCGCACTACATACTACCAGAACTGTACGGCTACGACGAAACGCTTTCATTCGTTGTAGTCTATTCTGAAACCCACTGTCTTTCGACGTCAGCCAGTCCGTCGCAACTGCGACGGCGGCCTTTCGTCTTGACGCTACTGCCCACGACAAGCTCGCCAGGAGATTGAATCGTTGGGGGTGCAGCCGTTGCGAAGCATGACATGCGAGAAGAGACGAAGAGAAATGGAAATCAATGAGGGAATTGCTTCCAATTGGAAGAAAACAACAGAGAAGATCTACCAAAAGAAAATGTGTGAGCCCAAACTCCCGGAGCCTCACGGCTACAACAGCATAGGGAAACGTCCGTTGTGGTTTAGTCTGGAGCTCATTATCGCAGGAAACCCCGCGAGCCTGTGCAAACTAGCGGGGGCCTGCGACGTGGCCGGCCATTCCCTGAGGAATGGGAGCCTTCAATCTAGGCTCTCGGTAACCACGACGGGCTCGCGAGGAGGTCGAGTCGTGAGCTATCGAGCCAAAGAGGAACGCAACATAGCCCGAGATGAAGTGCAATAGACGCGGAATTGACGTGATCATGGAAAGAGGGGAGTGAATGGAAGTACGATTGGGGAAAATAAATTACCTTGATGAACCTGAAGCTAAGATGTATGAGCCAAACTCAACCCAGCGCCAACTGTCGTTCTACACGGCAGCCCTATCCCCTGAGCTCGGGTCTGCCAGAACCGTCCGGCTGCAACGCGTTGGTGATTTCAATTGCGGATTCGTACGGTGCGGCCTACTCTGTAGCTCGTGGCCAATCCGCCCCAGGAAGAGCGGCGGCCCTCAATATTGGCTCTTTGCTACCTACGACAAGCTCGCGAGGAGGTCGAGTCGTAGGGTGCTGAGCCGTAGGAAGATTGTAATAGATACTATAAAATGGACTGATAGACAAGAAGTAGCGGTGGTTGCACGAGTCACTACGTAGAGGAGAGGAAAGCCAGTGTGTAGTTGTCGCAAAAGCAGCGGACCGTGCCGATTGAATTGAGAGACAGAGCGCGAACGGAGCTACTATCGAGATGTACGGGCCGTCGTCCCCAGCTACTCGCCAATGTTCGGGTCTACGTTCTCCTTGTCTTCCACCGCCGGAGGGCCCCTGGCGTCCCTCAGCCGGCCACCGAGGCGTATCCTCTCCCGGGCCTTGTCCTCCCCGTTTCTCATGAACGCGCTGACCTCGCCGAACGCGCCGTCTTCGTGGATCTCGAAGGTCCAGCCCTTGGGCGTGAACTCTTCCGGCTCGAGGGTCTGCTCGGTCCACCGGTGCTTCGACATGGCTCCTAGGGCGGTGGGGCGTGGTGGAGGTTTGGGCGCTGGAGGCTGGTTTCGGTGATGTGGGAGTTGGTGGAAGAGGATGAGGCGGATTTGGAGGGAGATTTGGACGCAGATTGTACTTGTACTGTGATCTAGAAGGCTGACATTAGCTTCGGACGCGACATTGTGAAGTGATTCCAATACTTACGATGAATGTGCGTTGTGTTGCTGGAGAGTTGAGATTTTCGCCGCGGGTCTTGATAAAAGATGTAGTGGGCGCTTTAGCCATGCCCGCATCACTTCACTCGTAGATGCAGCACATAATGAGGCATGGGAGCCCTGAAATGGCTTCACCGCAGGCCGTACCATGCGAGCTTCATGCCTCTGCGAGGCCTTACAGCAGGGCTGCGGTAGCAGCTTTATTCACGCCTGTGAATAAAATTCACCTTGGATGAAGACCGAATATGTGACTGGAATGGCTTTGTTACTCCGCCAGTTACCGTACTGCATCATCAATTTGGGTGCACATGGATACAGCACTACTCAGGCTCTACTCTTGCTGCCTCAACGCCAGCGTGAGGAGGACCCTAACCAACATGTTCTCAGTCAGTCAAAGGGATCGCAAGAGGAGCTTGAAAAGCGTATAGGAACACCCCATGCAGTGGCAAGGAGTGGACATTCATAGTGCAAAGGTGGAACATTTGAAGATCAAAGAGTAGTATTGATATAAGAAGCATAACAAAAGCTTCTACAAAGAAGCATGTATGAGCCAAACAATCTAGCTGGTACTTGTTGAAACGCCATTTAAACCCCGCCGAGGCGGGTTGACTGCGGCAGGGACTACGCCTCTCACACCGTTCTAAGTCCGAGCTACAACGCCACTGCAGAGCTCGACATCCATCGCTCCCAACGAGGTTAGGCAACGTGGAATGTCATTGTTCTAGCGTTATGCTACCTGTTTGTAACAACTCGTGGCCAATCCTCCCCGAAGGGAGGCGGCCCTCGCTCTTGGCCAGGCTCTCTACAACGGGCTCGCAGGGAGATCGAGTTGTTGGTATCTGGCCGATGTGGTGTCTTGATGTGACATGGAGGATGGGGTGAAGGGATGAGGAATGGAATGAGGACGAGGATGCGTCGGACCGAAAGCGCGACGTGAAGTGAATGAAGGGGGGGAAGCATGGGGAGGAGTACAGTAGAAAAGCGACGTGGAGAAGAAGGGCAGAAAGCCAATAGGACGTGGAATTGAATTACCTTATACTTGTGGAGATGTCAGCCAAGACGTTCGGCGCAAGCAAATTGATGTTGCAGACGCGTTATAGTCTGGCTTGTTGATCTTGGCCGAGTGTGACCGGGCTACCACTAAAGTGCAGACCGGTGTTTACTCAGCCGACAGTGTGAGATAAGTGAGCAACGTCAGAGCGCTTGTTGCGTGTTTTTCTAAAGCCGTGGCAAGCTAGATGTCAACGTGGATGAAGTTTGAGACGGGGCTGAGAGATTCTCGAGGGGGTCTTGCGATAGGGGTGCACACCAAAGTGGTCAGTAGCAAGGGAGATGCTGTCACACGGTCCGATTAAATTTGAAAACTAAAAACAGCCTTGATCCTCTGTTACTGATTAGTCCCGATGAATGGTGTGCTCGAGGTAGTGCACGGTGAACTTACTAAAGAACAAACACGACCGCATACCCCAGCTGGCGGCAAGCGGCAGTCTGCTGTTTGAGCAACTCCTGCTCGTGGACGTCCGAGTAGCGGATCTAGATGAAGTGCTCTTCGCCTCCGGGCTTCGATATCGGGGTGTTGTTGAAGTTGCGGATGATCTCTTCACAGATCTTCCGAGAAGTGTTTTGTCAGCGCAAGAAATGCTGGTGGATGAGTGAGCGACCTACCGAGCGAAACCAACACCCAATTCAGAAGCTGTCACGAAGGATTCTACTCGAGCCGACGTTGTGTGAAGTGAAGATCGAACCGAGCGAAGCCAACACCACGTCCATTGCCGCTGCTGTCACGGTAGATGCTGTCACGGAGGATCCTGCTCGAGCAGCCTTTGTGGGGAGCCAAGATGTTCTCGTATTTCATATCATGACGTGAGCAAGTGCTGATGATAGAGACATGATGGAGTGCTTACCAACTCTGTTCGCCAATCCTCATATCATTGCGAAAGGCCAGGCTGGCTTCGTCACGCTTCCGGTTCATTGGCACAGATCCCATGGGACTAGCAGCTTGATGTTGGACGCGTAGCAGTGCGAGTGCTGAAGGCCGGCCCGCCATGGCCGCTGATGATGGTTGTGGCGGCAATTGCAAGTAGGGTGATGCCGGTGCAGAGTTCGGGCTCGTCATCGTGAATGAAATACCAGCCAGGTGAGCAGAGCACTGGCCGGCCGACGCGTCGCTAGAAACGACGATCGTAGAGGTGACGGGAGCAGCGCTGGAGGTCAGGATCACAACGCTGGTGACGAGGACAGTGGGCTCTTCACGAGGCGGCAAGCGGGTATTTAGATCCTGTTGCTTGTTAGTTAACAATGCACGGGTGAGGAGGAAATAAACTTACGTCGACCACGCTCTGCGTGTCGCGGATTGGTGGCTCAATCCAGAACTCCATGCTGTCAATGGAGAGGAGGAGGATGTTGTGAGGAAGCACAGCAGGACGCGACGGGGTAGAAAAGGACGCGAAAACTCGCTTAGCACTAGTGCGTCTGCGCCATAGGGTGTGAAAAAAGTGGCACATCCATCAAGTACCCCAGCCGTGTGTACACCTGTGTGCCACCGCTTGGGGTGCCTTAAAGTATATTCAAAAATACGAATGGGACAGAAGCTTTTGACTTTGGTCTATGTGGAAACTTGTTGAAGCACCTCAAACAGTGGCAGACAGGTGTACACACGACTAGAGAAGACAGAACGCATGATTAGTGTGCCACTTTTCCGAGCGTGCCCAAGTCCTTAAAACTCTTGTTACCACCGAGAATGGCTTGGCAACATAGGTGCCCTTTCAAATCTGCTGGCCTGCTCCTCCAATCTTCCCTCTCCGATTGTCCCAGTCACAACAGCAGCACTACAAGCTCAGCATTAACTCAAAGACCCCATAAACATACGCAGAGTACCCCAAAGACCACAAAAAGTACGCAAATTCTCCCCTCCTTGTCACCGAAGCATCTCCTAAGCCAACACAGTGTCCATATCCGACAACACCCCGCCGTCGCCGCCACAGTCCCTCCAGTACCTCGATCCGCCCGTCCGCGTGCCCGCGTACCGCGGCGATAGCTTGCACTGGTATACTGTTGTCCAAGGCACGCGGGCCAGACCGAACCCTCCTGTAAGATGATCTTCTACGCCTCGTTGAGATGTTGGGTACAGAGCCTGACCTGCTATAGCCGCGCCCCGAACCTGATATCGACCTCGAGGCCGCTCGCGAGCAAAATAGGCTCGGCAGAGAGCAGGATGAGCGGGTGGCGCGACGGCAGCGGGGTGGTGTTTGGCGGAGACTGCGTGTGAGGGGGGGGAGGCTGTGGCGGAGTGTGAGCGGGCGGTTTAGGTGGTAGTTTGGGTAAGTTTGGACGAAGGGAGATAGAGGGCTTGGGCTAATACACCACAAGCAGGACTAGAAATTGACCGTCTACTATTACGCTGACGCGTACATCATGTTCTGGAGAGTTTGGGGAGCTGGCTGATGAATGGGATAGTGTTGTGGAAGACTCCCGGGGGTGGAGGCTTTTGAGACGAGAGGATGTCTTTTCTAGAGCCTGTGATATGAGAGTAACTCAAATTGAAGCCGTTGTTCCTTCTCTCCATGACCATCATAGCGTTGCAATATGAATTGACGCGTGAACATGTAGTGAATGAGAAGCTGACGCCACTGTTTGTGGTCCTCCAAAGCGCTAGGGTAGTAGTAGACATGATGTAATAGACTAGATGATGTATATTGGATACTATGGAACTGTAGTGCTTTTCCAACTCGGTAGTGCGGTTTGAGGTCGTCTAAAGATTCGTAAATGCAAAAATAGCAATGTCAAAGATCACGGATTACACATCATGAGTCTCAAAGATAGGTACTTATGATTTAGAATATACCGAATGTCGGTCATTCAAATTGATTATGCGTTGGTGCCGCACTGCGTACCTAGACAGGTCGTCGGAGAACCTCTAGGGGTGGTAGACTTCTTACCCACTGGAAGCTCAAAGGAACTCGCCTGTATTGAACACCCCATAACTTCCTGTCTTCAGATTGCTTGAGCTACGTCATCAGGCTACGCTCACGGATATGACCTTGAGGGCCTTCCGGAGGGCTAATCCGTCTTCCCCTCCCATTTCTTGACAGTTCCCAGCACCGCCTCTTTCAGCGGGACCTCCTTCTCCAACTCATCATAGATCTCATGCCAAAGTGCCTTACGCTGGTCCGCTCGCCACTTCTTCTGCTCATCCCCCATCCAATTCCCCGCATCCATATCCCTCTGGATCTTATCCTGCCGCTTCAACTCATCTATAACGCCAGTCACATCAGTAAGACTACGGTCAGCAACTCGTAGATGGTCGGCAACTTCTGTGAAGATGGTAGCGAGACGCTCTTTGTTGGTTGGAGTCTTACCATCTTCGTTCCGGGCAATGGACTTGAGCGCCGCGTTTGCCATCCGCAGCTCAGCCAAGTACATCTCCCGAATCTTGAGAACGTGAGGGAAGGGAGCGGGATGAAGGACACAGCGGATCGTGAAGCGCTCGATGGGGTTGGGAGTGCGGAGGAGGGCACATTGTGTCGCTTCGCTCAGATTTTCATACCGAAATTCGAGCGTATCGTAGCCAGAAATGAGGCTGTTGCAGCTCTCACGCAAGCTGATCCAGGTATGCATGTTGGGATAGTCGGTGGTGCCGTCATCACTGATGATCTTGGGCTGTCCCAGGAAGTCTTTGCGCTGGTCTTTAGATTGATGAGACGCTGGCCGCTGTTGGGATCGCTTCGTCCTGGGATCTTGATGAGATCTAGGGGGATGCGAGGTCGGACGAAATTCTCCCCGGTTGTCATGATGCTCTCGATGGGAGCGCTCTCGGCATCTACCGTTTTTGAACATGTCCTCTACACCATCGATGATTTCTTCGATGGGATATTGTCGAGGAGGGCGGTTGCGATCGTCCTTGCGGGAGCCATGCCGAGGTGTTTGTGAAGGCATTGTGCTGGTTTGTGTGCCAAGGGTGTAATGTATTAATAGTTTTGTGTTGTTGTGCAAGTGTGATTTGAGATTATGATTGTTTTGGAGCTTAGAAGGATGGTGGTGGTAAGGGGAAAGGGGAACCTAAAATATATCGTCTTTCCCAGAAGAATCACACAATGTAGCACGATAAAATGAATTCGGCATCTATAATTGCACAAAGTGAAAGGACATCGGTGAGTTTATGTGGTGAACAATGTAGAGGTCTAATGGGCAGTGTGAACTGTAAGGAGAGATCGTGAATTAGGTTTTTATAGTATGGGGACGTTCAGATTTGAGGGTTTTCTGCGTAGCCTGGACATATTATCAGAAGGAGCAGCCAACGGATATTTGGATTCATCGTATGTTGCCAAGTTATATAGTTGGATACACAATTCGCACCTTGTATAAATCAAAAGTACAGTAAGTCATGAGGTTGTCCAGTCTCATTTCGGACCTTCGATACAAATGATGACCATCTTTCATCTTGATGTTGCAAAATCTCATGCTTGATGTTCTGAATTCTATGCTATGATATCTTAGTAACATGATTGTCTTATACCTCTCTTTCCTCCAAGCTCCCGACCATCGTCAAGTCAGGGCAGCAAGGTGGGACTTAGGTTGCAAATTGACGTGAACTCTGTTTGATTTGTGAAGCCGTACGAGCAGACTATATACTACATAGGGAGCGTAGGCATAAGTACTAATTAGAGGCAGCAGTAGGCAGCGGTAGGCAGGGTAGGCCACCGTACCCCAACCCCTCTCTGTAGAAGTTGTAATTGGCTAGGCACGTAGGCCGGAAACCCTGAGTGTGGGTGATACCGGAATTCAAGCAACCCCAAATGCGGATACTGGCAATCGGTGCTAGCTTTCTCAACTAAGGACATGCTAGCTATAGCGTTGGTTGTAAGCCGAGAGTTCTTCCGCTTGGTGCTCCATCTCTTCGATTGCGCAGTCGATTCTTGCCAATGAAGGGCCCGAGTGGGATCCGCGGTCTTGCGGCGATTATATGAGTGGTGTGTTTGTTGTATAGGTGCGGTGCCGAGCACGAGCATTCTGGTCCGCGGCTTGACGCAAGAGCGCGTTTGAAGATGCCTCAACAGATGGGTCCTGCTTCGCCTAGAATGGCACGGGCAGTGCGAGGCGACCCTGTGCTCCGCCTTTACAACTGCGCTTCATATCGTCATCGTCTTCCAATAGCTGCGAACGTGCATTTGAATCAAGAAAGGCCTCTCCAAGAGGGGAATGGATTCCATGCTTCGAATCTTGAGTTTGGAGGCAAGCTCTTTGAGTTTTCTCCTTCATCGTTTGGACCCCTTCTTGTGAAACTCTGGCTCTTTATTACGGCAAGGTGCGGCCTGAGTTTGCTAGTTGCGACTTGGTGGTTGCGGGAATGCTGATGAAGGTGCGTATAATTCAGCAATGACTTTTGTATAATCGAAGCGCTCGTTTGAGAGGCATGACGTTTAATTGGGTCGCGGACGAAGAAGATTGTATTGCGATGTACCGGGGGATGTGAGGTCTCGTTTGGAAAGGTTGCCACAACCGCAAAGAGTGCGAGGTGGCACTGCTGGAGCTTTTTAGGATTAGATATATCTAGGCTGGGGACTAGGCTGATCGGACGGAATCCTGCTAAGTCAGCGGAGAAGAACAATTCAACCAAACTGTCGTACACAGAGATAGAAATGCATGTCTGCCGTTGAGGGCGGGGAGAAACTGTCCTGGGAATGCTGTCTTCTGTTAGCTCGATGCGGAACAGTCAGGGTTCGGGGATTCTGCCATTCTGCTTCAAAATCTTAATCTCCTTTGCAGAATATATCTTGCAATAGATTCAAATAAGCTAAAGGATGTGGAAGGCATATTGCAGGAGGCTACTTCACTAGCGGGTTGTGTTCTCGCGGGCAAATGCGGTCGTGGCGTCGATGGCGGGGCTGAGGCTTGTCTTCGACAGTGAGTTAGTGACCGGGAATGAATGGTGGGAAGAGACAGCAAATTTTGTAGCGGACGGAACAACAGTACGGTATCCCTAGCGAGGTGGTCTCGGGCCCGTGAGGATGAGTTTTCGGCCCGGCCCTGACATGCCCGCGCTGTCCGTCGTCGCCAGTAGGTTGCCGTCCATTACTGGATGTCAATCGTCCTGACTCCCTTCCTGCAGCGTTACGTTCGGCTTCTGCGCGCTACTAGTGTTTCCCAATGTTTCAAAATCTTACTCTGGAGCCCTGTTGTTGTGCTATCGTGCTCGCTCAGCATCCCCTAGTTGCGTTTTACTACGAGGGATCGTGTTCCAGGAGTTATACAATACTCTCTGCCATACTTGATAATCTATGAATTTTATGACGCCCGTATCATTGCTTCGCCAGTCTTTAAGGATATCTAATGTGACGCTATTGCAGCAAAAGTTCCGTAAGTGGCATTCTGCTTGGTTTTTCGACACTCAACGTTGTCCACGTGATCCCTAAGCTGCCCTGAGCCGCCCTTCCACTAGCAAGCTGCAACCCGACACTAGACGCCAGGCAGCAGCTTGCTTTACCTTCCACGACCTTCCATACGCTAGTGACTGGCGCCTTGGCAGACTTTCACCCACCCATATAAGCCCATCTCCCCTCTGAACCTCTCCTCTTTCTATACTTACATCGTCAGGGTGGTCGAGCTCATGAATCCGGACACCTGGCAGACTGTCTCGCATTGCACAACGCGGCGACGGGCTGCTATCGAACCGGCTTCGGCTGCTTCACTGGCACAATTTTTGCTGGCCCGCTCTTTGAGCAACACATCTTTTCATTGATTGACTCGCCTTGTGCGGGTGATTGAAGAAGAGTTTCTTTCCTCTGGCAAAGAGTTCGCGGAATGTCATGTTGTGTTTGCATCACCACGAGACGGCGAGAGAAGAGCGCGTACTTTTGAGGACTTTGTTGTTTTCTGGACCTCCATATTTGGACTTCATGTTGTCGCAATTGTGTGTTTCATAGTTGGCGTTCTGCTACTAGCATGAAGCCTCTCGACTTTGTGGTGTACCCCTTCTCCACACCCGACGCTGACGACCAAGAAGGTCCAGTATGCCTCATTCTCCACATTGTCCCCTTGTCGTCCCTCTGGCTATCCACTACGGTGCCAGGGAGGTGTTGGAAGATCTTCGCATGATGCTTGTTGCGGACTTCGTGGTGCCACCGAGCTTCTCGTTATCTTCCTCACGCGATGGTCCTGGCCACTCCGCAGCAGACGACCGTACACACGACGCCTACTTCGACAGCCTGATCTCCCTAGGCCACTCTCTCCGCTACAGGCAGCTGTCCTCAAGCACTTTTCCTCCGCGCCAGAAACCACTATGCTCTCGTGATCTCGAGATCTTTTTGAGGCCAGATGCACGTCTTTTACATCTTTCCTGCACGCCATCCTCCGAGAGACGCGCAGAGCTCGACTAGCCTCTAACACCTCCTCAAGATCCGTCGTCTATCGAGCATTCTACAACTAGCTAGCTTTATAACAGATACACAGAAAGGCTCCAAAAGGAACCGCCGCGAAATAGATGTGCTCACCAGCCCATCTCAGTTGGCAACGACAGTCGAAGCGATGGAAGCAAAGACACCACACCGCATGCATGTCACGTCAGCGTCGAGAGCGGTGGGACTATCACAACACGATCACTGTAGGACGTTGGTCGAAGCTCTGTCACGTCGGCATAAACCTCTGAGCGCTGGCTACAAAGGGCAAGATTCCAGTTGTTATCTGAGAGCAGCTGTTGCCGTTGGGTCCCAGATCCTGGGGAGGAGTCCTAGAGAAAGCCCGATCATGGAAATTGAAGCAGATGGCTGTGTTACCGTTGGCGAGTTGGCCAGGAGGACCATCAGCCGAAAAGCACTTCATCGAGAAGCCTAACCAGAACACTTCCATGAACGCCATCAGGATCGCAATAAGGAAGACCACCAGTTCTCGCTCCCACTTCAACCACCAGACGTGCCAAAGCGGCAACACCCTCCTCCTCCTCTTTCGACCATGTCCGGAAACCTACTCCAGGCTGAACTCGTCTCTCTCGTCTGCATGGGGACATAGCTTCGGGAGAAGTATTAGCATGCGCCTGATCGTCGAACACACTCTGAGGTTCTGGAGGCGGAGAACGAGGCTTTGAGGGGACAACCAAGGGACGGAGAGGAGGGCATAAAAGATTGGGATACGTACGACAAGCATATCAATCGATGCGAGTCGCCTGAAGAGGAAGCTCGACAGGTTGAGCGAAGCTCACGGGGAACTTCGTCAGGAAGCCTTACGAGGAGAACACCATGTCTTTCACTCTTGCACCACACGTGTTTCACTGTCATACACGTTGTCTTTCACTACTGGGCGACTTCTTCACCACTGCTGGACGACATCTTTCACTAGTCGAGCCGACTCCTCACCCCGTCAAGCCCACACGCCAGCGTCCGCCGTCTCCACTCGTGATGTCCATCCCTACGGTCACCATCCGCATCATAGCAATCCTTTAAGATAGTTAACATTGTATCGAGTTCACGTCACCGAGCAGGGAGACGATCTGTGCCAGGGCTCAGTCTGAGGACACGCGGATATGCGTCCTTTTGATAGTCGATCTGGTTACAAGCTCATCTCGCCGAGCTGGAAGGAAGTCCATCAACAAGCCCATCAGGTTCCAGCACCCACCCGAATGAGTCGGACTCGCAACACCGGATCGCCGCACTTGAGGCTAGCTTCTTTGCACTTACCTTAGGGTCTGCAGAACTTGATCATGGCCTTTGGTGCAGGAACTTGCAGCTACCACTAACACGACTCGACGAAGTACAACACACCTGGAGCTATCAGCGAGATTCAAGGCGCGATGCTTCGTTGGATCTTAAGACAAGCATCCTATGGACGCTACAGTCTCGCCTGGACGGAATCGGGTACTCACTTCGTCGCCGGGTCGGACAGAATGACCGCTATCTTCAACGCGAACCGTTACGGCGAGCCCGTACAGCGTCACTGGACTAAGAACATGACCGTGGAGGGCGTCGGCATCAAGGATATTTTGTCTTGTTTGAGCACTAACGCCGGCGGAGCCCTCACTTTCGGTATTTTCAATCGCGGAGTAGGCCTGTACAGCAACGAAGGGAAGGGTCTCCCCATCACCTTCTTCCCGGTTTCTGGCAATCATGTCGACAAGAGCGATGGAGGGGGTGTCACTAATGTTGAATGCTCTCCATGTTCTACCTACACGCAACCCGGCCACGAACAATTAAGCCTAAGACCCAAGGCCGTCCCTCACAGAGATACAAGACAGCTGCTCGAGTTCAACGCTAACCCTCCCAACTCTATCCTGCATCGTCAACTCACTCGGTACTCCCTCTTCCCTTACCAAAAAGACCACAACAGCCTGTCCGCCGCCGCCAGCCCGCGCGTAGGCTCTGCCCTGGTAGCCTGTTCCCCAACCCGCAAGGTCAGAGTGCTGTAGCTGACTGCGAGGACGCGGGACACTTCGCAATTAGTGGGGTCTGCTCTTCTCCAGCGTCAATAGCACCTCCGTTATCCGCACTCGCCCCCATTAAGCGCCGTTCTCCCAGTCTGCCAGCTTCTTCACCCTTTCTGTTCTCGGCGTTACCTCTTCCCGCTGTTCAAGCTCCTCGCCGTTCTCTTAGCGACTGTGGGCCGCCCTTTGCCCTTAATAGATTCCGTCCCTCGACCACCTCACCAGATCGTTGTCTCGACATTGTTTGCAGTATATCTGGCCCCTTATGTTTCTTTCTCGTAAAGATGTAACGCGTCAAGAAGGACGATGGTGATGAGATTTGGGCAATCGGGATCATTCTCGTTGCTCTTTTGCATTTGCTTTCCATACTTTTGATGGATGCCCTATTTGGCATTTATTTTCTGTATGATTCTCTAAGTTCAGAATTTGGGGATTCCTTTCCGGTTGACCAAGGTTCGATTTGTACGAGTAGCTCTCTTGTCGGTGAAACGTTCATGTACTCTAGTATCGCCTTTGGGAAGGTTCGGTGGGTATCAGCTCCGGAATAGATGCTTTGCCATGACTGAGCTTTAGGATGAGCTTTTTAAGGATTTCTCGCGGCATGTCAGGTAACCTAGCAATAATGTATGAGGTTCCCAAGTTTTTAACGGATGCGAAAGAGGGAGCTCTGAATGTGAAGACTACGAATAGGGAATCTGTTGAATTGAATACCCAATCAGATTTAGTCCAGGTGCAGAACCCATATATACCATCAGAGCAATCTTGCACGTGACTGAAAGACTCCGAAAGTTAAACGCATCCAAGAACGCGAGATTAAAAATTTCCAACAGACTCCGGACTTATAGTTCGATCGGCCACACCTTATCACGATGCCATAGAAAATGACGCCGCTGAGCAGCGCATGGAAAACGAAGATGAGGATCTCTTCGCCCGTATACGGTGAGCTCTACTACTTATCAAGATTGTTTCCTATGCTGACAATTGCATCACCCCTCAAAGGACAAGGCGATCTGCAGGCACAGCCATGACTGCCATCTGCAATTTTGTCATCTCCGCCTGCCTCAGCTGGCCACCGTGTGGACCTCAGTACCAGACAATCCATGCGTCTTTCCGAAACTACACCTAAAGGCATACCTTCTTTTGCACGCTGCGGGTCATGGCATCAAACTAGGACGCGTTGCCACTGGAGGCAGCGGCAAGGAGACCTCGAAGTGAGAGCCTGATTGAGGGATTTCATCGCGGGCTAGAAGGAGAACAACAAACTACCTTGCGGAAACAACGCCAGATGCGGTGTCACGGGAAGCAGCGAGACGGCATCACACGTGGAGATCTGGAAGGAGGAAGTCTGCCAGGTGCCATACATATCCGTCAACGTCGCTGGACTCAACCTCCTGCAATGTCAGACTATATGCGATCCAAGGCCCCGAACGCCAAGAAACCTGGCATGGCCGTCAGCTCAGGATAAACACCTTCTAGAGGAAAGATTGGTGGACAAGGCAAGAAGCAGATCTTGACCACCTTCGGGCAGGATGAGGAGATGGGTAATCAACGGCAGCTCTCTAGCCACCGCCCTCACACTTAATATCGGTCTCCACCGCCGCTGGCCGGGAATCGGCAGGAATTTCGTCGCATCTGGAGAGGAAAAGTTTGGAATCGAGATGCAAGAATCTGTTGCGGGCGGAGCTAGCAGCTTCCACGCTGTGTTTTCCTGCCGTCTTGTGAACAATCTGGTATAAAATCGATAAGTTGGGAAACCAAGAACCATGCCCATCAAGCTGTCCACAGACTCACTCTCTACAAGTCTCGACCTGAGCCGACATCTGTGCCCCAGCTACCGCCGAGAGAATCATTAAAGTGGTGAAATCATTCGACCGCTTCACAATATCGTTCTTCGGTTCGGCGCGGGCAAGCCTGGAGATCGAATCGACATTCGGTTTTCCATGTTAGGCTTCTGTGGTGCTCGTCCAGACCAGTTCCACCATTCTAGGCCAGCTGAACTAAACATACGTGCTGGTGGGAGGTATCAATACAACTCTCCTGGACACGTGACTTGCGAGGCTACCGATTACGTGCAGGACTACTTCCATAATATATATGGGCTCTGCCCCTCGAGTCGAATCTAATTAAGGATTTACTTCAACACCTGCTTTCTCAAATGGTGCGCGGTAATCTTCACACGCTTGCATAATGCTAAGTGGTATGGGTTGCATCGGATATGGCTAAAGTAACCACGGTTCTGAGCCTTTTGGGAGTCTTTAGGATAGGTTTAAGTTGTGACGTCACGCAATGCCAAGCCTCGCTTAAAAATCCACTACTACTTCAGCAGCCCGCACCCGCGAACCCTTTCTCTTTTTTCATACCGGTGGTATCGAGTGAGCCGGCACCCAATTTTTGGAATTACCTGTTCTTCGGGACATCGTGTCGCTCGTATTGCACTATCTCGAGCTGATGCGCACCTTTTTCGATCTACTCAGCTTGTCTGGGTCGTCAAAGAAGAAGAAGAGATCCCTTTGAGTTGCGACTGTAACTGCTTGCTGTCAGGTTACGGCTAGAGCGCTACCAATTTGCGACCGGACGACGGTGCTATCCTGCAAGTTGCAAGTTGGCTAGTGCAACTGCAGAATATCCACTGTCCTCACCAACGGCCCTCACGGACGATTTCCAAACAACCCCTTCATTCTATCAACGTCGAACCATCAATCACAATGACCAACAACCTCAACCAGCCGCTCGACGACAGAATGAAGACCCGCCGTGACAACCGCCCAAGTCGCGAAGACCACCATCGCATGCTCCAAATCCTCCTCTCGCGCGTCGCAGAATCCAACGTCGTCGACTCAGTCTACGAAAGGACCACACTCTCCAAGCTCACCACCGAGACCCTTTTAGATCAAGCGCATGCACCAGAACTACGGCAGCCAATGCTACTACACCTGCCTGCTTAGCGACATCCGTGCGGTAAACCTGCTGCTAGACGCCGGCGCCGACGTGACGAGGCTTTAGACGGTTTGGATTAGATCCGGAGCTGAGAAGGGCGGAGATGTCGGTCGCGCTATCTTATTCATAAAGGTGGTCACCATGGCTGTTCGAGGAGTTGATGGTTTGGCGGACGCCCGATGGTACAGGCAGCGTCAAGAAGATTACTATGGCTGCTGCAAAGCAGACCGGAAAGCATAACGCCCCAACTGGCGTTGCTATCTTTCTGGGTAACTGAGAAGATGTCCAATCAGCCACTCGACGACATCCTCAAGACGCGCTGTGATGGCGAAGTCATGGACGCTGCTCCGCCTGTCGACGACGTCAAGAAGATCACTAAGACTGTTGCAAAGCAGACCGGAAAGCACAACAACTTCACTGGAGGAACTACCTCTCGCACGTTGGCCGGCAAGCAGAGCCTACCACACGACCACTACATACCGAAGACCCGTCACGACAACCGCCCGAACCATCGTTGTTCCCATCGCTTCAGAGCCACCACTGCTACTACCCCAGTCGGCGGCGTCAAGAAAACCACCATGGCGACTGTAAAGCGGACCGGAAAACAAAACGTCCCACTGAGGTTACCTTGACTGAAAAGCTCGATCAGTCACTCGATGAGATCCTGAGAACCCGCCGTGGCAGCAAGGCCACCGCTGCTGCTCCACCTGCCGGCGGCGTCAAGAAGATTACTAAGGCCGTTGCAAAGCAGACCAGAAAGCACAAAGTCCGAATTGGCGTTGCCTTCTTTCTGCTTAATGGCCGACAAACTCAACCAGTCGCTCAACGGTATCCTGAAGACTCGCCGCGACAACCGCCCGAACCGTCGTCGTCGCCATCGCGGTAAAGCAACCGCTGCTCCTCCACTTGCCGGCGGCGTCAAGAAGATTACTAAGGCTGCCACGAAGCCTACCGGAAAGCCCATTTTGCCACTCGACGACATCCTAAAGACCCGCCGTTGCGACAAGGCTACCGCTGCTGCTCCGCCCTCCGTCGACGGCGTCAGAAAGATCACCAAGGCTGCCGTAAAGCAGACCGGAAAACACAACGTCCCAACTGGCATTATCCTCATTCTGTATAATGGCCGACAAGCTCAACCAGTCGCTCGACGACATCGTGAAGACCCCCTGTTGCACCCGCCGTGGCAACCGCACGAACGAACGTCGTCGCCATCGCCGTGAACTTACCGCTGCTGCTCTGTCCGTCGTCGGCGGCGTCAAGAAGATTACTTTGGCTGTCGCGAAGAAGGCCGGAAAGCAAACTTCCTTCCTGGAGTTGTGATCATTGTTTCTGAATAGCGGTCGAAAACTTCAATCTGTCACTCGACGACACCCTGAAAACTCGCCGCGACAATCGCCCGAACCGTTGTCGTGACCATCACGGTAGAGCCATCGCCGTTGCTAACTCCCATGGAGGACCGAAAGGACATCTACCCGCGAATTGAGCTGGTGGGAACACTTCCAGCTGGGCATGGGAAGCCAATCCGAAGCTCAGGCGATGGCATGATCTATACTGGCGGTCTGAAGTTTGCCTAGGCGCCTGGGGGGGATCCACGGGACGGTACTAAGGGCTAAAGGCCCGCCGTGGGCGGCATCAAGAAGATTACCATGGCTGCCGCAAAGCAGGCCGGAAAGCATAACGTCCCAGCTGAGTTTGCTTCTGCTTTCCCTATTTCGTTGCGGCGTTGCGTAGCACCAAAAGCGCAAGTGCAAAAGCCTCCTCCGCCTCTGCTTACAACCATCCGGAAAACTCCCACAACAATGATCTAAGCGGCGACGCCGAAATGGCAGACTAAGACAGTGTTGCGTTCGGGTACATCGTCCACAACAGAGACGGATACGCCGAGTACTGGACGACGCGCTGCGGAAACAGGAAAGTTAGGACGACAAATCGGGTCAGTATGCAAGGCTTGACTTTCTGCGGCATCTGGCTGGCTTTCCCGAAATTGTCGGCTCAAGCACAACATGCGGTGGTCAAGAAACAGTTGCCTGTATTCTCAGCGAATGGGGCGATTCTTGCGCGGGATAGGAAGCAGGAGAAGTTGAATGAAGGATCTTCAGGCGTGACTGGCAAGATTGGGCGCCATCTTGCCAATACGTTCTGCTATTCCATGGCAGGCAATAACAACTACCGTCTTTATCAGCATGCGGACGGGCAGAAGAGGTCTGGTGGCACGAACTAAGATGCTCATAAACATATGCCGGCTCTCGCTCCTGCTCAGGCCGAGGACGGGCATGTTGAGTTCAACGAGGAGCAGGAGGATGCCAGGAAGGTTTTTGAGCCTCCACACGACTAAAGGGGTGGCTGTGCAGAGGATTTGGAGGGGTTCCAAGGTTGTGATGGGAGACAGTGGCTTCCTCCAATAAATCTCAACAATCTGGAGATGACGTGAGGGATGCGAGAGTGTTTACTTGGCTGCGGCACTGCTAGAAGTGGTGGGGAGCAGTGGGCAAGCCTTTAAAAGGGTGATGGGTTTGTTCGCAGGAAATTTCATGAATTGTGGTACCCGAACGATGGAATGAAGATATCATGATTAGACTCAAATTGAACGGAAACTTTCACTGAGTGAGAAGGTGGACACCGGACGGTCGTGAATTGATTATCAAACCTAGGAAAAAAGTTCACAGCCCTTTCTGCGGATAGATGACTAGTTTTGTGCCACTGACTTCGTTGTCTATACTGAATATTATCTCACTTTTAATTTACTATCTACGTGAGCTGCATGTTTACTATTCTTCTACTAGCAGATAGGAAAACCATACTGTTCTTCTAGCATCACCCCCTCTAGTATCTGTAACCTATCTCCCTAAGCCTATTGTTGCGAGAATATTCTCTATATTACTACTCTTCTAAGCTCTAATAATATTCATAGGTGTATTTGGGTGCAGAGGGTGGAAGATGATTGAAAACTTGGAGGTTATACTTGGAAGACATGGCAAAAGGTTGGCTTAAGGAGTAGTTTCAATAGTGAAATGGCATAAGTCTGGTTTAATTCACTCCGCTTCCTGCTCTTATGCTAGCGGATGGGAAATAAAAAACTGTCCTTCCGGGTCTCATCTCCCAACCCAGCAAGGAGTCAATCCATCCGTTTGTGCCGAAACCTCGAAGACCCCCTCTCATCCACATCAACCCACCCACCGCGCCTGACTTGGTTGAGCCCATGGTATCAGAGGACCCCCTCCAGTTCCGATTCTTCCACCACCTCAGTCTTCTTTTCTGTTGCTGGGGCTTCTTCTCCTTCGGCGGCTTGGGCTCCTTCTTAGGTTCCGGCTCTTGCTTCTGGACCGACTCTTCGACCGGCTCCGAGATCAATAGAGAGACCTTTAACTTGCTCATCGCCGCCTAACTTAGCTTAAAGAAAACCTCTCCTCCTTTAGCAGCTTGGGCGCCTTCTTGGGTTTCGGCTCCCGCTTCTGAGCCGACTCTTCGACCGGCTCCGAGACCAATGGACAGGTCTTTGACCTGTTCTTCGGAGTGCACCATAACTTGAAGAAATCTTTTCCATGGCTAAAGTCGTTAATGCGGATCTTGAGCGGGCTCGGCAGGATACTCTCGCAGCGAGCACCATAGCCTACTCCTGCCGATGAGTAGCTAGATGACATCCCGGATTTGCCGTAAGTGGTGTAAGCAAACTCCGTCGATGGATCCACAAGAAAGGGATGGAAATACGAACTAGGATCCGAAATCTCGTCGTATCCATTGACAAAAACCCCTGGGTGCAGCCCCATCGCAGCTACTACTCGCGAAGATGTCCAGCGCTTTCAATTCCACCGCAATTCCCGGAATCAAGAATACGGCGTAGAGAAGATCTGGGACTGTGTCTACGTCGATCCCATTAATAGGGAGCAAGGTATCTTCCCGGATAGGGACTTGCGGACATCAGGCGCGCAAGACGCTTAAGACACGTAGATTGTGCCAGGCCACTGCCGCGCCTTCCAGGCTCGCGCGGAAGTTGTAGGAATCGGCCTATGGTTGTCTTTGCTCTGTCGTCTCCCTGCACTTCATCTCCAGCGACGTAGGCCAAGGTGCCAGCTCCTTCGGCCCAGCCCATCTTCGTGCTGGCCTACGCGAGCGCGATGTACGATTGAGGTTGTATAAATTGAGGTTATAATGCAGATGTAGGTGAGGTGTATGTTAAAAGGTGGGGGGGTTAGGCAGCAAGGCCTGCTGAGGTTGTAAAGCGGCCCACAGTTGTCTTTGCTCTGTTATCTCCGTCCTCCCACTTGATCTCTAGCAGCGTTGGCTAAGGTGCTAGCTCCTTCTTAAGTTGCTACTTTAGACACCAGATAGTCTTCTTACAGAGAACTAAGCTGTGAGTCCTTCTCTTTTAAGCAGCTTGGAATTGGTTGTTGTCCGCCCTTGCTTAGGAACTCCCTTTTATTGCGGCGGCGCCTTCGAGCTACTTTGTGTTTCGTAACTTCGGGAAAAGGATTGGCTCTAAGGATTGGGCACGTTGGGTCTTGGATCGAAACCCCCGGCGCGGGTTCGCACTGGCTTCACGGCCGGCGCCTTCTGGCACGGGGTAGTGGACGTCTCGCACTCCCAGGCTCGCGCGGAAGGGGTAGGAATCTGCCCAGAGTTGTCTTTGCTCTGTCGTCTCCCTCCTGTTTCATTTTCGGTGGTGTAGGCCAAGGTCCTAGCTGTGCCCGTTCACCTGCCTCTGGCCGGGGGGTTCACCTTTCACCTAGTGAAGGCTAGGTGAAGAGCTATTATGTGTAGGATCTCGAACGCTGTGTCCAGTGGGCGCGTCATGTTCTTGTAAAGATGGTTCGCCACCTGGTACGCCATTCTCTCGAAAAAAAAAAATTGTGGATCTTATTGTGAATGATGTTATTCGTAACAATGGAGAAAGCAGTGCCGGGGACGGGGAATACCTTAATGTCGTCGAAGGTGGCTCCGCATTTGAAGGCTCTGCCATTGTCCTCAGCGGATTCGGTAGGCGCGGTGGAGGCGTCCGAGGCGGTGTCGCGCATGGCTGGATCGGCTGTTTCTGGATAAGCGTGGTCTGGAAGATCTATGCACGGGGGAGTCGTTACAAATTAAAACATCTGAAGTCTAGAAGGAGGCTCGGGGTGGCGGGCGCGTTTTGAGCGTAGCTTTCGTGGTGTTGAGGTTGGTGTTTGGAGCGGTGCGTCTAGTGTCTGGAGCTACCTCAGCGGCTGAGGGGACGGGTACCTTCTCTTGCAAGGCGGAGTCGCGGTGTTAGAAGTGTTTTCGGCGCGTTCTTGAAGTTTGGGTGAGGAAAGAAGGCGGACAATCGCGGGTGGAGCGTGTTTTACTTGACAACCAGACTATGGCCCAGCGTTTGGTGTACCTGTCACTTATACTTTAGTTGTGTCCCCCCGAGTCTCAGAACTGCAAGTCCGAGCCAATAGGCAAGTTGAAGGTTGTGGCATGTGCGACAGTGGGAGGAGACGTTTAGAACGGCCACTGCTGTATAACCCTCAAACTACGGGCGGTGGTTCCTTAAGATTGGCGTTAGGTTGCGCATTTCCATGGAGATCCTAGTTAGGCCCTCTATTAGGTTCTAGGGTGGGATTATCCGCACTGTGAAGGTACTTGAAAGAACGATTTATATTAGCTTCTTGTGGAATAGATAGAAATCCCCAGTCCGCGTTGCTCTAAACAATATGCTGTTCTAAGTAGCGTGTAGAGGTAACCTAAAAGATCCCTAGGCATCGTTCCGTGTGGTTTGTAAAGCGTGTGGAGTAGAATTTGTTGGGATTAAGCTCCCTTGCATCCACCTTCGTGCCCAGCCTTCGACCTCCAGCTCCTCCTGCCTCCCTACATCCATCCCGACCAGCGACGCGGCCTGTGAACTCTATCTACAATCCAGAAAAGGATCATATTTGACCTATTCGACATCGAGAAAGCGAACACTTAAAGAAGAACCGAGGCGGGGTGATGTGATCCTTCTTGATGATGTATAAGACGGTGATGCACAAGACGATGATGTACAAGACGATGAAGGGATGAAGGAGTGTAGGATGTGTGGGAAGATGAGAAAAGTCCAAGGTCCAAAGGTCAAAGAGTGTCTGGTTCAAGACCAAGTGCGAAGCGCTGGTGTTTGAACGCTGGCAGCAACCAACTGGTAAGACACCGAAGGAGTGACTGGGTCATTGTCCCGGATAGGCTGCTTGCCTCGGACACGCTCAGTGAGAGGGGAATGCTCCGTGGGTCCAGTGCCTGAAGAGTCCTGCAGAGAAGTCTCGACTCGGGGGGATGGAACTGGAAGTTTGGGTCGAGCCTCCCCCGATGGTCGATGCAGTTGTCGAGGGGCTCTGCAAGTCGGCCGGAAGTCCCCAGAAGACATCTCGCTGAATATTACGCTGCCTCTTGGTAGCACGGAAGATCCCTGTACATCGCGGGCTCTTATTTGTTGCTATACAATAAAGACCTGGGAATGTAGGGGATGTTGTCGTAGCCGTGGTCTAGTTGCTCCAGCCTCAACATGGTTATGCAGAAGCCGCTTGAGATCTATCATGACAACGGGAAAAACTTCTCCCCGGGCATTTCAAATGAAACATTCAAAAAACGTTGTTAAGAACCGTGCGTATAGCGTCGCTTGAGCTTCGGAGAGACTTCCCATGGCCCCCTGGAACCGTACCCGTGAGTTCAATTCGGGGACTATGTCTTTCCGGTCTTCCATGGGAACGGCCATGCCTTCCTCGGTCTGCGCACTCTCGTAGTTATCTTCAACTCCCCTGCTTGTCTCTCGGACGTTGCGGATGACCAAATCCGACCAAATTCGCACCTGGTTTTGATTCAGCCAACTGAGAGCCATCGCCATCGGAGTAGGAAGCGTTAAGTTGTAATTCAAGGCTCAGGTGACGTTGGGGTCGAGATCTTTGAGCCTGTTGTAGGGATCGTACAAGGGTGACCAGGCCAGGCCAATGTTGACGGCTTCCATGAAGACCTCCCGATTCCAGTCCATTAATTATCTTTCCGAGGGCGGCGAATTGCAGTTGTGGACCATTTGCGGGCGGAGGGTGATAGAAGCCTAGTTGCATAGGAAAGCCTGCGGTGGAAATCCAGGCTGTTGGAACGGCTGGGAGGCTGGAGCATGGATGGCTCGTTCTGGAATCTCGGACAGAGCAGTACCGGTATATGCCTGGCTGGGGGCGATGATCTCGGCTTCGTGCAGAGACCAGTTTTTCGTTGCCAAATTGGTAGCAAGAGTGGTCGAAGAGGACAGGAAGGTCTCCGCCTTTCAACCAAAACTCCAGCACTTCAAGTGGTGGAGAGTGTCGTCCTGCTCTTTGGCGACGCGACCCTGGACCGAGCGGGGATACCAGATTGGTGTCGGCGCGATTATGAATTCCGCTGTTTCCTCCCGCGGTACCTGACTGCTGCAGCGCCGAGCCCAGGTTCATGAAGTCGGCTTCGCACGAGCGGTAGCTCACCCAACGAGATGAAAATGTGGATGCCGAGGAGAATGCGCAGTGGTCCGCGGGGAGAACATGGTGCGAATGAGTCTTGCAATCAGCCACGCTTTGCAGCTGCCCGGTCCCATTCTGACACTATTTATGGCTGCGGCCGCCCGGTGGGTTGAAGAGCAACACCTTCGCAAGCCTTCTGTGCGTCTTCCATCATGTTGACTTTATCGCGATCTATTTCAGGTTAGTATTGAAGGAAGCAAGAAGCCCATTGGCGGGAAAAACTTGCATGTGCCAAATTCATTGTTGTACTGGACGTTACGAGTATACCCAAGTCCAATGGGCAGCGGGACATTCGTAGGGGACAACAAGAGCTGACATCTTGCAGCAGTCAGGGAGAGTCGGCAGCGGAAGGGGGTCTCTCTCTTCTGGTTATGCTGGCACTGATGACGCGTCCGTTGGCAGTGCGGCGCGGAGGCGAAGGATATAAGGTGAAGATGTGAGGTAAGGACAGCCGTCGAGAGTCTCGCACTCGTGTTGGAGGTCAGGCTTCGCGGTGTGGTGAATTGCGCCATTAATACTACCGCCGCTCGTCAGTACGTTGTTGGCGGCATTGACGATGCGGTTAATTGCAAGCAGAGTGATGGAGTATACCTAGAACTGCGTTGACCCCGCTAAGGACAAATGCAAGACCTAGGGTTGAGATTAGATTAGTTATAGCGAGAGCGACACTGCTAGGAAAAGAGTGAAGGGTGGTAAGAGGGATATTTAGGTCCGGTGAGGTTGAAGGCTACCAGCTCGCAAACTATCTGTGAAACGTCGGTGAAACTGCGGTCCGAGTTGATATGTCGGTCTATTGTCTATTTATACTATTCATTTTCACCTCCTCTTACCCTTAGGGATCTGGCACCTAAGCGGGCTATGTTATGGACCAGTGTACGAGTTACTGTATCATTGTACGGTTTATTGTTCCTTGTTTGACTTACTGTTTCCTTGTTTGAGTTATTGTTTGTATTTTTGTTACTATTTTCACCACCCTGGCGTCCCGGGTTCGAGGCGCGCGGAGGTTACGCGATGGTTTCGTATTTTAAGCAGCTTTTCTGGTCCGGATGGTGAAGGGGTTTGGGCGGCTTTCGGGGGCGTGTTGGGATGAGAAGGGGGCAGGTCGATGGAGAAATAAATACACGCTTCTAGGAGGCCTTTTACTTTGATACAACGCTCACTGTCTGCGTCACCTTCCCGCAAAAAAACAGAAGTAGTGAATCGAAAATCCATACCAAAGATAACAAAAGAGAAAAAGTGAGTAGACCCATCGGGGGTCGAACCCCCATCCAGCCGTTAGCGTGCGCAAAAAAAGATTGTGTTCCAAAGATTAGGTTGTAAGGTGTAATGCGCGGGTCGCGGTAACCTCTGGTAAAAGGCAAGAGATTAATCCCAGTCAACACCGACGCACCTTACGAAATAACGGCCGAAAATATGAGGTATATATAGGTTACTAAACTGCGCGCGTCACATGTAATTAGTTGGGAGGGGTCTGGTTATAGTGTCACAGCTCACGCGTGTTGGTGTTTGTTCGGGACGCTTATTTAGAATATCCCAGAGAGAGCAAAGTATGCAATTAAGGGCTTTTAGGTGTGGCATGGATGGCCAAGCACTATTTATTTAATTACCCGACAAAACTCTCACGGTTAAGTCTCCCTTTCTCCAACATTCATCCTTCGTGTTTCAAGCTTGAATTGCCCTTTTCGACGAAGCGCGGTAAATTTTCGTCCTTTAAGATATTGTATCTCATTCACACTTTACAGTAAACTCAGGTTGAAAATTGATGTGAACTCTGTCTTATTTCGGGGGCCCGAAGGCCAAACTATATACTACGTAGGAAGTGACTGTATGCATAGGCAGAAGCACTAATTGGAGGCAGCAGTAGGCAGCATTAGGCAGGGTAGGCCACCGTACCCCAACCCCTCTCTGTAGAAGTTGTAACTGGCTAGGCATGTAGGCAGCTACTATGCCAGCAACTCCAAGTCTGTACGTAGGTGACCGTGAACCGTATGAGTTGTTGATCCTAGGTTGTAGCTGTTACAACCCGAGTAGTAAGGTTATCTAGATATTTGAGCAACGCGAGAACTTGTGGGCGAACCTTGTCACGCAACCATCGTGAGTCGAAGTGATGAATCGCGCTAGAGGTTACGTCGGGAGTCTAGGCGGCGATGACCATAAATGCTTTGGGACGATCCTCGATGGTATCGGTAACTGAGGCGCCTGTCGCAAATTGCGGACCCTGCGTATACTAGCCTGCCGAGCAATGTGCAGGCGCAGGAAGCCTCCTTCGTTCTCTCTAGAGACTATCTCACAGGAAAGCCAGAAGAACATCCTAACTTACTTAATGCTATTCTCTGCATCCCAAGAACGTTTCCAAAGCCCTGGCTGATAGAGCCGAATCTTCCCATAATTCTTTGGATACGCCCAGCCTTGATAGCTCACCAAAAAGAAATTATTAGAGGATCAAAAGTAAGGCTCAATCCGGGGTTCCCATGCTGTTGAAAGAACTGGAAAAACCTTCCATTGCCCGCATATTGGGGACGTTTTGACTTCCATGATACACCGGGGTTGTCATGTTGAGATAGGCATTTCTCACATGGGTCCCAATTTGAAATCCATAACAAGGTTCAAAGAACCTGCTTCGGTCAAGGATTGCCATTTGCGAGATATCAGCTACCACAACTACAACGTCTCACCTGCTCCTCGTTCACGTGAGGCAGACTCATCGCCACGGGCGATAGACACGGACACGTGATCGACCAAATTTGGACAGCTAGGGCGTCTGTGACTCTTCACTTCCTACGCGCTCCAAAGTCTCGAACTGAATAACTTCTGTGCAATGGACACGGTCAACTGCATCATACCAAACCCATGCGTCGCTCAAGTCCTTTATGTTATTCTGTCAGGCACGGTCTTGGCTCTTGGGCTGACCACTGCTCCAGGTTCCCTGGGTGATTGGTAATTCCGGCAGAGCCAGGACTTTGGAAAGGTCTCTCCTTTGTCGGCTGCAGCACCGCCAACTCCTTATCTAGCTCTCGCTATAGACACGCTTGGGTGAACAGATGACGTGTCAAAATTTTGGTTTCGGTTTGGGGCTACGCTTCTTAAGGTATGTTAGGGAGAGCAGGACACGGATCGGTATGGGTTGCTAGGTAGATGTTATTTATGAAGTGGAGGCAAACAAGGGCGAACGCGGACATGCCCCTTCTCGGCGGCTTGAAATTTCTCTGGGAGCGGTACTTCGAACCCTATTCCAAGGAAGGCGCTCGTGGGTGGTTAAAGTAGACATGTTCGGACTTTGCGGTAGGGGCCTGATCTTGTGTCGGGGCTAACACTCAGGACGGCATCGTAGATCTAAAACGCCGCATAATTTCCCGCCACCAGTTTGTTTTTACAGCGGCGACCGAACCTGATCCCTACCGGATAGAGGACTACGGTGTGGTCGAGCATAGCAATGCTCGCCGTAACTGGGTTTCCGCGGACCTCGACCTTCTACCTTGGGCTTGACGATTCTTACTTCGAAGGCGAGTGTTAATATCGAGACAGCAACATCGGGTAGTTAAATCCAGGCGAGACTTGATAGCTTGGGTGTGTTCGGGAGATCCGCGCAGGCGAGCTGAGTTGAGGGGGAATGGTAACAACGGTAGAGAGCTAGCTGCAATAACTGTGATTGCGGATTACCTAGGAGCTGATGCTTGTCCTGGAGTATCTGTCAACGGACAGTAGAGCAAGCTACTCTTTTGATCTTGCAAGTTGCGCGCTTTCACCGTAAGCTCCGATCCTCAATGGAATTCCTAATGGTGTCCTCTAAAGGATTCTGTCTGGGTTTCCCGTAGTCCGGCTTCTCCCATCAAGCCACGATCGTAGCAATCGTATCCCTTGGCGAATGTTTTCCATGCCTCCAACCCTTGCATTGCATTCCTCATGTATCCTGAATACGTCCTATCTCATCTGCCGGTCACGCCCCAAGGTACATCAGGGTGGACACGTCATGCGGGGTCCGTCTCCTCTCCGCGATCTTCTCCACCTTCGACTCCACGATATCCGGCCTCCGCCTCCTCGAGCATTCGGACGCTTCCCATTCGTCTCCTGTAGCCCGGTTATGAGACCCACGTTTCAATCTTGGATAACGCCCAGTGCCCTACGCGCGAAGTGTTCTAGTTTACAACGGTTCACACAAAGACTCTTTTGGCGATGTGGCGACCTCGCGCGCCTGTACTTCCTCCGACTACGTCATCGTCGACACAGTTCCTATCTAGGGAGTTGTAACGGCAGTCACCATGGCGATCGTCGTTGCTGCTAGGAGAAAGGCTTCGTGGGGAGTAGGAGCGGCGACTGTAATGCAGTGAGTGTGGCTTGCCTCTTTGCCTCCGTCGAGCTGATCCAGGCTGAAGGCGCTGAAATAGCCTGTGGAATACGCTTGTAAAGGAGGATATTGTGTCGAATGGGGTCGTGGGAGAAGATGGTGGTTTGGAGTTGCGACTGCGTAGATGGTTGAGCGAGCCCGCCTTGTGGAGGGAAGAGGAGCGAAGGCAACATGGAGGATTCCCGGCCGCCAGGCAAAACTGAAAAGATGATGGCAGACGGGTGTGCCACTGTGACCATGTCCATGAACGAGGTGCTTACTCAACAAAGGCTCGCTCGTGCCAGCATCCTGTATCTCGTAAGCTCCAGTGCTTCTCCAACCCCGGTCCTGCGCTTCTTCTGTGTTTGGCCAGACCCCGGCGGTATGTCGATCTGCTTTCGAAGGTGGAGGCCAAGAGATAATCAGCGACAGTCCGTGTTCCTTTGCCGTGGCCTTCATTCTCCCTATCCTCGACGTGTCCAATTTGCCGTCAGCGGATCACTAGAGTACTTGTACCCCCAAAAACCCGTGTGTAGACTTCCTTCGTCTTCATGTCTCGAAATTCCATGCGCTAACCTAATGCTCTGTCATACCCGCCAGGCGCCAGAGACTCAGCCGTTGCTAGGTATGGATTCGGTTCCACGTCTTGCCGTTTGGTTGGGTCAAGGTGCATGGAATGACTGCAGCGAGTTGAGGTGAGATTGAACAACACTGAATTGGGGAGGGTGATCTCGGTGATGATAGATTGATAAGATGCTGCTTGTCGATGAGGCAGAAGGCTGTGAATGTACTGGGGATGGATCTAATCGCGATTTTCCGAGGAGGCGGGAAGGAGGATGCCGGTATGGAAGACGCTGAGCTGGATTTCGCGGGAGCCTTTCAAGATGTCAGCATTGCAACAGGTAGAAGACGATCTGGTCGCCGCACCAAAACGCGCGGTATGGTGTCGGAAGGATTTTGGGTTCGGGGAAGAGCTCACTCTCCCACCTTCTCCGCCTTGTGTCTGCCAGGTCTGCAATCCATGTGTAACGCGTAGGGTGTTGAATTTTCTAGGTGGGAAGGTCGGGATTGTTCGCATTAGACCGCGTCGCGTCGTCTAGTGCCACCATTCTGATACTCAGTTGACGAGCTATATATTGAACATGAGGACGGGGAAGGCCTACGTATTCAATGGAGACAAGTACGCCGATTTATGAGACCCTAGATAATCATCTCATGTAACACCAGGGCTTGGTCTCTCGGACTGGATCGGCGATTGTTGTGCGTCCGCGTTGGCTTTGTAAGAGGTGGAGCCAGGGATTGGTCTAATATCGTGCGAGCCATTCTAGGAGGGATGCTCGAGCCATTCCTATAGGAGAATGAGCTGGCTTTCGTGAACGGGATTGGGTCGGAGAGTGATCATAGCGCGTCGTGATGCTGTTCGTGGTATCGCGCCAGAGATAGAAGCGGACAAGGCGGGCGCGATTGCGAAGCCGTATGGGTAGGACATTGCGGCGATGTCTGAGATGCGTGTTTCCGACATGCGGAGTAGACTTTTATTGTTTTTGGGGAATGGTGGGTAGGAGAGGTTGTGTATTCTTACTGAGCAGCTGAGCGAGTATCTTAGGCAACTCTTTCGTCTGTTCACCCTGCTGCTTTGCCCCTGCCTCTTCTACAGTACCCGTGGCTTCGAAACGCGTTCCTAGATTTTAAAAGAGATGATACTGGTTGACGTGGTGGGAAAATCACGCGCGAAACTGGAGGTTTAGCGGTTACCAATAGGTCCGGCCGCAACAAAGAAGGCAGAGAAGGATCCGGATCCTATAAGAGAGAGCATTGGCGCGTTGGAATTGACAGGCGTCAGCTGGTATTCCAGGGGAATCTTCTGATCCCTAGCTCTTTAGAAGGCTGCATCTCTCGTTGTCGCATTGGCAACTACACGTGGTCCTGGTCAAGCGACTCGCGGGTGAGGGACAGCGGTATCCCGAAGTGTTGTAGTGCCTCTGCCAGACGGTGGAAGGTCGTCGTGGTGATGGTAGTAAAGGTCGCGAGAATCCCGCCAGCCAGTATCAACAACAACACGACGCGACAAGATGGCTTTGGATGAACTAGAGGAAGATCTCTTCTTCGAAGTCCTAGACAAGCTGAGAGATTCAATGAAAAAAAGGTTCGCATCAGCCCGAGGCAGTGCAATACGAGCGACACTGTGTCCCCTGACATAGGCAAGCCTAGCGGCCAGGGAACGGTTTCTAAAGACTAGAATAATCGAGATGTCCTCGTAGGGACCTTCCAGCGATTAAACTGAAAATAACCTGTGAAGAATGTTAGTGATAAGAGGAAGAGAGGAAGGAAGGAGGAGAGAACTTACAGATACTACCCATAATCCAAGCCAAAAGGCACTGTGATGGTTGTCAGTATGTGATGAGAAAGGAAAGGATGGGGGTCGAGTTGAGACTTACAAGAGAGCTGAGGTTTAGGAACTGTGGGTGACAAGTCAATATAGCTGGCGAAAAACTCGCTTAGCTGGCTTACTCATCAACGCTAGTGAATTTAATCGACTCTTCTTAGGCAGTGTAATCGTGTCAGTGCACTTGGGTAGGCTGTTGCCTGGAATCCAGGACCTCCAGGGCCGGAGAGGGGCATGGAAGGCGGTGGAACCCGAGTGCACGCCGGGTTGGTCACTTCAACGTCACACTTGACCAAGACCCTCAGTCTCTACGGCGCCAATGTCACGGGCCGAGCTCGGTATCATGAAGGAGATGCCAGTCAGATTTGGGGTTGAAGGTATGGGTAAGATACTGAGGGATGGCTTACACTGATAGAGACGACAATCCATACTGTTAGCATAAGTTTTCCGCTTGTTTGGATATTCATTCAGCCTCTTCTCGCAACCACTACTATGCTCATCCCATGAAGATCGTAAAACCCGAGAACCGTAGAGTTTTGCAGAAGTAATTTTAAGATTTATGCGAGGACCAACGATCTAGAAATACACCGCCAGCCCACCGACAGGCCAAAGCGACAGAATATCTTTAAGCAAGAAGCATCTAGTTGAAGGTACTACCTGACACTCGTTCGCTTATATCATTGACTCACTTGTCTTATACAGGATTATGCGCCTTGTCTCATCTCAGAAGATTACTGAGAACCTTGTCAACATTATCGAAAGCGCAGGACCTCCGACACAGCACATACTCCACCAATAAGAGTTTCTCGAAGACATGTTGGGCGCCGTACCACTCAAGCTAGCTACACTCTCTCTGGAGCTTCTCTACTTTTGACCTGACGCCAATTCTTTAGATTGGTCGGCATGACGCTTCCTCCCTCAAGCGCCAACCGGACTTCGACCTCCATCCTTCACCAATCTGGCGCACTTAGCCAAGTTCCTTCTAGAGGACTTCAACCCAAAGAGTTTCTAGTCCACGACTCGTCTAAGACATCTGGTGCGCTGAGCGCCTTGGGACATTTCACCAGGACATAGTCAGCTTCACTGCGGCATGGCGGCGGCTAGTAGCACTCACGCCTGTTTCTAACCTCACAAGCATTATCTAGAGGGACAGCGGCAACTCATTTGTGGTTATAGAGGCTCCACGTCTGGGCATACAGTTAAGCGGTACCCTTTCAACCACTATCCTCCAAGTGAAGTGGTATAACGACCTGCGCGTTTTGCAGCGTTCTTGGCTTAGACTGTTGACCGCCTCAGCCGAACTTCCAGCTCTTCACCTCGACCAACCTTCCGGCTCACCACCACCCCGACTCACTGCACCCTTAGCAACGCCCACAGCTGCACTCGGAGTCCATGATGCAACAAGACATAACAAACCTCATCTCCTAGCCTCTGTTGGTGGATTCGCCGCTCAGCGACACCCCGGACTTCACGGCGAGCCGTCCAAGCGCAAGAGCTCACTCTGGTCAGTACTATCTCGGACGAGACTGCTTCACGTACCGTCCACAAAGTGAAGTGGTTTAACATCTTCTAGCTACCGCAGCGTCCTTGCTGCGGACCGCCCATGACGGACCTCATCGCCCACGCCCCGTTCCACGCATTGTCAACGTTCTGGAACCGGAGACGACAAGGCGAGGAACGACGGAGGAATCCGTTAGGAGATCGGGGACTACTATGCGAACAAGGTAGGGCACTTGCTCCTGTTTCATGTGGTGTGCCTGCTAATTATATGTGCGTGTAGTTCGGAATCTTGCAGAAAGTCCACCCGTGCCGGGCAGGCAACCACGCGCAGGCCCTAGTGTTCCTGAAGTTCGCCAGTGAGTTCGACGCGCTTATGGCCGTGGATCGTTTCAATGGTCCGACCAAAGCGGGTGCCTTTCGGAGCAAACAAACGACCGCCAAGTTCTACAACTTGGAGGACTTCGAACACGGCGTCTACGAGTGAGGGAAGGCTGGAGCGGGCCTCACTTGTGCTGTCTGGGTGATGGGCTTGGAATATGGTGGCGATTCTAGTTGGAGACGCCTGCGGTACCATGCAGGATCTCAGGTCACAAGCGGGGAGGACTTCTGTGGTAGTGACAAGGGCAGAGAAATTAGCGGACCGGCTAGTCTCTTGATATGACAATGAAGCTGTTCTAGTTTTACACCTCAAGTACATCTCAACATGTTTATCTAGGAGAGTGCTATTTGAGATATGGCATAGTCTCCCGTCGCGTCCATTGAGTTCGAGGTTTTGGCCCCACTGCCAACTTGTCGTCTGCTTCTGTCCGAAGCTTACGTCCCTAACTTCACCCTCCACGAACAAGCATATCGAATGGAAAGTTGTCTGATTTTGAGTATTGTACATTTCGCCCTGCTCAGTTATCGTACCGATTCGCAACCCACAGTCTCCTTGCCTAACACAGGTCCGACTATTTAGTCCTACAGCTATTGTACTCATTCCCCTCTATAATTGTCTCTAAGCTGTTTTATTCCCGTTCAACGCAGACTTGCTCTACCCTTCTTCGCGCATTCCTTCTAGTCCATCACGAGTTGTCCCTCCCACCACCACTCCGCGAAGTAATTAAATCTAACTTCGAACTCGGTCATCATGCGGTTCGCGGCGGGGTTCGGGCCGGAGTCGGTCGTGAAAATAGGCGTGAACGGCGGCTTTTCGCCCGGATTGTTTCCGGAATTTTGGCGGGACTGGTCGAGACAATATCGTCACAAGCCTGAGGAAAATTAGCATCTTAGTCTTTAGAGGGCCGGTATCGGTTAAACCAACCCGTGTTATGTGTGTCCGAGATTCTACGTGATGACTGGCGTCGCGCTTCTTGTGTCCCTTTCAATTCGGGTCTTAAATCCCGTCTCTTTCACCCGGCGCCAGGCGGAGTTTCCGGCTCTAGTTGGTGGGTCCGGTTGAGTTTCGGAATAAGCATAGGACGGGTTGGCTGAATCGGACTCTCGGTCTGGAGAGGTAGGCTCTGGAGTTTCTTAACCCCCCTCCCAGATCATCAACATAGAAACAACTCTAAACAAGTAGGTTTGCCCATTGTGTTCTGGTCTGAACTCTCCGCGTCTAGTTGCAAAAGTCGCTCAATTAATAAGTTCGGCTCTAGCTGAACATTAGGCCGAAATTCCTGATCAGACTCCGGCTGCCCTTCTGGTCGCGCTTTGGTCTGACGCTCTGGTCTTTGATAAGATGCCGTGTCTGTTCCCGTTTTTGGCGACTTTCTGGTTGACCTACAGACTGGAAGCGCGGCATGCATCCTAGTATTCCTCCACCTTGCTGCTCCCCTTCCCGCTCTATATTCTTAAGACTCATTCTCTTCCTTCGACGCGCGTTGTCTTGTACCATTCCTCGTCCGATCCCGCGATATAGGGTCTGCCACCGCTCCGCAAAGCGATTTGAATCCAACTTGGAACTCCAGTGGCATGGTGTCCAGGAGCAGGTCGGTAGCCATGAGGGTGGTTATGAACGACCAGTAGAACAGCTTGCCACCACTCTTGATTCCGTCGAGACACTTCTAGCTCGTTGCTAGGATATCGACCACCCCATCTCTTTCCGTTTAGGAACGAGCTGGCCGATGGCTGGGATAACCACGACGGGAAGTTCAATGTCGCAGTTACTGTTGTTGATGTGCTCGTCGTTTTCTGTAGAATTAATTGCGAGTAGGCGAGGTCGTTTGTGTTGGTGGCGCTGGGATGTTCCCGAACCTTCCGCTTGAATGGTGATGTTGAGTTGGGTCAACTACGAGGGTATACGCTCTGTTGGGTGCTTGCTGAATGGTGGGCGCAACATCGCCGGTTGGGGACGCTGGGAATGACTTGTCCGCAAGGCCGCGGTCTGGTGGAAAGAGATTGACGTCTTCGAGCTCTTCAAGTGGGAGCCAGGCATGTTAGCATGCATGTGTGGAGAGGTCGTAGCTGATCTCTCTGGTAGGACGGGTGTCTGTGAGGATGGGCTGCTCTTGGGAAGGAACGCATCTGTCCACCATTAGCGGGACAGCTTGATGCAGTCGGCTGCGGCGCCGAGAATGTTACTCACGTTTGTTGTAACGTTGAGGAAGTCGGTATCCTGGTCTCTAGAGAGCTGGTGTTCGTTTAATATGCCAACGCCTCGTACGATATTGCCTTAAGAAACGCGGCATGCATCCTAGTATCCTCCAGCTCATTGCCGCGATCTGTGACCCTTCTTTTGTCTATGTTCTCTACTTATCCGATGCTCCGAAATAACCTTGGTCCTAGATTGGGACACTAGGCAGTCTCGCTGCTATCCAGCATAGTACTCGCCGCTCGCAGCTTGGAAGAATGACGCAGCGGCGCATTCGAGCGGAATTCCTTAGCACCGATAGCGCCAAGGCTAATGACCGACGATGAGGGAATGCTGTCAGCTCAGACGGCGAATGCGAGGGACGCGGGATTGACGACCGACATCCAAATGCGGTTCTTGTACACCTTGAACCTTAACCAGCTCGTCGAAGTTGATGTACACGTCACAATAGTAGTAGAAGGTCCGCTTTTTGTAATCACTGCGGAGAGGTTAGGGAATGCTACGCGTGGCCCGCGCGGGGATTAGGTAGCCTTACAGTTAATATTCTGCGTCAAGGATCTGCATGCTGACTCTCAGAGCATTTAATGAATAGGATCCGCCGCCCATGAGCTATAGGAATGCTCTTCACTTTCCTCGCGTCTTCCTGGGTAGTGGTGACCTCTGTGTCTGGAGGGCTGGTAGTAGCCCATGCCGTTGGATTGAAATAAGGCCTTGACTCAAAGGACGGTTCATGTCCCGGCGACCTGCGTGGAATGTTCGGTAGTCATCCGTCAAATGTAGGTCGTGACGAGAAATCCTAGGTTGGCAGCTATCGCCGTTGAAAGGAGGCCGCACCCTTGTCTAGCACTCGTTGCTGATGTTGCTACGCGTGAAAGGTTGATGCGGACGAGAAGCTCGAGAGACTACGCTCCGCAGTGAACTGATGAGGTGCGGTGCGATCATAGTACAGCGCTCGACTTTGGCATCGCGGAAGTCGAGGTCTACCATGCAGCGTACTCTGGGTCTAGCGCTGCTGCTTGTGATCTCCATTCTGTACTTCTTCTACGTCTGATACTTATTCGGGGATCCAGGGGGGCTGTGCCTGCAAGTATAGCCAGCCGTTCTGTTTCTTTGTTGCCGTCCGGCATAGTGAAGAATGTTCAAGGTTTGAACAATCAAGGTTTAAGCAATCGCAGGCCCTCAAGTAGTGTGTTACTCGCAGCATTCACATAATTCAGGCAATGCTACGTCCTTTCAGTGGATAAGTGGACACAAGGCAATGATCGGGAATCCCAGGGGCGCGAGAACTTGTTCTCAGGACGAGGTCGAGAGGGCGAGATGCTGAGCGAAGAGTAGGAGGGCAGAGGCACATAACCGTCCATGGGGTGCCCTCCTCGGAGCCCAGGTGGATCTCCTTAAGCGCGAAGAACTCGCCGATCTGGCGGTTACGACCTTTGAAAACCTGGGCAGTCTTTTTGAAGACCTGGCAGTCAGCGTGTGGGTCAGTACTGCGGGCCAAGTGACTCACTGAAGCATAGGTGCCTTCGCCGAGCCTCTCCAGCTGCTAGAAGCTTGGGTGCTTGCGGTTGTCCATGGTAATCTGCTGGCTTCCGCCGAGGTTAGTGACCAGTGAAGGAACTGGACTGAAGCCATTTTGGACTGGACCGGATGGAGGTACATACTCGGAAAAAGCGTTGGACTAGACTGAGATTCTATTTGGTTGGAGTGGACTTGAAGCTATGGATGATCCTGGCGCTCTAATGGTTTTCCGTGAGGCTCGGGAGCCCCGATTTCTAGCCTCATAATAGTGCGACATTCCCATCACGTGATATATATGTGGGCTAGTGCTCGTCACGTGATATATACATGCATTTCCAGTGATGTTCCTATTAAGTATAGCTATTCTAGAACCTTATGCAGCTCTATCTAATATAAAATCTACACTTACTAGCTAAGAACAGGATGGGTAAACTACATAACGTACTTCACAAGCGAGTCGGCCACACAAGCGAGTCGGCCACCTCATCACGAAAACGCGACGCGTCAACCAACAACCAATATGCGTCGACAACACAACGCGCAATCAATCCAAAAAGAAGGCAGGCTAGCCTTAGCTCTCCTAGCTATCCGACGAAATCAAATTCCAAGCGAACGACGCGCTGCAGGCATATACAATGTCCCCAAAAGCACGCTCCAAGACCGACGCGGCGGAATGACTGCACGCCGCGATTGTGAGCCTAATTCAAAGAAGCTTACAAAACTTGAAGAATCAGCCATTGTTCAACATATACTCGACCTGGATTCGCGAGGGTTTTCGCCTAGCTTAACTGCTGTACGAGAGATGGCCAACAAGCTACTCGCCGAGCGCGGTGCTGGCCAAGTGGGCATTAACTGGCCAAACAACTTTATCAAGCGAACGGACGAGCTTAAAACAAAATTTAATCGAAAGTACGACTATCAAAGAGCTCTATGCGAAGATCCAGAGGTTATTGGCGATTGGTTTAAGCTTGTATACAATATAAAAGCAAAGTACGGCATTGTTGATAACAATACATACAACTTTGATGAAGCTGGCTTCCAAATGGGCGTCATCTCATCAAGCATAGTTGTAACAGGCTCCGAGCGGCGCAATCGACCAAAAGCTGTACAGCCAGGCAATCGCGAATGGACAACAATAATCCAAGGAATCAATGCCTGTGGATGGGCCATCCCGCCATTCATCATCTTTGCAGGCAAGTACCATCTCTCTGCATGGTACGAGGGCGACGA